TAATAATGTATAAATTTATTAAATTAAATTATAAAATAACTTTTTAATGTTATAAATATTTTAATTTAAAATGTTTATATAAAAGTGTAAATAATATTTTTAATTATAAACTTGTTAATATTTAAAAATTTTTAAAAGTTTTTAAAAAAAAGTTAAATATATATTTATATTTAATTAATATTATTAAAATTATCGAAATTATTTATTAAATAAAATTAATTATAATTACATAAAACCACTTTTATTTATTTATTAAAATTTATAAAAAAAATCCGTAAAAATAATTTAATTTTAATTTTTAAAGATTTATATACCGATATTATTTTTAAAATTAAAAGTATATTTTATTTAAATTAATTAAAATAAAAAATTAGTTTTATATATTTTAAAAAAAAATTATATATTTAATGCGTTATAAAAATAATAATTTTTAAATTTTAAAATATAATAAAATAAAACCATTAATAAAAAAAAATTTAATAATAATAATAATATATTTTTTAATTTATTAAAAAAGAAATATAATAAAAATAACAAATTTAATATTAAAAAATATTTAAATAAAATAAATAAAACATTAAAAAATATAAAAAAAATTAAAAATTATTAAAATAATTGTACATAATATTAAAATTAATAAAATTAAATTTTTTAAATTTATTTAAAAATTAACGGAAAATATAAATAATATTATAATAAAATTAAAATGAAATAATTTTAAACCGGTTAATATTAACGTTAATACCGATTTTTCCGTAAAAATAAACGGTTTTTAAAAATAATAAATAATATTTATTTTTATTATTATATTATATTTAATTAAAAATTAATAAATAATATTTTTATTAACATTTAAATTATTATTAAAAAAGTTATATTATATAATATAAAAAATAAAATCATTAAAAAACGTAATATTTTAATATATTTTAATAATTTTTACATATGTTTATATAAAAAAGTTATTTAATTTAATTAATTGTAAATTTAAGCTATTATATAACCTTAAAAAATTACCTTTTATATTTATAATTTAATGGTCGTAAACTTAAAGCTATTATGCAATTTAACGGGGTTACCTCTTATATTAAGTCCTTTTTTTAAGTGCCAAGTTAAAGGTAAAAGTGCTAAAGGTGTTAAAGATGTTATTGGTAAAAGTGCCGAGGGTGCCGAGTCTTTTTTCGGGGTGCCGAGTTAAAGGTAAATGTGCTAAAAGTAAAGGTGCTAAAGGTATTGTTTTCGAATGTCTCGAGGATGTTAAAGGTGTTAAGGGTGAGGGTATTAAGGGTATTTAAAGAGTAATAGCAATAAATTCGGGCTATTGTGGCATCTAGCAAGGGTGCCCTCCTGTACAAGAATGTGAACTAAGAGCCAAGGTAGGAATAGGCAACTTCCATAACCTCTACAAGTACATCTTTTGGTGGCCATACTGGTTGTCCATTTCGTTTCGGTTGAGAGTCCGGCTTTTCCTTACTATGGGTTGCTTCTCTAAACCCTAAACTGATCTCATCCGTAACGTAGCCATGACTCGATACGTGTGTTCTCTTCTCGACCTGATCTGCATTCTTGTAGGAAATGGTTAAGTGGTACCCCTTGGGATCCCTTTGGTATTTACCATTGATAAATGTCGTATTATGGACTGCTGACCTAAGATCAGAGGACATAGTTTAGTAGACGGTAGTACATATTGATATTCAATAGGGTTTTTTTCAAACACCCTTCTAGAGCTCACCTATAGCTGCGCTCTTTTGCTTACCTGATGAAAACTTCTTTGGGATTAGGTTCACGGTCAGTTGTTGTTTGATAAGCTAGTGCTACATTCTGCCAAAGCTTATGCCGTGCCCGAGGGAATATTGTACCTTCGATGCGGAAGTATTTGGTGATTTGAATGGTCACCATAGCGAGGAATATGAATATGGCTAGTTACATATCAAGAGGTTTTGTGTACCAGGCAAATATGTCTTTTTAACTGTACCAATGGTACTAAGACTTGCTGAGAAGAAATACAGATATATACTTAAGCCAATGCTAGCTAGGCTGAATTCATGCTCTTAGGAAATGGGAAAAGGTCTAGAAACTAGTTCGTTGTTCTATAGGCAACTCGAAGCTTGAATATAGAATCCTTTGCTAATGTTTTGTTATGGATATTTCATCCAGAATCCTAACCTTTAAGGGCTTAACTTCTGATCTTATACGACATATTCTTCAACTAGTCAGATTAAATAATGGCCACCTACGTTATCTGTCAGGTAGGTAAAAGGTTCAAGTCACCTTAACACAAAAGGTCCAGCCAAGATAAAGAAAGACAGCATACCATTAACCTTTGCTTTCAGTTTACGGAGCCAAACCTTGATCGAAGTGAAGCCGTACGTCAGGGAATAAGTAGCCTGGGGGTAATTCATGAGTAAATCTACTAGGAATGGGTATAGAAAAGGCACGTAAGCCTTCGAAAAAGGATAGAAAGGCTAGTGTTAAAAGTTTAATTCGTGTATATTAACATTTATGTTATGTATGACACCACTCGAGGTTATCTATTTTGGCACGGTATCTCTTCATGAGCCATGACTTGTTGGTTTGTCAATATTTACTTTTATCATTTGCATTTACATAGCCCCTTTTTCTGGGCAATTATTTGACCGAGAGTCAAATATGATAGGTCCCAGCCTACATAAGTGACTGGCTTATAGTAGCAAGACTAAATATTTCCATAGCTTACAGCCTCGTGGCTTAATAAAGCGCTGCCTAGAACGCCTTGTCCTAGACTTTGTAATTTTTTAATCAATGAATGGCAACATACTGAGACCATCGATGGAATTTCGTTGATCACAGCCCGATCTATGCTTAACTAAGTATTTAATCAAACAACTTGGAATACTCGAGGGTGGACATTTCAGGAGGCTATCCTTGCTTAGCGCGTTGTCGTCTTCACCCAACACCAAGTACACTGGAATTGCCGCAAACATGTTTGGCGAGAAGATGCAACTTGCGAATCGACCAACGTATCCCTCATACAGGAAAATAAAATGTCTTTATGAGGCATGAACGCTAATAAGAAGCCATGCAACCATTCAAATTATACTACGACTACGTGGAAAAATTTTCTAGGAGGATGTTTCAGATGAAAGGGATGTTCTCTGGGCGTTCGTAGGGTTCCTCAAACTACAAGCTCCGAGGTTCCTCAAGGGTTTTATCCGGGATATACCGTACGAGGGGTTGGACGCAATGCTTCTTTGGTCAGAACGAAGTTATTGCCTATCCTCCATGATCGTGAATCCTATCATACTATGGTCATAATAGGGGGCCAGTTATTTCGACTGCATTTCGCATCATGGTCGTGGCTATCGCCTCGGGATAATATTGCTTTTTTCCATCAGTGTCAGGATTCTAGATGAGACATCTAGAACAAAGGAACTGTTCAGTATGTATAGACGAAAGATCTTCATATAATAATGATGATGATAACGTTTACGTCTATTAGTCTGCTATATCTACTTGCGTAATTACAGCAGCACATCTCTGGCACTTTAAACGTCTAAAGTACTCCCTTAAAGGAAACAGAGCTAGAGTATCGCCTGATATAAGAAAAAGACAAAAAAGAATGTAATCTATCTAGAGGTTAGAATTTGGGGTTTTAAAGCCTTCTTTCTGGTACCTCGTACGGTTCTACAAGATATTGTAGCTGCTTGCAGCCGGTAACTAATAGGGCCTAATTTCGCTTATTCCCAGTAATAAAGCCTATTTCAGGCCTTATTCTATGGTGGGCTTAGTCATCGTTAGGATAGTTTAGAGTTCCTTGCGGAACAATGAAGTTGTTTTTATGCTATTTCGTTCCACCTCGTGACAATCAGTATGGAGGTCGTGTCCCCTCTATAGTCTCGTGGCATAAGCAGAGGCTTATTGGGCAAGACACGACATACACATACCTCAGGTCCGCTGCGGTAAAACGCAACAGCTTTCCTGAAGAATGCTTGGATACTAAACTTATTTCACCGCTTTCTAAACTCGCTCAAGACGAAACTTTCCTAGACTATGGATTCCCATAATTTACGGCCCAAACTGTGGAGCTTCAGTTCAAACTAACAGAGGAGTAACAAGCCACATTACCATTGCATCCTAAGATTATGTGGGTGATAGCCAAGGTCTATAGCCTATTCGGCGAGTATAGAGGCGAATTAACTATTACTAGTAGCTTCTTTCGGGGTAAAATAGAGCGAGGGGGCGAGTGTGCCCTATTGTCTAGAAACACATCCGAAGAGTGTTTGCAGAATGGAACACACAACATCATGGTGATTGAGTGGGATGTAATTATAGCGTACAGAAAAGGGTTAGGGACTTTAAAAGAAGATGTTTTGGCCACGGTGGAAACTAAGAGCAGGCGTATAGTGTTAGGCTAACTTAGCCCCTATTATATAACAGATATGTATTGAAAGATACTCGGAACGATATTAATTTCGTGTAATACTTAACCATCTACTTGACCAAACCGTCTCGTAGAGGAGGCTTAGAACGCGCCATAGAAAGACCAAAGTTTTCCAGGGTCTCTTAACCAGCTAAATAGTCTAACACCAAGCCGGTTCTGCTCCAATAAGACTCTATCAGCCCATCACGTAGTAATATACCTTCGTGATTTCGAAACAGGCACACTTGAGTATCCTTGTCTAATGCGTCTTAATCTGCTCCCCCGGGAAGCCAAGAACAAATCTGGTCCATTGGTTTTAAGTCAGTTTAAGCCGTTAACTGCGTTTAACTCATCGAAATTGCTGATCGGGCCATAATATTTACCGAGTAATTAAAACTTACAATTTCCGATCAATACTCCCATGACGATGTCAATCATACAATTTTCAGGTGTAAGTACCAACGCACGTCTCAGATTTATTCCGTCATACGTCTTGTGTACTATGTAAACAAAGTCACGGTCTTTTCTATTAGCTATTGACACTTGACTCACAACGTTAAATCATTTGGTTTGCCAATGGGGGTGTGACGTACCTAGGTAGCGAACGTTAAACTTCTAGGTACTTATTACACAACTCTAAACAGCACAAGTAAAAATAATTATTCTACTCCATCTCAAATCTCAAATTTCAAGTAATTAATTGGAGGCACAACTCAAGATGAACAGAATTATTCCCTCGTTGCTCCCACCAAATCAATTTGGTCGGGTCAGATTCTCCACTTATCGCAGTCTTCATCACGGGTTTACTCATCTTCTCAAGTACCAATTCATCGACGAAGTAGAACCTCTTTGGGTGTACCAACCTGGAGGTTTTCACCCTGTTCATATCGGTGACCAATTCCATAACCGGTATCGAGTAGTTGAAAAACTTGGGTTCGGGGACTCTTCGACTGTTTGGCTTGCACGCGATAATGAGATAAATAAGCTCGTCGCAATCAAGGTTAGCAATTGTGGCCGCAATCTAAAGGAGACAGATATATTATCAGCTCTGAGAAATGCTATCGGAAGCGGCGAGAACCAACGAAACAGCTTCTTTCCTCCGGTCCTTGATCGCTTCGAAGTACGAGGTGTTAATGGCGTCCATTCGTGTTACGTGACGGAGCCAGCTATGATCGATCTAGAAAACTTCAAGAGTTCACCCCTGTACGGATTCGAACTAGACGTTGCTCGCGTCTTAGTTGCACAGATGGCACTATCTATGGCGGCGATGCATAGCCAGGGCTATGTCCATGGGAGTAGGTTTGATTGTTAAGGAACCTTAATTAGGAACATCTGCTAACATTTGGGCACCTTTTGACGTTCAGATTTTCATCTAGGGAATGTTCTTCTAAGATTTCCCTCGTCCGCATTTCGGGATCTATCAGATCAACAATTATATGATAAATACGGAGAACCGTCTTGCGAACCTATTACTCCTATTGAAGGCGTAAAGCGACCACCGAACCTCCCTTCTTATGGTGTGGTACCCGCTTGGTTTGGCGGCAAGGAAGATCAAACAGTTTCCATGCAAGACGCAAGAATCTGGATAGTCGATCTAGGTGACGCTTTTGCTCCCCCCGCAGACCCTGAAGGTGTTTCGAGCGGCTGTTTCGAGTACATGGCACCGGAATTCTTATTCAGTCCAGAGAACAGCAAACTTTCGTTTTCGTCTGATATATTCTCCCTTGGTGTTTGTATGTGGAATCTCCTTAGCGAGAGAAACCTGTTCGTTAGCTTCCTTGGAATCGACGACGAAATTATGGCGGATCATGTTGATCTCTTTGGACCGAGCGGCATGCCGAGCTCTTGGTGGGATAAATGGGAAAGACGCTCGGAATATTATACAGAGACACGCGATTCAGTACCCGACTATGCTAAGGATGTTCAATCGTGGGATTTTATGTTTAAGGAATGCATACAGGACGTACGGGAAGAAAAAAAATATCAACAAGTCTCACCCGAAGAAAAAGAAGCCATCTACGACATGCTCCGACCTATGCTTGCTCTTAACCCGGATGATCGATGCACGGCGGCGCAAGTCCTCGAGTCGAAGTGGATGACACAATGGGTCTTACCTGAATATCAAAAGCTAAAGAAGTAAGACATAGCATATCAAAGTCAGGAATACCTATTCAGATGAATAAAGTCCATCTCTCCTCTAGTTTATTTTCCTTTATCCAACTGCTCGCTTCCTAATACAGCATGTACCCCATAGCCAGCGAGGCTACCAGAGTAAATATACGGCTATGTTGCGTAAGAGGTATATCTCGAAACCCGTATCCTAAAGTAACTGTTTCCCCAAGGACATTGTCTCCCGGTCGTACAATGCCGAAAACGATACACAGGAACCATTTAGATCGGTCCTTAGATATATTTCAGGATTGTTTGAGGTAATTTAGATTGATATCAGCTACTTTAATAAGCCGAGTTCAGTCAAATAACCATAGCACTTGGCCACTTGCGACTCAGTTCAGGTATGCTGCCAAGGTCCCTGCTCTCTCGCTCAACACATATGTTTGATTGCTTCAATCTGTACATATTGGCAAGAATCCCGGTTATTAAGGATTCGTAAGTAGAATTTGATTCGCCTTGCTGAATAAGAATTTGGGAATTAGGCCGTTCTACCGAACCAGGAGCCGAGACCCTATTGACGGGAATCACAACGAAAACTCACCGACTGCGTAGGGGACACTGTTGTAACACATAGCTAGTTTGACCAGGAATCTCTCGGGGGTCACTCAGGTCGGACCAGGCCACTGGACTTAACCATCGTCATGTTACAACAAAAGCTTCCCTTATTCCAAAAAGAGTGCATTCTCAGCCTCATCCTAAGGGGAGCGCACCCTACATGTCGTCAAGTATGTATAGAGTACAGAAGCCCAGATTTAAGCCCTCGGCGAAGTCTTGGGACCATCGCTTCAACCTTGAAAGCCGCGGGCCTTTACAAGAGGGCTTAAAAGTGAATATGCAATGTCTTTAGGAAATGCTCGGCCGCCACCAGAATTTTACTCGTGGCAGTCGATCTTTATATAAGCGACAGTGGCAGATATTGGAAATGTCGACGAGAAGCCTTTTCACGTGATATCAAGTACGTCTTGTGAGAAGGGGGGAAAGGGTACGACTTGTCCGTGGCGTTGAACTTTGTTCTAGATTTCTCATCTAAAATCTTAACATAATGAAAACCTTTGATGATTACTCCATTCCTGTGTAAAATTATAGAGATGCGAAATATCTATGTTTACAGCAGCTTAAGAAACAGCGACGAAGAATAATAGGCCTAAAGTCTCCCATCGAGCCTCCTGGCAAGAAAATTGGGCGCTATGATCCGTGATTGTTGTTGCTATGGTTGTAGGTAAAGGTATTAATTGGTAAATAACCCTCTTGATTTATTCATTTCGTCTCGTAATTTTTTAGCCAACTGGCCCAGTATACCCGCTACTCAGCATTCCGTAAAAGACCTTACTAAGGCTAAGTTTGCTCTTTTAATAACCCATCCCTTGACTAAGGTAGCGCAATGCAAGACTTGATATGAAGTACGGAACTGCTTAATTAACTTTGCTACGTGAGAGACCTTCCCGTCGTTCTCTGGACTCTTTAACTAGGCGTCTCTTACATCAGATTCGAGACCATTAGTCTCATAGCCGTTCACCACCGAAATATGGTCAAAGAAGGTAGCACAACTAAAAAGTCCAAGTCTTAGTTAAAGACTCCGCCGAGGCCTAGAGTAAATTGTTGCCAAACGCATCTTTGAGCTAGATAGATTATAATAATCAGTCAGCACTTTATTAACTCGGATAATTCTGACCTTGGTACTTTAGATAAAACAATATGGGCCTACGCTTTGATTTTCTTTTAAACGGCCTCGGCGTATATGTAGTTGACTATTTTGTCTCTATCACGGTACCGGGACCATAATGTGAATGATCGCAAACAAGCTTGGAAGATTTACATGGTTCACAAGTAGGCCTTCTTAAAAGTACGGTCAGCTAGGAATATATCACGGAGCTAGCCTCAACAACTTAGCTCATCATATTATAATCAGTTGAGTTACTATATAAGGCGAACGCTAAACTATAGGTAGCAGAGCTCATACTTAGTTCCTTAATCAACACCGTTATACACTTAGATTTCGTGCACCTTAAGTGACTGATCGTATTTCTACGTGACTTAACAGTATACGTTTATAGACGGGAGTCGTGTTTAATACAAGTATCATACGAATATTTGCGTTATAAATACCCGTTCAAACTGAATGTCGAATGGCTCGTACGTGGGTAGCAGCGGAATCGGCCAAACTACATAGCTCCCTCGTATAAGTCTACCACTACCACATTTGAGCGCAAATTTATTTGCCTAGCCATTACTTAGACCGTAGTGCGGAGCCGCAAGCACCACATAACTTGTTAGTAATGTATATCTTCCGCAGTACCCTAGACCGAGCCCGATATGATAGAGTTGAGCTTCGGGTATTCACCCCCTGAATATTTTATGCATTTCTCACAAGTGTCACTACTTCGCTACACATTCACTTTTAGAAATATTTCATTAGTCGAGTTGAGTATATTTAACTGCGTAAATCAAGTGCTTATTTAATTTGTTGGAAACGCCGTCTTCGTTTCCTGAGGAATGACCGCAAGCTTGGCAGGCAGACAGCCACCAGACTGGCCACTATTTCCACCAACGCCCATACATCAATGGTGTGAGTGATGTCGGCTTTGGGTGCATTCCGAACCAGCATCAGCGTTATCCATCGCGCCAGTGCCGCTACGATGCTCAACGCTGCCATGCATAGCACGAATACTATCCCGCTTATTTCTGCTTTTCCTATCCGTGTCTTGGTTATCTCTCGGCGCTCCCGGCCCATAGTACACAGTGCAAAGACAGGGATGGTAAGGACGATAAGGTCCGTGAAGATATTCGAGGCCGTGGATATAGACACGGATCTAATATCGTGGACTGCAGAACATAGATGCCCGTCGATGTTCCAATTCCCGCTAACAGGCGAACACCACGCTGATAACAGCACCATGTGCAGCACGAAGGTGCAACTGGCAAATACGCTTGCGCAGATAAGCATGATGCGGGCAGCTCGATTCTCGGTTAGACGCAGCAGATCGGCGAAGAATGCGAGGAGAGAAAACTTGGCGGCCCACAGGGAGATGTAAATGAAGAATAGAGAGATCCAGGAGACGTAGAGGAGGTGGGCGGATAACTCTTTTGGAACCCCGTAATAGAGCTCATCGGGCGGAAGATGGATATACTGCTGCCGGAGATTATTCTTCCAAGTGTTGATGCTAATTAATACCATGCCAGAGAGCCACGAGAGCAGCACGAGGCCGTCAGAGAGGTTGAGCGTTACTGTTCGCGGCTTTGATTCTCTGGGTCGTAACCAAAAACGAAGAATTATCGGAACAAGGGCAATCGTCATGCCAGTCCAGTCGATCGCTATGAATGCAGCTAGACGCAGTCAGCTCACATACTCGCAAGCGGAAAGTAACAGGAGACGCACGTAACGGAATATCTATGTCGTTATAAGTCATGATGCCAGCACCCCGTCCATGCAGATGAGAAGCGAATGAATGAGATGGAGAAGGTTAGTAAAGATCTATGTAGCTATAACGCTACAGCGCTGCAGTCTATCAAGCATCTTCGAAGGCGAGAGTCAGCATCGAGGTGAGAGACCTCTGCGTGATATAAGTATGTAAGCAATAGTCGCACCGCATACAGCAAAACCAGGTCCCGGGAGATAATCGTGTCCAGCGTGCGTTCTTGGTTCTTGCCGAGGAATGAAGCGGCGAAGCATACATATGCACGTATATGAAAGTCACACCTTGCAATCGATTATAATGCCCGTTCGATTGGTTTATTAATAGCTTCTATTCGACTCAACCTTCCTCAGGATCCGCGGATGCCGCTCTATTTGCGATGATGATTGGAGACAGCTCACGCAACCACTCGGTCTACCCCATGCGTTCGGGGTCCACCTCAGAAGCTGGGGAGTTTTATCGACTTGAATGAATGTGCTTCGACACTGTGGTGTTTGTGAGAAGTGGTTGGTTGATTACTTGCGGCGACGCCGTCGATTGGACAGTGTAACGATATCCTTTGGGTCGGATACGTTGTTGCAGCATGCGGCTAACCGCAAATAGGTGCGTATTTGAATGTCTTACCCAGGTCCCGACCTGGGTAGGGATGGTAGATCTTTGGCTGACGGCTTTTGGGCCTCCAATTGGCCATGAGAATCGTACGTAATTGTTTATTAAAGAGCTACTTACCGGGTTGTTGAATCCTCCTTCAGGTAGGGCTGGAAATCTCACATATGTAAGTGGTAGACGACGATGTATGGAACTTTTTATTAACTTGAACCTTTATTTAGAAGAGCTTGTTCGTGTCGGATAATTTCTCGTCTTGCACTAGACTAGGCAGCTTTTAGTTGCGGCCAGGTTAAGACACGATACTTTATGTTTCTAACCCCCTGGTACAAGGCGCGGGTTGGTTGCCTCTATTTGACCGCCACAATTCACGGCTTCCCGATAAAAGCTACCGATAACCAAAAATAAGTCACAGGCATCTTTTTGTTATGCATTAGCTATAAGAGAAAATATATTCCAAAGTCTTAAAATAATCTAGGATTGATTACATCTTCTTGAATACTTGGCGATTACTTGGCGATTATAGCATACGGGATAGCCGTATATCTCTTTTAGTCTTTGCGAGGGATCTAAAATAATTAATCATCTTGACAGTGCTACCTCGTGCGATCTGTACAACTTGAACTTATGTAGTGTGACCACACCGGGTAACGAGCCGATGCCGACAGGTCCGGGATAGGAACGTTCTGTACCATGCAAGAACACGGAGTGTAGGAGGTTGAAGCAAAATATCCTGCATTGTCCTTTATGTTGATTTATAAGACATGTGTAACTCTTTGTGTGCCACATCCCACATGACTCGAATCTTAAGATGGGAAGATAGGCTCAGGTTCGGACCATGTTGACCTAACATCCAAAGACTATATACAAGAGTCTTGAGCGTAAAGTATAACATATTTAGGTACAAGCGGTTGTAACGAAACGTAGCTTCAAGTCCTTGACTGCCCAATTTTTATAGTAGTAGCGTACTGAACGCTCTTTATATATATATTTACAGAGTTATTACTATTTTTGCTAATATTTTGCTAACCCATGATCGTGCTCCGGTGGCTTGTGTGGTAAAGGTATGATATTACAACCCTTTTATATAAGACTTTAGCCAAGATATACAAAGTTCAAAATTACAGCTCGAGTTCGCAATGTCTCATAATGAAGAAGTACGTATCATAATTCGGCATTCTATTTATACCATCGACCTATTTGTTGTAACACGGCGCCAAACCAAGCAACGCCGTGTCTCAAAGCTTCGTGTTCCGACGTGAAATTGTCTATCGCATGCAGTAAACAAGACACGTAATACGCTATTAGAGTCCGACTTGGAAAGCTGGATCTTGTCTGCCTTTTCGAGCGATATCAGAAGATACCTGGCGAGATCCTATCATTGTAAGCAAGGAAGATATTCCGAATTCTTTGATGCTCAGTTAGTATTGGCTTGTGGTGGATTATCAGTAATGCTAATGGTTATGTTCTTACACCTCGATAAATCTATATTAACCAACAAAACTATGACAGAACAACTCGGAGTAATTCGATAACCAAGAGAGGAGTTGACTAAAAAGCCCGGCTTTAATGTAAAAATGTGCAAATACAGCAACGAGGCTACTAGAATCATTTTGGATGGGTTTATGCTTTTGGTTTCACTAAGCTTCTTATGCACCGTTACAACTACATTTACAAACTACCATACAACCAACCTTTATTCATGTGAGAAGTTTATATTGTTTAAGATAGTTCTTTGATTAAAGTAAAACCATTAGCTTTGCTACGCTATGTCACTCCGCTCTCATGAACCTTTTCTCCTTCATGGTCTATCTTTACTTGAATTAATGACTACTAACGCAGCACTTTAAGTGGATTTATACGTTCGATTCGTTTGAAGTCTCTCTTTAGGATAAAACTATTTGCCTTCAAGACTTGGAGCCAATCAATCATCACTATCTTTGCACCAGAATTATGTAATGGATTGATCTCATGAAAATATAACCTAGGCTTTAGATTATGATATTCAAGGGGTCATCAATGAGAGCTTTACTGAGACAGAAATTTGTAACCGTCTTCAGTTTCTCGTACCACGTTCTTAGCTTCGAGAATGCTGCACTACTTTGCTTGACTCTTAAATACTTAGCAATCTCGTGGCGATTAGAAGGGATCATATTGTATAACTCTTTACATGCCAATTCAAAGCAGTGTTGGGTTATCTTTGTCAATTTATTAATATGAACGCCTCAAATATCGTGTTTGGCGTTGATAGCAAGTGATATAGACCCCTTAACCGATTCCAAACAGATCGCAGACCTGGAATTCTCGAGCATAAAGTGCTGGTCTACTTAATGCAATTGTCGATCCCGCCTCATCCGTGGTATGTGTTCCCTTGGGACTCTTGTTGTCCGCAAAAACGCCACCTGATCCCAGGAAATGGGCCTCTAAACTACCTAAGCTAAATGCACCCTTGCCTTGCTTTCATATGGGTATCAACTCGGATCGTGCTCGAATTTGTTGCGCATGCCATGTCCCAGTGTGCTCATTTGTCGCGATCCCCACCGATTCTCTCTAGTGCTTCTAGCATGACCACGGAGTTGCCTCGGATGACCTAAAGTATTGTAGTTAGTTTGTGTCGGTATTCGCGACGTCGGTACCATAGTTACGTACGACCATCCCTAATCTGACCTTCTCGCCTCCGTCCTTCTCTTCTACAGCATCGTCTAGAACGATATTCAGGAAGACCTAGGTAATAGTTAGCCCGTGCGCATATAATAACGCGTAAATGTGTCGCGTAGATGAGGAGGAATGTGCTTGATAGCTTACATCGTAGCCGCGAAGAATGCCGAGGACTTTACGGCTTCCGTTCAGTTGGACGAACAGTCTCTTATCGAGGTACTACATAATGTTTAGTAAGCATGACGCTGCAAATTGAAGCATAATGAAATAGCATACCTTCTTGAGCTCGGGTTGTGCGGGTGCCATCTTGACGGTATTTATTTGAGTCTGTGATGGAAGATGGCTGGAGGAAAGACGTTACTATTGACGAAAAGAACCCGAGCTCATGGTACGCTGATAAGATAATGTCATAGCTCAATTCCTTATCGATAATGATTACTAGCTGCAGAGTACAAAGGTACAATGCGAATAGTACCTAAACCTTCAACATTAAACTTCAATATTTCGGGTTTCGAACCTCGTAACTAACTCATTGGAAGGCAAATCACTATAGCTATACAAAATGAGCGCGTTTGGAGCTAAGCGAAAAGCACGGAAGATCACGGTTCAAGATGACGACGAAGATATAATCTCAGCCGAATCTTTAAATCCACCAGAAGAACCCCAGGGACCACCATTACAACCCTCATTCAAAACAAGTCGCAATAAGCCATTTAAGCACTCGTCTCTACGGAAAAGCATAAATGTTGATAAGTTTGAAGATGATGTAACTTCCGATCAACAGTCCGCATCTACAAATACCAAAGCGGAAGCAGAAGATGACGAAGATGGCGATGCGCCCCTACGAATTCGACCGCCGTTAGGAGGAAGGTCGGGGTCTAGCAAGATGAAGAAAAGGGCATCCAGCTCACGCCTATCGTTTGGCGTTCCTACCGAGGAAACTCCCGGGAACGAGGATTCCATGATACTTGGAGAAGAAGTCTCTACACCCAAACGCTCTACAACACTCGCCCATGCCGCAGCCGAAAACAGCGCTTACAAGAAGGGCATTGCCAAAAATCTGCCTTTAGGCCGGCTTCCCATGCGTTCCAACGATACCGACGATGACCGTCCGCGATATAGCAAAGAGTACCTCTCCGAACTTCAACAATCCACTCCGAATACGCCCCAGGACCTGTCTAAACTACAGCCTACTTCCGATGACGAGATGATACTCGACCCATCCGAGCTCGAAGGCGCCCTAGTAGTAGACACGGCAACAATACATCCAACATCTCCCAAGAAGACTCCGATCTTAACCGAAGTCGAGATCCAAGAGAAAAAAGCTCGACGCGCTCGCCTAGCCAAGGAAGGAAGCAAAGACACCGACGACTTCATCTCGCTCTCCGACGACGACCGCGGGGCCGGGGACTCATATCTTACCATCCTGTCGCGACGACACGAGCCCAAGTCCACAAAGGACACGCGTCTAGTCGCCGAAGACGAGGACCTAGGCGAGGGCTTCGACGAGTTCGTCGAGGATGGCGGGCTCTCCCTCGGCAAGAAAGCCGAGCGGGAAGCCCGGCGGCGCCGCCGCGTAGAAATGGCCTCTCTAATTACGGCTGCCGAAGGGGGCTCAGACGACGAGTCCGACGACTCGGAAGCCGAGCGGCGGGCCGCGTACGAGGCGGCGCAGACACGCGCGGGAATGGACGGGCTAGCCGAGGAGCGCGAGCAGCAGCGACGACGTCTCGGTGCCGCGGCAAATAATCCGCTCGCGGTTATACCGCGGATTACGCCGCTGCCGGATCTCAGCGTGCTGGTTGAGGAGTTTAAGGCGCGCATGCGTCGGAAGCAAGAGGAGATGGCGCGGCTGCGGGGGCGCATTGAGACGTTGCGCGCTGAGAGGGAGGGTATACTTAAGCGTGAGCCGGAGGTGCAGAGATTGCTTAATGAGGCTGGCGAGAGGTACCGCATATTGATGCCTGGGGCCGCCGATACGGGCGCATCGAACGGTGAAGGTAGTGGTAGTAGCAGTGGCAATGAGAATAGGGATGCTGCGGCGCCTGGTGCTACCACAGCTACAAGCAACGTCGTCGCCGCGCAGTCGCTCTTAGATCAAGCGAGGGTCGGTGGTGGTACGCCCGGTCAGAGAGGATTGGATAGCTTAGGGACTACGCCGGTGAGGCAGAGGTCGCAGATGGAGATGTAATATGATGGATACAATATGTTATGATACGCAACACTTAGAATACTACAGCAGTCACTTTGGAAGACGGAAGGAAATGCGAGTCCAATTTAATGAATCTTGATGTTATGAACCTAGCCTTCTACATAAATGAAATAACTTTCTGAGAACCGCCAATAGACGGTGGAGACAGATATGCTAACCAGCGCCCGTTATTCGATTGATTAATCGTTCGTTTGTCCCCGGTATCGATACACGTATGATACATGTGCATTATGGCCGTACGTGATATACACAACGGCTTGAGTCCTTCGCTTTGCTATCCATCCCTTCTGATCACTCCCGCCGCGAATCCTGCTCTCCTGATCCCGTTTCAAAGAAAGACCATCAACCGGCAATAGATATGTATATCGAAATATCAACCTTACTTCGTAGTCCGCGAGACACCAGCTCCGATAACACCAGGTAACTTTTCCTCACCGACGCTAAACAGCAGACCGATAGCGAAGGCAACAGTAGCAACGAGGGCAATCGACACGCCAGCGAAGAGCCAGAATGGGGTGCTAACATCGCGCTTATGACAAGCAGAGCCGCCCCAGTGGTACACGCCAGTGTTGCCGCGAGCGTCAGTCTCGTTGGTAGCCATGCAATGGCAGAAGAAACACGCTTTCTTAGCCCCGTCAACCTTGCCCCATCGATCGACGCATTGCCCGTGGCCTGAACACGAGTCCGTCGCGGTGATGCACGCGTTGTGAGAGGTGAAGCAGGAAGGTAGGATGGGGGCGGGCGCTGGGCGGGATACGGCGACCGGGGAGTCTAGGCTGGAACCGAAGGCGTGGAATGGTTTATCGGCGTTGGCGCCGGGGTGACTGACGGTGGAATCGGCCGTGGGGATGTTGACGAAGTCGCCGTGGTCTTCGGCTAGTACTTTCTCTTCCTTGACTGCTCGGCGGCGAAGCTCGTCGGATTCGCTGCTGGGGGGTGCGAGGAGGAGGATGGTGATTTCAAGCTTGCCGGCGAGGGCTTGGGCGTTGAGAGACTCGATGTTTTGTCCCAGTTGTGCGATTGCGTTCTTGTTCTATTGATAGTTAGTTTGCCGCGAATATACCGGATCGAAAAGAGACGGTGTCTACCTTGGTAACATCGTATTCGAGATACTGCGTCTTGCCTTTCCAGCACTTCTCGTTATCGGAGTCGATGGATTGTTCGAACGCGCAGTTTGATTTCTTGCCCGCAACAGGTAACCGGCTCAGTCCAGGAGCTGTGAAGGCGAGAGGCACGCGCGGTATGGCGCCCTTGAAGTCCTTGTGTTTATCAGCCGTGATGCCGGAGAAAGCAATAACGAGCTGGCGAGGTTCGTTCGCGTCTTTGGCCTCTCCAAACAGTGGTCGGGGTGCCTTTCCGAACCGGTTGATGTAGGATACAGATTCGTCTTGGGAAAGAGACTCGGGCAGCTGCCCCAAAGACGCGGGTTGCTCTGGCGTGCTGAGGCGCTGGAGGAGGATAGCTCGGGCGAGTTCGTTTGGTATCGAGGGAGGATTCGAGGGAGTTGTAGTCTTTGATTGTCTGATGATGTAGGCCTCGGCATTCTGTTGCTGGTCTTCGGCGCGGGTAGTGGCAATGCCAGCTAAGGCCGGTAGTAAGAAGCTGTGTAGCTTCATTTCGTCGAGGTTGGTTGATCCCGAAGCTGTTTTAGATATGATGGAGATGACGAAAATAGGCTTATGTGACGCTGTTGCGTCTCAGGGACATGAGAGTCTAGTTGAACCCCGGATAATGCATATAATAGGATAGTAATGCAAAGTCCGTAGTTCATGCATAATCTGAACAATCGACACGTGATAGTTATACAAATCTGATAAGATATGTCTGTATGACAAAGACAATATCGAATTATTGAATGCGGGTGGCACAGTACGAATATTCATTATAACTGTCTCAGTTCGACGGTGGGGATGGACGTACGTATTGAAAGTTGAAAGTTAAAAAGTCAGGGTCTCGAACTTCTAGTGTAGAAGCACATGTTCCATGGCTTTTCCAAATCACTATTTATAAAAGCTAATATTTCGCCTCGTTCGCTAATTTATAACTTATATCTAAATGTCGACAATCCTCTCAAGTATCTTTTCGATGTAGGGTTGTCATGAAATGATCGATGCGACGCAGAAGACGGGCAACCTCTAAGGAATAATTCAACCATTTGGTCCATCCCTCGATATCCCGAACGAGAAGACAGTCACGTTTCTCCCCTTCCTCGGCCGCCTATTCCGGGCGCGCCTCTATTACGATGCCTTCCATGTTGCGACTCCTGCGATTACGGCCGAATATCCTTTCCCTTACCTCAAGGGCCAACCGGTCAAATCTGCCCAGTTCTCAAATTATCCATGTGCATAGAGTCAATATCCGGCGAAAATGGTTCAAGCCAATGTATGCGACGTCCACCATCCGTCTTTCCAGTCGTCGCCACGAATGCTAAGCTGTATCGCGCAGGAATTTTATAGTCGCTGGGTGCATCTATTATATGTGCTACCAAGTATATACGTCGTCTGTTCTTAGTACCCTTGGTAGGTGGCTCGACGATCAAGAAAAGCACCTAACCGAGGCGGAACGGCAAGAGATAGAAGAAGCAGAGTACGACCCTATATTTATTCCGCTCCCCTTCACCATGAGGATAGTCCCGTCCGAACCCTACAAAAGCACCGATCCGGAGTGGCAAGCCTTTGTCAGGGTTAGCAAGGATAGAGAGAAAGTGAGGGGCATTCAGAGTAAGCTAATTTACATGCTCGAGGGGGAGAAAAGGAACGCTGGCTGACAAACCCGTAGGTGGACTCGCCGATCTTGTTCGCAAAACCGCATCAACACATCCTATACTTCTCCGGAGGTGCGGCGGGAACATGGAACTAGGACGGTATTGGCTCGACATACAGTACCCATCCCGGCCACCACCGACGTTCGTTCGGAAAGGGTACGTCCCATTCCCACTCCGAAGATGCGCAGTTAACTTTGAAGTCTAAACCTTCTTTACAGAATATCAATAGGCGACGACGGTACTTATATCGCAGAGGAAACTGTCGATACCGTGACTGCTATCCAAGTGCGACGTGCTCTTTGGCCAAGTACACTCACCATGTCGTTATGGAGTTTCTCGGGGGCGTTATTGAAGCAGAATGCTTCAAATTTTGCTAAGCTATTTGGATACGCGCCCACTCATCCGGATACCTCATTTCAACAGGCCGTCGAAAAGCTGAAGAAGTCCACCGGAGAGCCCAACTCTAAAACCCCAAAGTCTCTTTCATCCGCAAACACGCGCGCAGCTGGTAATTCGTCAACAGACCCGACTTCTCCTGTCGAGAAAAGATCTGCTGAAACAACACCAGATCCCAGGCCCTCGACAACCTCTTCCGGTTCGGGGGTGAGCAGTCCGGTCCCAATCATCCCCAACGCCGAGCCAGGCAAACCCAAGAGCGCCAAAGACATGTACGGTATCAAGACTACGCAAGAACATACCAGTGGGCCATGGATTGCATTCAAGCAAACCTTTGTACAGACATGGCGACCCATCGGCGGGTTTCCTCCGCGGGGAGCGATATACGTGGCCGGGCTCGTAGAAATTACAACCCCGCGTGCTTTTATCACAGTCGATGTCGCCGCGTGGTGGGACCCGAAGACGGAGACGTTTGACATGAAGAGCACTAATATTCGTCTCAAAATGATACGTGACAGGACGCAAAGCCCCCTAAGGTGAAATAGGCAGCGGGTCAAACTAGGGCCGTAGGAATCATCACAAATGACATTAACAGGTTAGGCTGGCGTTTAGGAGGTAAAGGGAGGGGGGCAGGATCGAAAACGGTTTGGCAGAAGCTAGGCAAGATGCATCGCTGCATGCATATCAGGGGCGTTTTTCGGCTACAGGGATATTACTTTCTTCTTCGAAATGTTTCATAATGGAACTAGAGCGAGCGAGTTTTGAGAAAGCTTTCTAAGACTAGTAGATACCATAGAGACGGGTTCGGAGGACGTTCCGCCTGCCGGATACCCAAGGGTCCAGCGGATTTATACATATGCGTTGCTATTCTAGCGCTATGAATTATAGAAAGCCTTGCTTAGACGTTTGGTGGGTGCTCGTCGTTATATCACAATACCAAGGAGATACTTCAGATGATTTAAGTACAATACGATGACATTTACCTTGGACCTTGGTCTTCAGTATGAAGTGTCTAAATAAAGCGCCGTGTACTCTACCACCATGAAGCTACCTTGGGTTGAGGAAATACGACGTCAACTTAAGCCCATGCCTCTATAGGTACATTACCAGATATATTACTATTTGTTATTAACAAAGCGACGAGACTCAAGTGTGTGACGCAGATCGCGGCAGACTAAAATCAGCCTTATCTTACCTGTCACTTCCTGTCCTTTCCCGCGTACTCTATAAAAACAGCTAAGAGTGTATATCCCGCTTGAGTTTTATCCGACAAGTATCCTTAAGTGTACGATGAATGTAGTTACATTATCCATCTGATATATGACAGGACTTAAAGGCTTGGGTAGCTAACTAAGATGGGAAAGTATTTAATACCTAATATATGAAGCTGGAGGAGATTTTTGAATATTTGTTTCATTTTGAGCTAGGCTCTGTAATTTTGAATCGTCCTTTTCTTTGATTAGTGATAGGTAGATAGCTGCGCTGCCATACATGATAGAATGTCAATTGAGTAGCCGCCATGCTGTGGCACATCGACAGTGTAAGCACCTACGCATCTCTTGAAATACAGAATGTACACGTCGCCTCGTAATGATACATCAGGATACTAGGCAATAGAGGGTGACCGGCGTGGGGTGGTAAGCACATAAGTGATAAAAGACGCAGCAACAATCACTACGAGTTTGCCGGGTGGTCAGAGGCCAACGGGCAGCTTGAATGGACTACCATATATGCATGTACTCAGAGGCGGTAGGATGACCAAACCCCCTTTTCCTTTTTTTTTGTCTTTTTCCTTTTTTTGTCTTTTTCGTTTTACCTCGATATAAATTCAATTTTCTATTTCACAAAACGTGAAAATGCATACATGAATACTGAATTAGGTACCTTAACTAGGTAGGTAAGTTATTCTACTTCATGTTTATTGATGCTTCACTTGTTGTAAAATGACGAAATGCCGTTGGTTGAACCCCGTTTGCAATTCTATCAATGGAGAATGAAAATGGGAAATCTGCGCCGAGCCATTCCCAGTGGCCAATTGGTTGGTATCATCTCGCCGATTCGAGATGAGTGTAGCACAAGCTGCCGGGACGCTGCTGGCAGATTCCAGGGGTGGCCGTTTGTTTTGTTCAACACCAACATGGGACACGGTGCGTGCCCAAGACTGGATGTGGGAGCTGAGGTAGGTAACAAGTCAAATATACCTTGATAGGTAGTGCAGAGAATATAAAGCAATTTTCTGACGACAATTATTTTCTACAATCTTTCAAGTGAATCAACCTTGCAACAATGAATTTAACTTATTGGATTATCGCTGCTATCAAGATCGGGTTTGGCACCTGGTTTCTCGCACTGATATTTAGAACATCCTACTATCTTTTTACTAAGCAGCAAAGATCCTCGTCAAGTAACAACGTACAATCTATTCTAGACCATAGAGCAGTTGCAAGCTTCGGGGTTCTCCAAGATAGGTGTTTGCAGAACCGGCTCATAGCCCGAGCCATACCTAATGGAAGACTGATAGATGTGTTCGGGATCGACAACCCGTTCACAACTACAAGTGTAATCATCTATAGGAGATTCATACAAAAGGTCGGACCAGGATTACACGGGACAAAACCCGAGAAGTGGCTTAAATTTTTCAAAGCCGCCTCCACAACACTAGATCTTATTTTACTCCAATTTCGGGGCGTAAGATACTCGTTACCCTTAGCTGATCTTGCTAGACAGCTCGTCTTCATTTCGATCTTACATTCGTTCTTCGACGTGGATCCCAAGAATGTCAATCTCGACGACGTAGGCATCGCGACTGCATCTATTAACTTTCTTTGGGTGCACTCGAAAACAGCACCGCAATGGTACCCATTGGGAAGACGGGTGGTGCTCGAAGTGGCACTACAGCAAATACTCCCAGACAAGTTCCCTTGTAGCGCCGAGGATCACCCTCTGAATATCATCATCCCGGCCTACGAGACAATGTGGCGCGTCGTTTTATTGACATTCGTCTCCGCTGGGTTCCGGAACGTAGACCAAGAGACAGCAGACCAGTTCCGAAAGGTTATCGAACGAGTACCGAAATGTTTTAAGGGCAAAAAATCAAAAGATGTAAGAGCGATGGCAGTAAATTTCGCCAGGGTAAGCTAACATCTATATCTACTTACCGCAGACATTGACGTCTCTGTTTGTACTCTACAAATAGACATCTGCTGACTTTCACAGGAGGGTCTTCGTCTATATCCCCCAACAAAAAGGATCTATCGCGCCGTACCTACGGAATCTCAGAGTCCCCCGTTTTTCACCTACGATGAAAAGATCGCCGACATCGAAAATTGCCACAGGGATCCCAATATCTGGATCAACCCGGAGCAATTCCGGCCATCACGGTTCCTCCCAGAAGAATTCACGGATGCCATGAAAGAGGCGTACTTACCGTTCAGCATCGCGCCGCACCGCTGCCCGGCCGCTGACACATTTGCTCCTCATGCTATTATCATCCTAGTGGTCGTACTAGCAAAGGGCTTGGGCACTCTAGAGTCAGGCTCGAACGTGCGGTTTGGGAATGCTAGGCTAGACGGGGATAGGAGTGCACTGTTGCCGTCTGGGAGGTTGGATATGGAGGATTGGAGGCTAGAGATGAAGGATGCCGTCTGAACTATCGAGTGGCTACGTGATATGGCTGTGTGATATGTGACAGATAGGACAATCCAGGCAACATAGCTAAGAAGGGGGGATTTCACCGGCGCCAAGCCTATTGCCAAACTTTGGAGGACGTCTTTCTGGTAGCACAACGTTTAAGGGTGAGGGACTACATATTGAAACGTTCTAGAATGTATTAGTACTACCAGTTTTAGATGTCTACCTCCTTAGGAACTTTCCCGGGATTCTTCAACGCTTGCTCCCCTTCTCTTAGCACACTACCTCTGTCGCCATAAATACCTATTCAAGGCCACATCCTTCTAATTTGGATCCCGTCCGCTGATCGGTCGGGCCGCGTCGATCTGCTGCAGCTGCTGGTGCTGGACCAGCATTGGCATTTCCCCCAAACAGCCTAGCAGCACCTATGGAGGCGCAAAGACTCGTCAAAAAAGTCCTAAGATTGGTTGTATTAGGTACGTAATGCTTCATGAGCCTATCTCCACTTATTAATCTCCAAAGTCGATGAGAGGTTCCTCATCACCTATCGGCTTTTAGTGAATCGTCTTAATCACGAGAGTTCTCTATTTGGGATTGGTTTACCTTTGGGGGGTATAGGGTGCGGCGACCCCTGTTTGTCTGCTTGAGGTTCAGCCCCATGATCTTCTGGTATCTCCTCGACTGTCATGGACGCTTCATTAGTAGTTGCATTCAGACCATGAGTCTGAAAGGGTTTGGCTTTTTTAGCAGTTCCTCCTCGGGGTACCTCCCGCTGTGCTGGCTCAGTCTTTAGGGTTTGAACTGTCTCGTTTCCTGTTTGCACCACGTCAAAAGTACGTGCCGAAGATGACCGCTTGGAAATCTTTTCGTTCTGCCTATCGATCTCGCGTTGCCTATCATCGCCATATCGAGATCTGATGTGCACTCGCAGCCCATCGCCACCTTTATCGCTTGCCAGAGTCTGTACTCTGGGCTTTACCAAGGCTTCAGACTCCGGGACCAAGCGGGTACTACGTTCGATCTCCTTATTAGCTATGTTGCCAATAGGCCACTGTCTCAATTTTGTGCCCCTGGTTGGAAAAGAATTGGTTGGCTCGGACTGGGTATGAAATGTTTCCCGAGTGCTGATAAAGTGCCGGATATAAGTCGGCAGGTGGGCGTAGAACGATCCTGACTTGTCTATCGTAACAGTTCCGCCTATAGTGCCGGGCAAGGTTGGCAGTATAACACTCCGCGCCCACTGGAGAGACACATTGTGGTGTTCGATAGGTAGAGCCTGGTTAATAATGGTTTTATCTTGTCCAAATCTAAACAGATCCTCTGCGAGGCCTCGTTGAGAGGCAGCATCTGAAAGTATGAGAAATTTCGATAAACATGTTCGTAGATAGCTGTCTTGATCATCTTGGATTGAGTTCTGCAAGTCAGAAAGTTCGCCAAGAAGCATATGTGGCTCTTGGGACCGAATGATCAAATGCTTTAGGCAAAGACTCTGAGTCTCATAGTCTCCTAAGTTCTTGGCGATGCCCAAAGCCATATGAACTGCCTCCTTCCACTCTGGTGGCGCTTCTGGGGCTTTCCAGGTAGGTCTCTCGGAGCGGAGCGGGACATATATTGGGATGTGAACCCCGTCGCCCTGTCGAATTTGCATTCCAGGATATGAATCGAGGAATCGAAAGGACGAAAATGGGTTACCGTGGACGTCGCAGCTAAGAACCGCTGCCTTTGCCACAAGCCACCTCGCAAACGGGCCGCTCTTTGCGGTCTCAGGATCCTCGTCCATTAAAGACTCGGCAAGCTTTTCTCCATGTTCAAGACAAGTCTTGTAATATTTCAGCGGAGTAGTCTCGAAGTCGCTCTCCAGGATTAAGAAGCCCAAAATATCTAAAAGAGCGAGATTTGTCGATTTGTCATAGTTCACCGTTTCCCAGTCAGAATCAAGTGTGTCCATAACCTCATCAAGAGACCAAGTGTTGAAGAAAGCATCGAAAGCGCCGTCCCGTCCGAATGCCAGTTTAAATGTAGTGAATAAATCCCTAAAGTCCCAAACTCGCCCTTCTGAAGCAAGATGATGATACACGCTGGCCCAGTCAGTCCATTGCCGAGCCGCATTTCCAACATCCCTTAGTTGCGAAGATTGGAATCCCAACGAGTGAGTTATGTATCCAAGCAAACGAAGTATCGAGGCGAGTATTTGTATCTTAATCTGGATGAGCAAGGCGATATTGAATATAAAACGAGCTTCAAGTCTTGTTTAAATCTTACCTCGATGGAACCCAAGTCCACTCGGGCTTCAAGAAGAGCCAGGGCTTTGTCAATTTCATTCACCGCTTGCTGCGTGCAATCTCTTCCTGGAAGCATAGCCAGAAGTATAAGCAGATTCCAGCTCTCTCGTAGCAAATCCTGATTCTTTTGCACCCCTTCATTTTCCATATCTCCAAACACCTGGGTGGGCCTTAGTGTATCAAAGGATCGGAAGTCTCCCATTTCGAGTAGCATCTGTGCATTTAACACAAAGAAGTAAGGGTCATCTACCCGGTCCGGGAAGTTTTCCTTGAAAAACTTCCGTGCAGTAGCGAAATCTCCAATTCTCCTTAGTCGGCTAAGTTCCTCAAGTTCCAGGTCGATGTCCTTGGTTATGCCAAGCCCCATATCAACGGTGATATTTTTAGACATATTAGGTATCCAGACAGCGTCTATTTGAGGCATCGGAAGTAACCCCGTAGTTTTTCTGGTATCATCACCTCTTATTCGTGTACCCGGCGAGTATCTCGGAGGGATACGAGGCACAGATGCAACCTGCTTTCTTTGCCGGCTGGCCGAGTAATCACCGTAGAGTACATCATCTAGGCGACTGCTCCGGTGAGAGTCCCGCCGGTGTACATCAGCGGCGGTGCGCGAATTACGTGGATAGTAGTTCATGTTAGAACGCTATGATAGAAACCGAAATAATAAATGATACTCGGATTGTTTGTTAGATTCGAGAGACCAGAAATGGGAATAAAATTGATCCACACGAATAAGGCTGTGAAGATGAAGCTTTCGTAAGCAATGCTAATGGCCTTGAAATTCGCTCGTTAATAAATTAAAATTAGTAATAAGTTTATATATGGTATATGATTATAATATCAACGATCTAACCGCTTGTCGTACTTATAGGGTGATCCGCTGTGGAAGCGAAGTGGTATTGATATTAAAGAGGAAGGAGGGAGGGGTCATTTCAGCTGGCTCACCGACCGCCACTCATGATGATATAAGCCTGGCATTTAATGCCGGTGCACGGCGTAGAGAGGAAAATTACGCGTGGATGTTATTGTCAATGGTGTTTCCTCAGCCTTTTCTTCTTTTCTTACACCTCTTCTTCCCGGTCTAGTCTATTTTCATTGTGAAGACAGATCCGCGAGTCGTCTCGCCGTCAGCTATCCAGACGTGAGGAAATAATATGATGGAGCCAAGATTTGACAGGTTGGTCCGACGCAAGAAGCCAAATGGGCGAGGCTACGGACCGAGTGACTTCGAAAAGTTCGATCGTTATAGCGCCTGCTGCGGCTACGGACAACTTGGCGAGGTCAAGGTTACGACTCAGATCAACTTTAAAGAGTCGGAATGGGGCCTTATTGGCGCAGACACTCCGGGCGCTATCATACATATGAATATTGGTTTCACCCAACCCGAGAAGTGCAAATTAGAAACGGCAACAATCTTAGTAACCTTAGGGTCGCTTGACGAGATTGACGATAAAGCAGAGCTCGATGCGCTCGAGCGGCGACCTGGGCTTTCCTCACGAGTTCCTTCTCGTGTTCAGTTTACACACTTGGGACCAGTATATGTTCCAGGTAGAGAGACGGAGATGGATTTCTCGCGCAACATAAGTGGGACTCCATCGCTCTCCTTTAAGGATGCTTCTTTGAGCGGTCTAGGAGTTGATCAACAAAAGACCTACAAGTATTATAATCGGTGGGTCTTTTCTGGTCAGTTACTAGGAGATGATGAACACTCTGGCTTTAGAAAGCTGCAGTGGTTTTTACAGGAGAACAAGCTCGACTCGCCGTCGAATCATAGACCGGACTTCGAAGCTGCTTTTGCGCTGATTCATGATCATAACCCCTTTTTCATCAGGGTAGAAATTCAGGGGAAACTTGAAAAGAGACTGGATCGCGTCAAACAAAAACTCCAAAAGCTTAAATACGGATTCTATGGGGACAGGCCTCTTCGGTCCACACTAACAGTTGTCAACCACGCCGGAATCGAGTTACCAAGGAGGCAGCTAATAGCCAAGGCTAAAAATCTACCCGAAAAGATGGCCAAGAGAAATGGTATCATCGAGATCATTCCTGGAAGAGAGACGGAAGATGAAGATAGCGAAGGCGATGATGACGGCGATAGAGATGACGCCGATTCTCTCAAAGTAAAGAATATCACGAAGAGAAAGTCGCTTCGCAGAACTCCTCAGAAGTCGCCAAAAGATCCATTTATCAGTGAAGTAAAGAGAGTACATGCATCTCTATCTACAGGCGCAATGAATCGAACATCATGGTTATCGTCTACCACGCTTGTAGATGACGACGGAGATGAGAATACGGCCAGTTCCGAACAAGAGCCGGCAAAGAAGAAGGAAGCCGACGACGCCGAAACTCTAAACTTCCTTCTCCTTATCAGATTTATTTTCCAATATTTATTCCTACAAGCAGGATATGTGACCTCCAAACTCTCCAAACCTAGTAAAGAACAATCTATATGAGATGGCTGAAAAGCCAAGGGAGCCATCATAGGAACCCAACACCTAGGATCTTGAGGAAAGGATGCTTTCGAAAAGCTTCTTCGGCAACTAGTCCAACGAATCGTTGAATCGTTAAATCATTATTTGGCGTCTTACTCGAGCTCGGGCTGTGAGCTGTGCAGGGTCCTTAGTTAACTCCGGACAGAGAAAAACAAACAAGAACGATACTATGTCAACATCTCATAACTAAACTATTAATTTTACTACGATTTTAACATTCTACTTCAGAAATACTTGATCGCCGCGAGCTTAAAATGGGTTAAATGAATGATATCTTTAGTATTAAATTAAATTTGTTCGTTGATAGCCTTGACAATAATTAAGCCCTGTAAACAATCTTTCAAATCGGACATCGAATTTGGGAGGTGGTTTCCAAGGTACGTGGACATACTAACAAATTTGTATATGTCTACATGTATTACTTATGCGACACTTAACTTACTAACTTCATTAAATAGGGCCATATACTGCCCACTTTACCACCCCCCTTTACTGCCCTTTTAGCCTTGCTCATATTAAATACCTTATTAATATTTATTTTATAATTCTTTTTCCGTTATGAAATATGTTTTCTTTGTGCCTCTGCAAGTACCTTAGCCCCAGTAAATATGACCATTTATAAGCAAGGATTCTCCAAGCACGTCATATGCAGCTCGTGTTGCTTGATCGTAGCTGAAACTTTTGGGGCTTTCCCCGGAGTTCCATTTAGGTGACAAGCTTTTTCTAGCTGCGGACCGCCGAAACATTTTTTAGTACAGACTCCCGTCTGTTATGGGTCGGCGTTGTTAGTCTTACAATCGTTTTCTACTATTGTTGTTTTAGCATAAAGTCGGCCTATTAAGCCAGCCAATCATGGCGGAGAGTTCAGTCGAAAAGGGTAATACGAATACTGAGCAGCAACTGGGTGAGGACGTTGCTGTTGGGATTGAGGATGTCAGTACGATCCCTAAGGGCACAATTGACCCCGTATACGAGGCCAAAGCGAGAGTTTTGAATAGAGCGGTACGAGTCCTTCTATAATACTCTCTCTTGGAGTATCCCCCTAATGGTTTGGATTACAGATTCAGGATATTGGCATGGGATGGTACCAATGGCAGCTCTTCATCGTTGTGGGTTTCGGCTGGGCGTCCGACAATCTTTGGCCGATCGTCACGTCGCTCATATTCACGTCTATCACTAATGAATTCCATCCGTCGCGCCCTCCGCTGCTAAGTCTTGCTCAGAACATCGGCCTGCTCTTCGGAGCAGTGTTCTGGGGGTTCGGCTGCGACATCTTCGGCCGGAGATGGGCTTTTAATCTAACTCTTGGTATAACGGCAGTATGGGGGATGATAGCTGCCTCTGCACCTAATTTCGCTTCCATTGGGGTCTTCGCCGCATTTTGGTCGTTTGGCGTTGGTGGCAACTTACCGGTCGACTCTGCAATCTTCCTCGAGTTCCTCCCTGGATCTCACCAATACTTACTTACTATCCTCTCTATCGACTGGGCCCTTGCCCAAGTTGTAGCTAACTTGATTGCGTGGCCACTGCTGGGTAACTTCACCTGCCAGCAGACGGATCCGGACTGCACCAGGGCTAAGAATATGGGCTGGCGCTATTTCATGATCACGATGGGCGGGCTGACGCTTATCATGTTCATTCTTCGTTTCTTCTGCTTCACCATCTACGAGTCGCCCAAGTATCTCATGGGAAAGGGGTTAGATGAGGAAGCAGTGCGCATAGTCCATGAAGTGGCACGGCGAAACAAGAAGTCCTCGTCGTTGACAGTCGAAGATTTAAAAGCCTGCGAACCGGAGGGATACGAAAATAGGACAACTGCGAATGATGCCGTAAAGCGTAAGTTGGAAAGCATTGATCTTACTCATATCCGGTCTCTATTTGCTACGGGGAAGCTGGCGTATAGCACAGGGGCGCTAATGGTGGTATGGGCTTTTATTGGTCTCGGGTAAGTAAATAGGCCGCTTTTCTTTTCTATACTTATTAACATCTTGTAGATACCCATTGTATAATGCTTTTCTCCCATATATCCAGAGCACTCGTGGTGTAGATTTTGGCGACGGGTCAACTTACATCACATACCGTAACTCGCTCATCATTGCCGTGCTCGGTGTGCCTGGTGCTCTTGCTGGTGGCGCTCTTGTCGAACTACCGCATTTCGGACGAAAAGGCGCTTTAAGCTTGAGCACAATCTTGACAGGTGTGTTCCTCTATTGTTCGACTACTGCGGCCAACTCATCAAGTCTACTGGGGTGGAACTGCGCCTACAACTTTACCAGTAATATTATGTATGCCGTCTTATATGCTTTCACACCCGAGCTATTTCCGACAAAAGACCGAGGCACCGGCAATGCATTGACAGCGACCTCGAACCGCATCTTCGGCATTATGGCCCCAATTATTGCCATGTTTGCCAATCTGGAGACATCGGCCCCGGTCTACACGAGCGGTGCATTGTTCGTTGCGGCCGGACTCCTCGTGGGGACATTGCCATTCGAATCCAGGGGAAAAGCCAGTTTATAAGGGGGCCCCCTTCTGGGTGTGTTAGCAGAAACTCGGACGAGGAGCCACCTTCATCGGCTAGAGGCTAGCACTGAAGTTATGAGCCTTATTATTCACTATTGTATATATTTCTTGCGGTACTAAAACGATACCCTATTTTGTTATATTTTCTCGGGCTACGGAAAATCTTTTATTATCTAACATTTCTGCCCTCTAAAATTTCGTCGCTACTTAGGGAATGTTTGGCAATGAGGTATATTTAGGTGCTCAGTGAGCGCTAGTGGTGTAATATGAGGATGTAAAAGAGTTAAATTCACCACTGTTGAACTACAATACGTCCAAATACTCGTAATTATAACATGAGATTTGATGTAGCTACTCTAAACAGTCTAACATGAAGAGGCAGATATATTTGACACACACTGCTAACACAATAGATATATATCCCCAATACGTCATTCCCATACCTCATCAAGCCGTCTTGTAATGCTGCGTAAAGTCGTATCGCATGTCGAAGAAATTTAGGTACATCCCCTTCTGCTTCTCAAGGTCGTCCTCGGCGTCTTTGCACGCCTTCATGACGGGATCGCGCTCCAAAAGAGTATCCGGATCGCTGTCCGACACGCGGCGGAAGTTGCTCTGGGAAATGGGGTCGATCACTGTCTTCCACTTCTCAATGCGCTTCTCGCTGTACAGGTCTAGGATCGACTCATCTGCCTTGCCATCCCAAATTCCCGCTAAACAGTCGTATAGGCCGCCTACGTCTACAAATCCGCCTGTGATACCCATGCCACCCCACGGGTTGCACAGGTGTGCTGCGTCGGCCGCCAATAGGATCCGGCCTACGCGGAAGGAGGGCGCGCATCGCTGGTGCATCTTGTACGGCGATATGGTGACGAGATTGTACTGGTCTGGCTTGGGGTGCCCCGGTAGCATTATCTCGTACTTCCACGGCTGACGCTCGCGCATTTGCTCCCAGGTTAGGCCGGGCGATTCACCATAGGTTACTCTATAGAGCCCGTCTTCTGTGAGCCTAGCTGCCATCTATATACGTGTCTCAGTCAGCTTTCCGAAAGTGGGAGTTCTCCCCTTTCGCTTCTTATAGGTATGATGCGGCATCAGAATAACTCACGTAGAAATGATCAGGATGTAGGATGAAATTGGAGTCTCTGAATCCGAACTTTGAGAAGTCGTAGTAGACCTATTTCCTCGGGTTAGCCGTCGTAGCGTTAGGGGAGGGCTCGGTATCTCACATTTGTCGCTACGATCTGCCTCTCCCAGGTAAAACCAGGGTACTCGTCTCCGAAGAGGGACTTCCTCACTTGGCTTCCCGCACCATCGCATCCAATGACGTAGTCGCCGTAAATCTTCTTTGTGCCCTCCGGGGTCTCGACGTCGACCCAGGCTTGCTTCTCGTCCTGGCCCGTTCCCGTGACCTTGTGGTTCCAACTGATCTTGCCGTCGTACTTAGACAGGAACTCATCGAGCATCAACTGGTCTAGCTGGTCCAGGACTAGACACGCAATGCGCAGGTCCTCGCCGTTGTAGTCGGCTAGCGCAGCGGCGTCCATGCCCGCGATCCAGCTGTGGTCTTCGAAGCGCCGCCAGCACATCGACGTCGGGCTTATGCCCTTCTTGCGGATCTGGTCGATCACACCGGCACGCCTTAAATCCGGGATTGCGGGAGGGCCATAAATAGCGGCCCGTGGCTGCTTGTCCAGCTCGTGCGAGGCTTCCAGGATTTCCACGGGGATCCCATGTTTAGAAAGGAGCAGCGCAAGCAATAGGCCCGAGGGGCCGGCTCCCACGATAATTACCTAATAACGACGGTATTAATATTAGTCTCGACCGCGAAAATAAAAAGGGGGGAGGGAATATGTAATGTTTTGTAAATTCTGGACTCTACCTTTTGGAATGGCCGTGACATGATTCTTGGGTAAGGTGACTTGCTGGAGGATGTATGTACGTAGGTAGGATGGCTGTCCTATGGAACGCGGGGTGAACGTGAGGAAAACGTGTTGACAGTGGTGCATTTTCTCATGGATCGTGTTGGATCCTTTCGTCGACCATTTAGTTACCTACCCTTGTTAGCCTAAAAGTACCCGAACCCCGACTTGGGAGGGTATTCGTACACTTGCCGAAACCATGTGCCTGGTTAATAGAGCGAGCCGATAGTTTTCCCCGCAGTCTAGACGCAAGTCCCTGCATGGAGCGTGAGATGCCTATGTTTAGGTAGGGTACACTACGCAGACAGCCAGCGCAACTTGAGACGGCCGGCTGAATGGACTCGCGGACTACAAGGTCATCCACGGTGATGTCATCCACCCGATATGAGGGAAAGGGGGAGGACGTGAAGAGGCATGCGAGGCGGTATTGTGTGTGACATTTGGCGCTGTTTGCCGGGCGGTTTATACTACGGTGGGGAACCAATCAACCGGGATTAGATGCCACGCCACCTTATAATAGGCGAAGCTCAAAGGCCAAGTCGCGAAGCGCAAGCCTCAAGAGTTATACAATTGGCGCGCGATATTACACAAGGTCAAGTTATTTCCCCGAACTTGAGCCTATAGGACAAAGTAGGGTGTTGGTATTATAGAGTAAAGTATTCGGCTGGGAAAGGAGTGGTAGTAAAGAAGGAATTCAATATGGAAACCATTATTCTTAGCGTGTAGTTTTTTCACAGCATTAGTCTACCTATAGCCTCATACCATATGCTACCAGAGTCTCCTTTTTCTATAGGTTTAGATCTAGACTTCGTAAGCTTTAAGTCTTATGGTAGCTCGAGCCTAGGTGTTTTAGACTTAAACACTGTAGAATCCGGCGTCTTGGCTGTTGGAATATAGCCTAACAGTACTTGCGCAGCAGCTAACCGAGGCGTGGCACTTATATCTCTAGTAAAGCGATAGATAGGCAAATGTTGTTAGTGTAAATACCAATTGATTCGTTTTTATCTTATGATTTGCTAAATAATACAGTATAGAGAGCCAGTATAAGAGAAGTCTTAGCTAAACATCCTCCGTAACCAATACAAGCCGACGAAAGAAGTATAGAAAGAACAAGTTTGCAAGAAGGTATCTCACATGGCAAATGAAGCTTTCTATCATGAAGTTGAAATGGCTTAAGATGTTGTTAACCATTTAGATTTTGACCAGTAGAATAACATGATATAAATCGAGAGTAAGTGATATCTAAAGTATATTAGTTATAACCAAAGCCTATTCCGTACAATTATATAACCCCAGCGTAAACGAAAGTCTAATATAAAATCCGGCTATCCAAGCCATAAACCTGAAATACCCAAGTTCGCTTTCACGCATAGGCTACCCTTCTATTTGAAGTAGTTAAAATTCAAACAGCTTCGTTTAAGATACGTCATAAATGGTAACACATAAATATGCATTCATAAGGTACCTAATGTCAAATAGCCACACATATCCTATCCAAAACAGTACAGCACGCAGCCCAAATCTGAGCGACGAAAATCCCGCAGCAACGAATCGAACACTCCAACTCCATACATGTGATGTGACAGGGGTATAGCACAAGCTGTCGAGATCCAAAACAGACCAGCGGCCATACAAGTTAGCCAAACATCGCAAAAGTGTCGTATCGTAGATCGCCAAAGCCGTAAGTAATGCAAGCCAGCGCCCCTTTTAAAATTTCATTCGACAGCGTAGCTTCGATGTCGAACATCATCTCGTCTCGTTCAACGCAGCGCGCCCGCCCCCTTTTCAACCACAAATGCAACTCCGGACTTCTCATAATCCGTATTTTGTATCCCGCTCGCCCTCCTACCACCGCTTTCTCCAGTCTCGGCCCTCTCATCGTACCCCCATCTCGCAACCCCTCCGCCCCTAATCCACCCCTCCAAATTGCGACACTGACTCACATCCGCCCACTCGAGATTTGCACACCCGTCCAGCACGCTCTCGATGCCCGAGGCCGTGACGCGCACGCACCCGCGCACGCTAAGCCGCTCGAGGTCGTTGAGGTGCAACGCGACGCACGCGAGGCTATTGTCGCTCACAGCGCTGCCACAGAACGCCATTTTCAACTCGCGCAGGCCGGGAAGACCCAGCGCGACGACTTCGGTTGCGGTGTCCGAGAGCGCGCAGCAGAATGATAGGTCGAGGTGCGTCAGGGCTTTGGCAGCGTGGACTAAGGCGACGATCGCGTTGTCGGAAAGGTATGTGCAGTCGGCGAGGCAGAGATAGGATAAGTTAGAGAATCGGAATGGGGCCCAGCTTTGGAAGCCACCGTCTGTGATCGAGGTACATCGGGTCAGAGTTAAAGATTCTAACCGGTTTGAGGCGTGCGCTGCCATGTGCGCCATTGATCGATCTGTTATGTGCTTGCAGTACGATAGGTCGAGACGTTTGAGCTTCGGACAACCGATTACGGTGCCGGGAGGCGGGAGGACTATTGCCTGCGCCTGTGGCCGCTGCTGGGCTCGGAGGCGCGCTGCTGCAGCGGCGGGGTTCGAATTCGCAATTTGCTTCGCGTTCGGCGGGGGGTGGTCCGGGACAACCCAGCCGACTACTCGAGCTAACAGGTTATCACCAACCTTCCTGCAGTTGCTCCAGTCGACCTCTTCCAAATCCTTAGCATTGTCGCTCATCTCCAAGATCTGGTTAGCCGAGACGTCCCATACAGATTTCATCCTCCAGACCTTGATGTGCTTGCCGCAGACCTTCCACAACGTAGAGAATCCCTCATCCGTGATGTGGAAGCAGTTGCTAAGATCTATCGAAATCGGTCGCGGCCCGAGAAACGGTGCGATTATGTTGATGAGGACCTCATCTGTTATAAAGCGGTTGTAGGACGTAAGGTCCACGTGAGTACACAGTTTCGGCGAGGTAGCTAGGAGCCTGCGCACGTGGGATGAGAGTTGTCTTAGCCGAATGAGCTCGGCTAGGTCGAGGAACTGAAATATCGTCACCAGGATATCGTCGGGAAGTAGAGCGTCTTGGATAGGTTGCGACCGGCTGGGAAATATCTTGGCTTTCTTTGCCGGTACTTCTATATCGGGGGAGAAGTATGATAAGGGGGATTGGATAGTTGTAGAAGTATTGAACTTAGTATTGAGCTTGTGTAGACGTAAGCCGTTGGTTGATGGGGTGCTAGGAGGTTCGTTCGGCGGTGGTATAGGTGGCGCGAGGGACCCTCGCCGTCGGTTTCTCAGATTTTCCATATCAACACTTAGAAAAGGGTCGGGATCTTTTGGTTCCATCTGATCTAACTCATCCTTTACCGGGGAAGCGGGTATGGAGGGTGTTGTAAACGTAACCTGCGGAGGCCGTAAAGGGGCTAGTGGTACCGAGCCCTTCTTATGCATCGGCTCCGCGTCTACCATCTCGACATCTTCTTTCGGTCTAATCCGCGTCCTTGCCGTGTCTTCAACCTGCTTCTTTATTTCTGGCGGGCATCGTTTCCATAGCTCGCCCAGAGCCTCACCACTAATCATGAGACATTCAACAGCTGTGATAGACCTGACTGTCGCAGTTCGTCGGACAGAAAGACCCAGGCTGGCAACCTCTCCGAAGTATTGACCTTGTCTGAGGCGTGGCCGTATTGCGGACGAGCGTGTTATCCGTTTTCGCTGCCCCTCGGCCGCATCGTGGATCACCTCCGCCTCGCCCCGCACGATGAAGAAAATCTCGTTACCGGAAGTCCCTTGACGGATTATATCGGTGAAAGGTGGATAGGTCTTAGGTTGCGCACTCATCCCTAGGAAATGAAGAATATCAGGAGGTAGCGTCGAAAATAGGGGTAGCTCCTTAAGTGTCTGCCGCACATTTACGAGGCCGCTTCCCAATGCACTTCCTACTGTTGGGTCCTCTATCCCTCCCGGACTAGGAGATTTTCTCTTCTTATGGTTTACTACGGTCCCTTCCTTAATAATACCCACATCCCCAGTTGATACCTCGCCGGGAGCAGCTTCTCGAGCCGCCGACCCGTTTGCAACTTTGAGGCTATGTCCCCGTTCCTGGCGTTTCTTGTTAAGAATCGTCAGACGTTCATGTGCCTCTTGTCTAATAGCCATTTCCATATCGGGAAATCCAGGCAGCTCCAGGGCGAGATCTTCCTTCTTGAGTACAAGAAGTAGACATTTCGTGCGCGCGACAATGGTCGCCGTTCGAGGCATATTCATAAGCACGCCTATCTCACCAAAGAAAGAGCCCGGTTTGAGCTCGGCGTATACGGCCTCGCCGTCCCGCGAGGTTACCCCAACGACTCCTCGAACTAGCCAGTACATCGCTTTTGCCTCGTCGCCCTCCGTTAAGACGTGATCGTGCGCGGAATGGATCTGGGGCCTTAGATGTTTGCCGATGGCTACTAGAAACTCCTCGGGAGCTGACATGAAGAGTGGAAAGGATCTCATGCGGTCGAGAAGATCAAGCGGCATGTCAGGGATGGTCGAAGCCGTAAGTGGGGAGGGGCGTATAGGCCGGGTCGGGTTGGTCTCACTATTGAACGACCTAATCAAGGAGACGGAGTCGGCAGGTTGACCATTAGCCGGATGGTGGGCCAGGGCCCTATAGGGCGAAGGCGGAGAGCCTGGCACCCTATTCCGCCTCATGGCTACTTCACGAGTCCTCGTGTAAAGGGCTTAGTGTGCAAGCTCCCTATTCCGCCAGTTTCGGATTCCGAGGAACGATTATTCCCTCTTTGCCCCTTAACAGCCCTTAGATAGTCCCAGATAGTAGATAATGACCTCAGATCGCCTTGGTCTTTCTAAATTGAGGGGAAACTTTGATCTGGCACTTTAGGCAAGGAACGGTTCCTGCTATACCCTGCCGAGAAATCGCGGGTTACCCATGCGGCAGCAGCGCCAAATACGGGGTACGTTATTTTTTTTTTATTGGGGTTCTCTTTACGCCTCCTTAATCTGTCATGTGGAGAGCGATGATCTTGAAAGAAACTAGAGCGGAAGCTCGGGAGCTAAAGTATATGTCGGAACTGATTCTATGAGACGGAGCTTCTGGCGCTAAAGAAGCTCGCGGCGTCATTAGTAGTAGAGCTGACTCGAGTGGCGCTGCTTGGAGATATTGAGAGAGTTATCAAGCCAGGAAGCTAAGATACATGGCGGGGAGCGTAGTCGCGTGCATAGGAATAAGTGCGGTTCGAGAAGTTCTACTAACGGAGATCGTTCGGAGTTGATTCTAAACGCAAATCTATATTAGGTTATTCTACTCTCTCAAATAAGATCCAGATATGTGATGGAGTTGATATAGAACTCACAATCTATTGCATACGTAGAACCTGGCTTGAATTAATACTTGGTTGGTGGGTAGGCAGACTGTTGAAATTCAATTGCCCCGAGATAGAACAGAGGGGAGAGAGGGGGAAGCGGAAAGGTGCGCCAATGTAGTTTGGTTAATCCAATATGCTGAACGTTGATGAGGCGCAAGCCTTTGCCGAGAGAAGTTCTACTTCGTGGTACTTTGGAGATACAGCAACTTTCCAAAGACAGTGCGTATATACATACGTATTCGCATGTAAGAATAAAAATGAGAGAAGAGAAACGTTCGGGGGTCCTCTGTCCTTTCAGGGGGGGAAGCACGCTGACTAGAGCTACAAACAATAATAACAATATCAAGAACAAACTTAAAGGTGAAAAAAGCAGAAAGGCTAGCTCAGAAACATGATAACTCTCTTTGGTGTGAGAATCCAAATTATGATGTGCATGTAGGTAATGTAAGATGTCGTCCTCTTTGTCGTATGCGACTTAACGTGCGTGCAGCTGCAGAAAACCGCAGCCCGGTGCGGTTGGAGCTGGGCTTGGTGTGCTTAGGTGCTTAACTGCTAGGAGGTACCTGCTAATAACAGGTGCGTTAAGCAAGGAAAAGCGCGGAGAAGACGGTATAGAAAAGTTGTGTGTCGAGGCTGTAGGGCCAGAAAAATGACGGGGAGGTGAAACACGTCGAGCTGATGCAGATCTACCTCGATATGTAAGGGGAGTGTGGGACCTCTTCATCGACTTTGCCTGCTCTAGCTGCTTTTTCTCTTATTTCATAACAATGATGCGTTGTAGATTTTCGGAGATCGAATGGAAGGATTCCGTGGACAAAGAAGCTCTCAGCACGGAGCGCATACTGGCACCGAACTACCCCTGAAATGCACGGGCTACATGAGGAACCCCTCTGGGGTCGTAGATGAGGATTCAGTTACTAAACTTAGTAACTGTAGGGTCCAGGGCTGCCAGGGTTATACCAGTCTGAGCTTTCAAGGTACCATTTTGCTTGGGTACCTTAGGTACATACAAGAAAGCCATGAGAGCTCGGGTAAGAGAACATGCAAAAGAACAAGGATGCTATAAACATGATTACGACAGAACCATTGGACTTGTTCCCTCTTCCTGTTAGTATTACGAAGATATAGCTATGATTAGAAATCCATGGCGAGTTAACTAACCTAGCCTGCTCCAGATTACTTCTAATTACTTCTCAGACAGCGTATCCGCAGTGCTTAGATATATTAGGGGCGTAAGACTTGCGATACCTACATACTTGAGGATTTAGGCTTCTATTTCAAAGTCCAGAATTGCGGCCAAAGGCGCCTTACATGCAGTAGTCGCACTCTTGTTAGCCAAGCCCATAATATATACTGAAACAGCTACCGGATACTGGGAAGGATACTGGGAACATCCAACAGCCCTCTCGGAGTAAGCGTGCTAATTACCACTCCCCTCGTACAGCCCGCGTACAGGTCTATTTATATACTCAATGTTATGGAAACACAAGAAAGATGCGATCGGATGGGGGGAGAATAATTTGGAAGGAAATTTCTTTACGCCTTCCATGCATTGTAAGATCAGCATGTTAGCAATCGTTAATGCGCAAAGGCTCGTGGTAATACATGCAGCATCAGACGAGAGGTGCCTAGCTGTGTTGGTTGGATATACCAACATAGGACTTTAGACCAATTGATTAGCTATGAGATAGAAGTAGATGACGTCCAATGTTAAGTAGAAGATCTTGGTTACTAGCAATCGGGAGAAACGGTAGATCGAATCTTGGTCGGCGATTCGGCACGTATGTACTTACATAGTGTCACCACTCTCGAAGCCCTCTCGAAGCCCTCTCGAAACATGTCAAATCGAGAAGATACGACTACACGGGCCACACCCAAGAAGATTGCCCGACTCGGATGAGCTTCGAGAAGAGTTCTAGCGCCCTTCTATCCCCCACTACCCCTCCTGGATATTGGTATCGCCCATAGTGCTTAGTGGACGCGTACGGTAAGTAATCCGTGGTGGTGTAGGATTTGCTCAAATTTCTCAAATGCCGAAGATATAGCTGTAGATATAATGACTCTAGGATTATACGCGATTTGAGGACTGAACAGTATTGGCTGCGATACTACCGGAGTCGTGAAAGATGCACGTACACAACCCATCTTATTTACACTATTGATCTACAACGGGAAGGTCTAGGTTAAAATGTAACCCTCTGTTCTCCATCTAGTTTCTAGGTTAGATCACCACCGAAACGTGTCAAAGAGGAAGGCAGCGAATTTCCTCTTAAGACAGGTTAGGTATCTAGGCCTACAATTATATCAGGTAGATACGATAACGTCAGCCATATTTCTAGCGCTGGCTTTGAAAATTTCAAGATTGCGATATGTCAGATTTTGACTGGCTCGGGTACGAACCCCAAACGCTTATACTCTTAGGAAAATTTGGCGATGTCATGTTCGTACAACTACTCGAATTGTGAATTTCAATAAGCATGGTAGCGTAAAGATATGCCCCCAACGAAGGAGCAAACGTATGTATGCTCCAAGCTATAGCCTACCTCTTCTCCAACAGTCTAACGGAGTGCCCCCAAAAGTGAAAATACGATCCCTCGAATCTACCTCCGTCACATCTATCCCGCACTAGGGGCGTACGGATTACACCATATCTCTATTTCAGATTCATCATGCCTGATATGCTCTCGGCCCTATCTAAGTCAATAGCTGCTATCATTGGTGGTTAAAGAGAAATCATACGCAGAATTTAGGGTTAGTGATCCCCGCCAGCAAAAATAAACCCTAAAGCTAGGTATCGTCAAGGTAAGCACTCGTCGTTGTAGATATAACCTACCACTACGTTATCTATAATTCGGCCTAAGCACCAGTGCTGAGGATTCAGGAGAACATCGGGATTCCTACATGGCGTACAGGAATTAAGCAGAGACCAACCTTACTGCCGCATCCTTTTCGCTTCCTTCAGCCCTACTCGGACATGTATAAGAATTACCTACCTATCACGTATTCCAACACATCAAATCAAATATACCCCGTCAAATTTCCTACTCCAGAGATAGAGACTAATCCAGTTCCTCCGGTACAGGGTCGGGGAATTTTCTATACCAAAAGAGTGCGTAGGCAATTGCGACAATCCTTACACACGCCCCTATAGCCCATCTCGAAAGTATAAACCAAGGATAGCTGGTAGGGGTTTCGAGGTATAGCTTTCGCTGCTGAGCATAGACCCTGCTGCCATATGGCAGTGTTAATATCCCGCAGCTTTGCAGGCCGTAAAGTACCAAGCGCGTACTTGACGCTCGCTTGCCAGAAGTATATTGCCATATCTCAGCCATGTAGCGCGGTTCGTCGCGATCAACGCCTGGTTTAATCGACCGGATCTGACAGGGCTGTAGTGCTCTTCCCTGGATGAAGTAAATACGTTCTCTATATCGCTTCGGCCGGTATTCATGTTGGTTGCGCCAGCATTCTCTGTAGTCCCGCTGATGCCATTCTTCATACTTGCTATAACTCCGTTCTTGGGTTCCATTTCGGTTCCATTCTTGATATCTGCTATAGCTCGACTCCACGTAGTCTACGTGCTCCCATCCCTGGTATTTTTTATAACCTAGGTCTCTGTTGGTTCGTCTCTTACAGCCGCGAAGGCTATTCTCCCCCCACATCATATAGTGCGACGTTTCTTCCCCGCTAACTTCCGCAGGCTCGTCATGTTTTGTGGGCGGATTATCTGATGAAAGTCGATGCGGCATCTTAAACTTCGATAGGCCGAAGCTTTCTAGATACTGTCCCGCGGTATAGTCATCTGATATATTTGATTTCTTGCCTGAGACGAGTTCTAATGATGATTTGGTATTCCCTTTGGCGTCGCCATGAGCGTGCAACCTAAGTTTGCATTTCCGGCAAAGCTTTCCACGCGTTCTTAGACATCTGGGACAAGGGGTGTCTTCTGCCTCAGAACAAGACGAGTAACCGCTCTGGACATCAGTCGGGATAGAGCTATCGATCGGGCATTCGCCAAATGTATCAAAATATAGACCATCCATATCTAAGGCTAAGGCTAAAATGCGCAACAGCGCAGGTTATCAGGTATATATCGCGTCCTTATACGGTGCCTGGTGTTGTTTGTGTATTCAAATGAAAATGCCGGCAAGAGGGGCTGAAGTGCTTTCTACATAAACCTACAGAATATTAGATAATCGACTGTTGCACAGATCCCGTGACAATATAATTACATTGAAGATTTGCGAGATATTGAGACATTCGTGTCCTCGAATTTATCGAGGGTGGACTTGAAAATTTAAGTTTCAGGAAATATGTTATGAGACATGCGGCAAATCCGTTGTTGAAGGTAAAGTAGTATTGTACCTCTTGGAATATATTCATTTCCAAGTTAGATAGCGTAATTTATTATATTCCCCAAATATTTGTATTGAAGTATGAACCATGTCAAACCCTCGTATCCACCTGTGTCTTGTCTTGAATCTGAAAGGTAGCCTTAAAACTTTTAAATAAGAGGATGCTTATGAAGCTAAAAAACGTGGAAAAGAATATGATCGACTATGGCAGTCTCGTAGACCTCGTATAGTTAAAAGAACCCCCGTACCTATGCCGCCATACACTGTTTCTATCCGTATAATTCAAGCTTAGTAGAAGATACTTAGAGTTGACAATCGTGGCCGTATCAGATTTTCCCCTCGACCTGTACCACGAGTCTCAGCCTTTCCCTTTTTAAGTCTATACGATCAGCGCCCGAATCATCTCGTATAGCATAAAAAATCGACAGGCAACGTAAATACTTCCCAGAAAAACAAGCGCCAGGATATGCACGGGATGCGTCATTCGCGCCTTACTGCCTGTGAACCTACCGAATGCCATTGTGCAGATAGCGTTGGCGATAGAGTATGGTATGAGGGACGCTGTTATAGTTAAAGATGATATGCGCCAGGCAAGTTGCTCCCAGTGCGAGGGGAAGGTATTGTTCCATCCAAGGCAGTATATAGCCCCGAATACCACACCCATGGCGATGCTAGCCAGATCAGCATCATATAGTAAGACAGCTTGGTCTTTAAACCCAACGATAGCAAACGCGGTGAGAGATACATCTGTAGGGACTGGTTCTGACGGTTCTGCTATCCTGTTGTCCATACCGAACGGTGGGGTACAGTTTCGCGATAGGAAGGAACTGCCACTAAAGGATTTGAGAATGTGAATATCGTGATGGGTTATCGAGTGAACGGCATCTGAGGTCATAACTGAATGCTCTATCGGGACTTCGACGGCCTGGGGCTTGGTCCAATACAGACAATACGCAATAGCTGCGCAGATCGCATACGTAAAAGTTGAGAGCTCCAGCTGAGTGAGTTCCTCATTCTGGAAGAGCTGGATGAATATTCCTAAGATAAACCAGAATAGTGGTAGAATTGCGAAGAACTTCGCTAGGGGGTTGTTCTTGCTCTTGTCCTCGATATCTTTTTCATTTAGTAAGGGTCCTTCGTCGAGAATCTCTAGATACTGGGCTACAACAATCTGCGCCGCGTTTAGATAAAGAATTACTTCACCATGGACTAGGTCCATCGTTTCTTCATCCCTGGCTGTGCGTGAATGTTGAGATGAGTTGTTAGCACTAGTGGCTGACGCTGCCATAGAACTTGTAGCCTCGCCTGGGATATGAGATGCCGAACTCTCTGCTTGCACCGATGACGTTTCATTTCGTCTTGACTCGTCCGTTTCACGTCTATTTCGACGACTATTTCCTAAGGTTCCGAGTTGGGTATTTAAGTCGGCGAGCTCGATGTTCTCAGTGGGGGAACTTATAGCTAGTGATCTATGGTCAGGTGGAGCTGTTGGTGCTTTTCTTCTTGCAAGATTCTTGATATGATCCCAGATACCCTTCAAATACTCAGCAGACCGCTCGGAGATACTTTTTAGCCACAAGATTAGTGGCATGGTATAGTTTCCGATGAGACACCTTAGGGCTTTGAAGGTCGTATTATAGACACCGGCATTCTTAAACATTTCTAACAAGACCTTCTCATCAACCAAACGGGATTGGGCACCGTTGAATGAGTCCGTCTTCATCTTGAATTTGAAACCGCCCATATTCGCAAAACTGGCATGGATCTTGGACCAGTCGTGAACATGTCCTTTTCCGAAGGTCTTAAACATATGAGAGCCTACGGATGCCGCACGCCAATCGCCAAATGAGAACCCGACCATAAGTTCGGGTGCAATAACCATCACGATAGTCCAGAGAATTTGCCGTCGGACTTCATGGTTAAAACGGGATAGCCACCACCCTTTCAGCAATGACCCTGGGGTCGCCGGAGGATTATAAGGCTTCACGCTGAGATGAAGTGCTAAGAAGGTGCTGGCCGATATAGTAACTAGACACCCAATCCATATGTCAGAGACATCACGATCTGAGAGGCGAAGCCATTGAAGCACGGAGGGCGATGTCTCGGACATCCTTTCTTTAGCGTTTCGAAAGCTTCAAATACGAATATACAACGCGTAGTTGGAGAGTAGCAATGATACTGAGCCATTTTGAAGAAGAATAAAAAAAAGAAGAGAAAGCACTGAAGAGAGCTCTCTCAGTCTCTTCTACCTCTTCGTAGCCCAAACATTGTGGCCTTCGCCAATAGCGACGGCGCTTTGCGAGGAGGGGGGGGCATCGCCTCGAAACACCAGAGCCTGCTTACATGCAACGCACCGGGTTTACGGAAGTGGTCAGTCAGTTCTCATCATAATCATGTATACCAGTTATGTGCTCTAATTCTTCTATGCCTAGGTACCTACTGCTTGCGTGTGTCAACCCTGAATTGGGTAGGTTTGGTTTCGTGAAGAGTGGTACCTAATGTAAAGCATATCTCAAGAAGCTCCATGGTGTTGTAAAGCAAGTTGTCTCGATATTCAGTGGACGTAATCGAATTAAAGCCGGGTATGAAAAAGTATAGGTACGAACTAAATAAAGTTACGCGTCTTGTTACATATGTACGAGCCATCAACGTCACGAACTTGATAAGGAAATTGTAACTCGCATTTTTAGTATCTAATGTACCTAACCTATGTTCGGAGTAGGGCCGGGTTTAAGAAGCTTTTAGCTTCTACAGAAACCCGTCGGCTCTTTCCAGCTCCTTCTCCGCCTCCACTTATCATTTTTCACCAGTCATACCTAAGTGGGTTATTACATCAGCCATTTCCTCCACTGAACATCAACCCGGCGTCATTGTTCGAAATCTTCTCCTACAACTTGAACAAATCGTCCAACCTCAATCATTCATTTTGTCGCTTTTCATAACCGCCTACCTGTGAAGCACGCAACAATGTCCTTCGCGATTACTCTCCGCCAGGGGCCTGCGCGTCTGGCATCTAGGTTGCCAGAGATCTCCAAATCCTCTATTCGAACCGTAGTTCCCGCCCGAGCTTTCCATCAGTCCGCCACCAGACCATCCAACTTTTTCACATCGCGAACGACACTCGTATCAACGCTGTCGCGGACAACACCGAAAAATGCATTTACGAAATCGTCAAGAACCTACATACAACAGCCTGCTGCCCCCGCGACCGACTCTGGCTCGACGATGCGCCGACTGCTAACCGGTGGCGCAATTTTCGGTGGTACTCTCATCGCAATCAACGTCGTTTTCAACCGCGAGACCCGAGAGGATGGCGGTATGCCACCATACGAGCGATCTTATCTTAATCAGACCTTCCTTCACACTGGCCTTGGTATCGGCATCATCGGTATCACGGCGCGGCAGATGATTCAGAGCGGTTTCGTTTACAGAATAATGGTAACGAATCCGTGGGTTGTAGCTATTGGAGGTCTGGCTCTCAGCTTTGGCACTATGCTCGGAACTCGAGCTATCGACCCTGATAAGTGAGTAGTTCCTTTCAATTCCCTATAAAAAATGAACAGATAACTAACAGAAGACAGCTACGTCCCCAAGTACGCCCTATGGACCGCGTTCAACGCTACTCAGGCTGCCTTCATCGCCCCTCTTATCGCTTTCGCTCCCAGTGCTTTAATCGCTCGTGCCGGTCTCTATACTATCGCGATGATGGGATCTATCTCGTTCGTGGGTGCTACCGCTAAGCAAGAGAAGTACCTGTACATTGGTGGCCCTCTCCTTGCCGGAGCTGCAATCGTTGCCGTTTCGGGTCTTGCCCCGCTCGTCCTACCCGCTACGGCCGTCCGAACACTAGCAATCTCGGAGAGCCTTTGGCTGTACGGTGGTCTGGCACTCTTTGGTGGCTTCACGCTATACGATGTGCAGAAGATCCTCTACCACTCCCGCTTGGCTGAGCAGGGTATCATCAAGAAGGACCCAGTCAATGAGAGCATTTCGCTCGAGTTGGACTTCTTGAACATTTTCATCAGGATGGTTCAGATCTTGATGATGCAGCAGAACCGCAAGAAGTAATCAGGTGGTGATTAGGATAAGGACTTGTTAGTCGGGCATGCTATCATGATAAATTAAAAAGGAGGGGTCAGGCTTAAGTACAAGGTTGATAATGCCTAGCTTAATCTGGGTATCAGAGGCAGAATGGAAACTCTCCTCTCCTGGCAGCATAAGGATTAGGACTATACGAATGTACATATTAACTGGCGTATGCAGTCCAATAAAAATAGTAAAACAATTGGAAATAACTATTATCAAATATGTATCGTATGTATGGGTAATTGAGAAGATCTCGATATCACATGGCAAGGACTCTGCCTAAAGAACTGCATGGGCGAACAGCCCCTGGCTACTTCGTAGATTGATTGGTAGTATGATATTCTCGGGTGACTCGACAATCCGAACACGCGCAACAGCAACAGAGTCACCAACCACTCACCGCTAGGTACCCACGTATGTACATACGGGTAAGGGGTTCAGCTGATTCGATAACCCCCGGAATTCCATTGAAATTTGAGGCTGAGACCTGAATGAAGAGGCCTGTAAGTCCGATCTTCTTCTCAACCCTTTTCATTATGCGTCATAGTTCGTCCTATAGTTCGTACTATAGTTCGTACCCTTAGGTAATTTAACGCGAGTCCCGACTCTGGCAATGGAAGGGAGAGACATTTAACTCCCGCCTAGGCAGCCGCATAAGTACATGTACCTGTACCTAAGCTTAGGTGCATAGAGGTTATGTACATTAGGTACCTAAGGTACCTCTCTACCTAAAGCCCATGTACCTACATGTATGTATGTACCTCTGCGCCGCTCGACAACCTCTACAAACTACATCTCGCAATATCTCACAATTACATACCTACCTCATTATAGCACGTTAATGTACCTAAATATCGCAGTATTTCGTATTTACTTTTAGTATAGGTCAAATCCACGTTTGTTATTTGTCACTTTCTTTTAAGAAAAGAGGGTTCCGATCAATCGTATCAATCATATCAATCATTGGAACCCTCTTCCATACCAGCTATACAATATGGCCCCTTTTAATAGCAAATCATTATTCGAGTAAGCTGCTCTCGTCCAAGCTGTCTCGTCGTCACTAATTAAGAGCTGACCATTTGATAAAGTAATGCTTGTTTCAAGTTACGGCGATCTCATCGGATACAGGATATCTTGAAGATATTATCTATCAAGCGGCGCAAGAGTCATATCGATGATGGAGGAGATTCTAATGATGTTATTATTGATAATGATGATCAGTCATCTATCGGCAACCCAGTCAGCCCTGCTGATTCCAGCGCCGCTATGACCAATATCAGCGACGCCAACAGCGATACGCCAAAGCTCAAGACTAGCATAACTCATTCACCTGGAGAAGATCGATCCGAGCGGAATGTTTCTGGCTTTTTACTTCTTCCCCAGGAGCTGTTTGACAACATAACCAGCTACCTCGCCCACGCCAACATCGTATGCCTGGCCCTCGTCAATAAAGAACTAATGTCACGTTTCTTGCATTCGTGTACGGAGCTTGAGCTACTAGGCCCCAGCGAAGCCTCTTCATATAAAGCTTTAAACGCATTTATTAAAAAAACGGATGGCTCTAAGACTAAGATCCGAGGGACGCTGCTTAGCCTTTTAGACTATGACTTGTTAGACCTCGTCTACTGCTATAAGTGCAAAAAGCTCCACGATCCATTCCTAACCTTTAAAGACCGCGCTTTTGCGCCGCAGAAAGCTTCCAAATGTATTGATTGGTCTATGGAGCATCATATGCCTTCGCGTGCAACTAGGAAGTTGCTTCGTACTATTACAAAACGCCGAATTCATGGTGCTGAATATAGACATATGTTACAGCAGGTCAATAATACACAGACATCTTACCAAAAGGGATTCATGATTCAGTATTCCCTACGCATAAGATATCGCGAGGATGATCTAATTCTCAGAAAGCAGCAAGTGGTCTCCTCCATCGATAAGTCAGTGCTGGCATTATGGTTGTTCGGGCAGATACTACGAGACCCATCTCACACGTTTATATCATTGCCCAAGGTTCATCCAATATGTAATCATCAAAATTGGAATACGATCTACGCACCGATGGTAAAGCAGTGGATCGAGCCCTTCTGCACCGCCGATCATACTGGCGAAACTGAGGTGCAGCATCTGCCATCTTGTTTTAGTAGCGAGTTGTTCGACGTTTCAAAACAGGATGGGCACATGATCTACGAAAGACTGAAATGGTTATCCTCTGGGACTAAACGGAATCCGATGGACGTGCCTATGCTGTTGGGAGATGTTTCAGGCTGTGGCAAATGTACGGCTGATTATAGCATCGATGTCGTCCCCTTACCGGAACCTTTCAACTGGGGCTTTATCCTAACGACGTGGTTGGATGTTGGTAAGATTGACTTCTGTAAGAAATGGGATAGCCACAGGGACGCGCGGCCGTGCCGAGAGATCAAACGGGACTTCATTCACGGCGATATATGTCAGAGATTCGAGGACATAACATCGAAGCACGATTATCGGCCGCAGATCAGCGAGCTCAATATAGAGAGGATGCACAACTACGGATGGAGTGCGCGGGTAATGAGCGGGAAAGAAAAATACATCAACTGGTCTTCGGGACATACCTTCAATCCGGCAACGGGTCAAATAGAGGATCCGGATCCGCTAGACGAGGCAGATTACTGACGAGAGAATACCACGCCCAGGTATCATCGTCACGAAGACTCGAGGGCATGACGTATGATGTCCCTACTAATTCAACCTCGATAAAGCGGGATTTATATGCATGGGTGGGCGTTTCAAGGTCATGGGAGGTCTTCTGTTTTGATAGAGATCTAATAAAATAGGGCAAGGAGCCTATAGGTCCGCATTATAATCAACATATGATTAATATTAGCTTCTTCATATATATGAGAACATCAACCTCCAGTTTTGAAGCCTACACGAATCATTTCGCCTCCATCCCTCCTGAGTCCATCTATGCTAATATGCCTCAAGTACCGGGTTTTGCGACATTCCAAACATCTTTCTAAAATCGCACACCTAGCCACGGCAAGGACTTAGTATCACGATGATTAGATTCGTTACAAGACACGACGTGGTAAACTACACCAGCTGCTTATGTCTTCCACATCACTTTAGCGGCGGGAACGTCCTCAGAAAGTGGGTTGGACACTCATAGCCGGAGGGATTATGATGCAGATACTGCTGATGGTAATCCTCAGCATCCCACCATTGGCCAGCGGGCACGATTTCGGTAACAATGGCGCCCTCATACCATTGCTCGCTAGCCTGCTGCGTGATTTCGCGCGCAATGCGCTCCTGCTCAGGGCTGTGGTAATAGATGGCGCTGCGGTACTGAGGTCCGACATCGGGGCCCTGGCTGTTAGCCGTCGTCGGATCGTGTAGCCGGTAGAAGAACTCGAGGATCTGCCGGTAGGTTATGCGCGAGGGGTCGTAGTGCAGCTGTACACTCTCGGCGTCTGTTGCGGTTGCGAAGGCATGTTAGCTAATATGTAAAAGTAGGGAGAAGAGAGAAGGGCACGACAAAGACAAAGAAAAGGAATCGGAGAGAAACGTACGGCCTGTTTGCCCCGAGCACACGACACGGTAGGTCGGACCTCTTAGGTCCCCACCGGTGTAGCCGACACGGGCGTCGTAGAGACCCTTGCCGTCGAAGTGCTTACGATATAGGTGCTCTACACCCCAGAAGCATCCGGCGGCGAGGGTAGCCTTCTCGGCGCCCTCGGGGACCACGGACGCACCGTTGGTGCCCGCGTTAGTATCAGCGGTTATTCCCAAGCGCGTACTAGACATGAAGGGTCGGAAGAACCGCGATACGAAGTTAGGCATCGTGAAGGCCATTATTGCGATTGCGATTGCGACTACAATTGCGGGCGCGACGGTGATAAGATAAGGGCTTCGGTTACGATAGTGACTGTTATATACTGCGGTTGACGATATGGTCATAAACTGATGAAGCTAACTTGGAGATAGGTTCGAAATAATTGTATTTATCTTAAGAGATAAATAATACGGATCAATTCCTTCCCGTTTGCGCTGTTAGTGTAGCATAATGCAGCAAGGTTCTTGATTCCACATCAGAGTCCGAATGGAGGGGCACAACGGTGACGTTTGGAACGTTCCTCCCGCGAACAATGACAAATCTCGCTCGACGCCACCCGTCTACGGAATGATGCGATCTAATTCGAGGGACAAAAGGGTAAGGAACTCAAATATGTGGTCCGTGCCATCCTAAGCTTCTGGAGATTCCAAATGGGTTTCATCTTATGTAATAGGTACTCAGCTCAGCCCTATGAAGAATTAAGATTCCATCTGTCCATGTTAATAAGAGAATTTGGACTCGAATAACCTCATCTCGTATTTGGCTAGGTTAGACGGACGAGAGGGAGGGATATTAGAATAATTTAATTTTTTTATCCATAATGATTTATAATACTCTCAATCGATTTGGAAACAGTCAAGATCTCTCAGCTCGCCATGACGTGTGTGTCACCTACTATCAACTCTTATATATTTCATTAGTACTGCCACAATTTTTTCGACCAATTAGATACTTAGAATCGCCCCGCAGTTTGCGACTTTTTCCTTTGCCATTCTATCGCATAAGGTCTGCAAAAGGTGCAAATGGTATAGAAATGTCATGCAAAACGCGCTCTATCTAACGATATTAATTATTAAAAATTTTATCTAAAGGCGAAGCAATTTAATTGATTTTACAAAAAATTCATCGGACGTGCGCTGAGGTGTGGCTAGCCAATTAGAGGCCAGAGTCTATTTGTGGCCGTGAAAAGGTCTAGCTACCTCTTATCACGTGCGGATGTTACGGAGGATTGTGTTGCGGGCAAGCCACGGCCACGGCCGTGGCCGTGGCTTTTTTTTAAATAATTTTATTTTTTTAAAAAATTAATAGGCTTAAAAGAACCCCCCGTACGCGCTTGCGCGGACGGGTAGCGCAGCTAGTATTATATTATGACATCTGGCTATACCACGACAATCCTATACTCCCAAACTTAGGCTCAGGCTGGCGGTGAGAATTTCTCAAGTTGTATCATTTCTCTAACAGATCATTGAAAAGGCATAATCGAGGCATTTAAGCATGCCCCTTTCCACGCAACTCTACCCGTGGGTGAGTTAGCTCTTATGAACACGGTGTTGCCATTCCAAACACCTCGACCATCAACGACGTCACTGCTTTCTTGGTCCATCATGCAGTTTACAGTTTGCAGTCTGCAGCCTGCAATGCGGTCACAGTCCCGTCACGCTGGACCGGTATCTGTATGCGCCTCAAGTCTCGCCCATGGCAAGGGGATCCTTGGCGCGTTGCAGAACCCTGTGGGGGATCCCTGCCCGCAAGGCAATTCAGAAGAAGATCGAGGCATGTCCAGACGATAGCTCGTGCCACGTTCCAAACCGCGTTTCAGGCGATAGGAAATTTCAAGCGGACGCGGTTCTTCTTGCTACGCTCGCTTCGTGAGGCCTCACCCAAATAATGACGTCGGTAGTTACCTCCTGATCGGATAAAACTCACTCGATCTCTGGGGCAGATCGATCTGCTTAGGGGTATATCGACATTGTTCGGTTCGCATTTTGCACAGTACAAAATCTTTTTTTTTTCTTTCGGCATCATCCCTACCTGCTTCTCGCTTGCTCTTTGCCAAAGCGTATAATTGCTTGCGCAATTGGCCTGTAGGACCGCGTCCTCGTATATCGCCATTAACGACAACCCCCTATATATATCCCTATATCTTCTTCGCTAGAAGCTCACCGCCAAAATGCTGACTAACCGTCGCTCAACGTTGATGATACCGCCGAACGGCAACGGCCGCCCGAACCCCGGCGCGCCGCCTACCCTCAGCAGCGCGAAACCGGAATACGAACCTCACTGCACCGCCCCGTCCATCTTGACATCTACGATGCCGACGCTACCCGGTTACCGCGTCGCGCGCGTCCTGGGCGCCGTATACGGCTCTACTACTTACGCGCTTAAAGACACTAAGGCCCTACTGAAGGCGGCTGCGGCGGGTGGCGAAGTTAGGAGTCTAACGCATATCATGTACAACGCGCGGGACCAAGCTGTTGAAAGAATGACGCGGGACTGCGTGTCGCGCGGCGCGAACGCCGTTGTCGGCCTAGACTTCGAGGAGAAGGAGGTCCTAGGCTTCATCCAGGTCTCAGTCTCGGGCACCGCCGTCTGCGTCGAGAAGCAGCTAGAGAACCCGTTCTTGCCCGAATGACACTAGGGGCTACATGTACCGTCTATGATATTTTTGCGCGCGTTTGATAGGCTCGTTAATATGGGTTCGCTTCTTGGTGCGTTAGTGTGGGCTCGATATCTTGATCTTGGCTGGGGTGTATTTTGGATATAGAACACCACGCAATTCCAGTAATCACTAGGTTACTGTATACATAATACTGGGGCTATATTTAGTGATTCTAATTGCGGTTGCATATGCGGTGATGTGTGCCGGGACCGCGTGATACGGATACGAAGAGCCTGGACTCGGGGTCCGGGTCGGGATCCTTGAACCAGGGTCGCGGAGATGAGGGAGAGTATGGGTGTAACGGTTTGATTGTGCTGATTACACATACATACGCATATACATATATCATTGGCAACAGCAGTTGCAGTTATTAACCGGGACGGAATCGGATCAGCTCAGGAGCTCACCGTGCCATTATATATTTAGGTGCATATATAAGCTTAGTTAATATTTCCAAATGAGGCTCTTTGTAGCCATGTTCTTTTGAATCTCGACCCGCAGTCATTAGTTCGTTTATCTTATGGTTGCTTACATATAAATCTTTATAGACCCTCCAACTCACCAAATTGGCAAGGTTTCGAAGGGCGAGGGGATAGACAAATTCGAAGAGAAAAGGCACGGAAACGTGGAGGTGAATAGAGGATTAAAACAGTCGATCTCGTTAAAATCCTCTCCTAGGATCTGCTGGGACGACTAACTGGGCAGTTTTCGCGCTTAAGAAACTGCATTAGAACTTTGTTATAGGTAACGTGATCCCGGCAACCTTATCTCACGATAATATCGGGTGACATAAGGCTGCCACGGCACGGCATAGTATCTTTCGGAGGTGACACAGCATTCGTAATTAATATTAATATGATACATGCCAGCCAAGGCTCTCTTTACGAATTGGCAATGGCGATATTCCGACTCAAAATGAGACTTACTCTGGACAAATTCGTGATAGTTATGCATAGCTTCGGAAAGTTAACATTCCAACTCGTGGCTTATATCTAATTTCGACCAGTGACACCCAAGATGTACTATTGTTGTATGTAAACCTCCGACCCGTGTCAACAAAAATTCAGATCCGTATACTGTAGTCTGTACGACGTCCCCCTTGCTACAGAGTACGTACTCAACCGGGTTGGCCTTCCGAATTTGCTGTCGCCTCAAACATCCATCCACCTCGCCCTGTCGTGATACGTGGGAGCCCCGTCCCCACGGGGAAGGGGAGGGCATCGAGCCAAAAAGGCTAAATGAAATAAGCTTTCGAAGTTCCCCGGATAGGGGTCCGCCCTATGTATGTATGTAGAAATCTGGTACATGGGCATATATGTATGTACCTATATACTAGGTATGTATGTATGTATGTATGTATGTATGTATGTACGTGTCACATTCCCATCCTGGGAGGACATCATATCAGGGTCTGGTCTAGAAGCTCTATTTATAGAAAACTTCGCCCTTTTCGGGACTGCATGTTATATTACTCTATCGGACGCTTTTTCTTCATGCGGGTTCGCGGCTGGGTGGATCGTGTTTAAGACTTCCCGGTGCTGAAATCCCGATGTTCCTGGAGCTAGTATCGTGCGGGTTGATGACGGTATGCTGGAATCGGTATGCCTTTATATTGCCTTGTCGACGTAATCAATAGATGCCGCGCCTAGATCAGTCTAAGTCGCATTCGGCTGTGAAGTTTGACTAAGCTACGGGAAATACTCCGTCAAGTTCACGAGCAGTACGCTATTAATAACAATGGTAGATATTGATTAGATTCACTATACTGCTAAATCGTAATAGAGTATTGCCATGCTAGACCGAAGGTGGTGTCAATGGTTTGAAGCTTAATGTCACGATGTAATGATTATTGAGATAATAGATAATAATACCATTCTATTAGAATTAAGCAATAGCGACACTACAGTACTTCGAAGAGTGTAGACACAAGCTATAAAGAGTTTATTTTAGTGTGATGCGCCTGACATCCTTAATCGTGAAGGTATCGCATGCTAGGCCCGGGGGTGAATTCTAATGAATTAATGCTTCCGTTTGAACAATCGTGAATTTTTTTTCCTCAATTAATATGCCCATCCCTTTAGTGATATCATATAACGCCGGTAAAATGCCAACTGTCTCCGAGGTGCTGATAATCCCTCAATAACCCACTGATCATCTCTTCGTAAAGCTTTAGCCAGAAGGCTATCAAATGCAAATCAAGACCTCGAAGCAGAGGCCGATGAGGCGCTCCCAGGGGCCTCTAAGTTTTAAAATGAAAATAAATGATACTGGCACTGATGTCCATTAGGGAATCCGGTGCCGTTGCAGATTCGTTACGCCAAAGCTCGAATTGACGTCTAGGTATGTGTGTGTGTGTGCTGTTCCAAACCGAACAGCGGACGAGCAAAGACGCAAAGTGCAACGGAGAAATAACATGTCTCGTGAAGCAGTCTCCTCAGAGACTAAACGAGTGGTTTTGGTCCCAAGGCCGTGGGACCCCGTATTGAAAGTCGTCCTTTTTTCTTTCCTTTTAACCCAACACACGCTCTCTTCCCCTTATATCAACGCTGAGACGGCTTCATCCGCTTAATGGGTATGTGTCGCGTGTGCTGTTACCAAATGTCGAGGCATAGGAGGTACTTGAGGCTTGTTTTGAGGATGGCAGTACCAACAGCTGCCTGTCGTGTACTCGGTTCCACAGTTGCCACACGTATGCATCTGCATATTGTCGATATATATGATGTTTTCCTCTGGGTAGGATGTATGTATGCTATGATAGCCGGCGGATTAGGTGCACCTATTGCTGCCAAGTCAGACAAGACCTTTTTTTTTCCTTCTTTTTTTTTTCCTCCCGTACGGAGTCGTGGGTCGGTTCAACTTACGAGCACTATACTGGGATGCTGCGTTCGGTGTTTCTCTGGATTTCCTGTTGAGCTGGGAATGTAAATACGTGAAGGAGTGTTTAGATATTAAAAGTTGAAGCTGTAGCTGTGGCTGAGGCGACGAAGAGAAGATTGTGCGTTTGATGCGTTTGATAGAAGAATAAATTCAAAGTGACGGCTCTCCCCTCCGTTTCTGGGGAAGCTAGACTAGAAATTGTATGCTGGGGGGTCCAAGGTCCCTTGAGGGATGGATCGTCTGTGTGGATTAACAACTTTAATATCAATCCTAATTTGGCTCTAATGCACGATCCATCAATAACTTCACGATGGCTGGCGGACTAGACCCACAACACCACCTGCCTACTACAGTACTACTACAATACTATGTAAGGGTCTTTGCCAATAGCGCGACGGGTAACCCCAGGCAGGCCAAGTACATAGAGAAGCCAGGCAGATATACATACATACATACATACATACATACGTTCATACATACACTGCATATGTACAGGCAGCTTAGGCAGGACAGGACAGGGAATGGATGGAATGGGTTGCCGCCTAAGCGAATGGCGAGAGAGGTGACTCTACAGGCTTAGGTCGAATTTATTTAGGAAGCATGTACCGTCCGATATGCTATGTACAGACATGCCAAAGACAGAAGCTAACCACGTTTACCACGTGGTGCTCGCCTAGAATGCCCGTCTTATTCGGCATCGTCGGCTCCTACCGAGTCTGACCACTGCCCTGCGAGGGTGCGATGTTAAAGACGCAGCCAAGACTGCGGGATACCTTTTCGGCGGATATCGTATCACATCCCCATTTGCAGGAATGGAATTCGATGGAAAAAGAGAGAACCGTGGTAGCGAAAGACACATCAGAAATAATAAAGTCGATCACCGAAAGACGGTTGGCAGGGTGCGGGAATATTGGGCTGTATGCTGTATGTATGCTTGTTATGTATACTTGTTATGAGGTAACTACCTAGGTAGTTAGGTATTTTGACAAACTGGCAAATCGCGGGCTTGCTCGCTTGCGATACGCTTGTGCAGTAGACTTTTGCAATAGGCTTGCAACAAGCTCGTAATAAAAGCTTTTCTGGGGATAAACGGACCGGGTGCGGTGTTTGCGTCTCCTGATCGTGTCCACCTCGCCCGTGAGAGAAACCCTCCAAGACGATCTCTCGGAGGAGCCAAGTGTGATGGGCCACCATGGGAACAAGTGATGAGCAGAGGACAATGCACACATTAATCAAAGAAATTGGGACGGGTTCCTAATCGAGCCACATTCCCCATTTATACTTATAATACTTATAGGTACTCGTAAGAATTTATAGGCTTGGCACATCGTGGGCTCCGATTTTTCACTCCCAAGGTTCTGTCGGTGTGTACGAGATACTGCAAAATATAGAAGGAAAAAAAGAAAAAATATGCTGCAAATATCTACTAATATCCGCAACAGTCTCCATTATCTGCCCGTGCCTACCCAGTACCTAATCTGCCCAGCATCTGCCAGCGCGCATAGTCTTGCATGCCGAGGCTCTCGTATTTGAACGACAATGGCGTCAATCTTGTCAATCTTGTCAATCGTGGGAAGACGCAATCGCTAGGCTTGAAGCCTTATGTATTAATACCCTCTGTACCCTCATATTTCCCCTGCTGATCTTGCTCGTCTCGGCCCCAACAGCGTGTTCCCCCCTCACAATCACTTGAACGTGTCTAGGCGACCGTCTCACCCAATTACAGCGCTGCCGCCGTCCAACGTGCATCTAGTTCATATCCGTCTAAAATCCGAGTTGCTTTACATTCTCCGAAGCTGACGGTCCTGCAGTGCATCGAGCGGCTGCGTTTTTCCTGTATGACCGCTTTGGATCGATTCTGGACAAGAAATGAAAATGAACCATTGACGATGCTTCGTGGCGTACTATCGTAATAAAACTTCGCCGGCGTGAAAATCTTCATTGGGAGAAGGCATCCGTTGTGGGACCTCTTCACCTCCCGAGCGAGTGGCGCCGAATCAAGCTATTTAGTCCAAGCCCGCCTAACAGCGGATATGAGATCCGTAGCGCGGACCTAAACTAGACAGAATCCCTAGGCGGGTTTCTTTTTTAGTCTAATTCAACGGTTTAATATAGCTTCCAAAGCGTTTGCCAAGATGGCCAAGTTGTTGATCGAGGTCCCTGACCCGGCAGTTTGGTTGACGCCAGAGGCAATCCTTCAAAGCCGCGACGAGGATAAAACCAAAACCCACCGGCATGACTCCCGAGAGAACAGTGCTCTGCTTCCTAGTTCGAGTGGTAGCGATGCAAGTGATAGACCAAGCTAATCTTGTATGATGCTAATCTTGTATGATGTAGCTCCACTGTGCCGAAGATCTCGAGACGCGTACATACGACTTTAAGATTATGGTAAAAGTCCGCTTGTAATCGGACGGGGTATAGTCTTGTAGCTGACATCCCGAAAGTATGATCTACGGAGCATACATGAGACTATCCGACATCCCGAGCCATACTTATGAAAGAAGTACACCGTAGTCGAGCAAACCTATACCGATTGCTTTCTAATTGAATTGTTGCCGCCGTAAGAATCGACTATTATATCTCGTATCTCGTCAAGAATAATTTCCACGTACCAGTCACGACTACTTAATGTACGAATACGCTCGGTACCTACACAGCGAGCATAGAAGTAGCATTGGAATAGTACATATGATGTAATGTAGTAATCTTCCAATTAGGATATTTACGATACAGAATTGTCGTCGCCATCGGTAATTCCCTATGTCCAAAATATGGACTTTCATACAGGAGGGTATAGCCGAGGACGTTGAAAAAATAATATTCGAGACGGGGGGGTTGCACCCCGAGTTCAACCTTGCATCTGAGCATATCAGCAATGGAAGGGTTGAATGTTACCGCGACATAACTTCGCGCTTGGAGCCGAAGATCTAGCCGAGTTCGGGAAGTTTACCTGATTCGTAAGGTTGCTTACTTACCTATGGCACTTACGTATGCATCCTCTCGGCTTTCACTGCGTGTAGATTTTAGGACGACATAAGCCTACAGTGCTATGGGGTTTATATCATCACCTTTTTTCGGAAATTTACTCAATTATAATATGACACGTCAAAGTGACCAAGTTAGTTACGTGGAAAGGCGCTTATTCAATCATTACTGTTGCACAGCCGAAGTAACGAATTCTTCATTTAGAGTTGCAGTAAGATATCCCGATCCAAAAGAAAAGCACGCTCGAAGACAAAAACTAGTTTACTCCTAAGATAGGGAGTGTTCTAAAATTGAAAGGAGTGCATAATTGCAAAAGGGTAAAAGAATTGAGAAAAGATAGACCAAGTCAACGACTACAACCTACATTTATCTAGAGGATTCAAATCCTAAACTTTTTCTATCTTAAAAGGGACGCAACATTCGCATCAACTAATGCGAACACTATTATAGCACGGTAACACGACGATCGTACCCACATAGGAAGGTAGCTTACAGCCCTTAGCGTATGTAAAAAGTTGCCAGGCTCTAACCTAGGTATCTCTCTCTCTCTCTCAAAAAATAAAAATAAAAAATAAAAATAAAAAACTAAATAACGGAGTTAAGTCTTGGTATAAGAGAAATTTTTTGAAAAATGCTGCCATGCCGGCTTTATTATTTAAACTAAACCCATATAGAAATTTTATACGCCTAAACCCGAATCCGAATCTTTCGGCATTTAAAAGGCGTGATTATATTTAAAAATAATGCTCCATGTCGGCGAAGGTATTACAGCTTAAACCGAATAATAGGCGTAACTTTATCATCCGATTAGTTTAATTATTAATGTATCCAACTAAAAAGTCGAGCATCAAGGCTATTTATAACGAAGGTTACACTTTTTACCATTTTACCATTTTACCATCTTACATATACTTAGATAAAACCGTGATTAATAAGGCTCTAAAAATCACTCATACTAAAACACATATGATTCCAACTAGTATCAAAACTTAAAAATTTAACAACTTATGCAAGGTACCTACCTCTAAGTAAGCCGCTAAGATAAATAATGAAAAAGGTAGAGTTTGCGTAACTTGTTTGCTAGTTTACATAGTTAATATCCAGCTGCTCCACATCAAACAAATCAAAGACACGTAAGACCTTTAATATGTAGAGCGCCAATAAAAATAACACCGACAGTCAGGTTCAAGCTACTGCTCGGTAAAGGATACGGAGGTTAACTTAAGCGTCTAAGACGGCCCTGGACTAGTCGCGCGCGTACGTGTGCGTATCTAGCGCCGGAGTCCGGCTCCTCTCAGGGCACGCGGCGTTTAGGGCTAAGTACTCCACTTAGACAGGTAAGTGTTTGCACTCTAAATTGAGGGCATACACTTTTCAGACCGTCTAGACCCAAGCACTAGAAACCGATCCACGATTCCAACGATAATACACCCCAACGGCAAAAATATTTGACCCCGACCCGATTTGAACGGATAACCTTTCGATCTGGAGTCGAACGCGCTACCGTTGCGCCACGAGGCCGTTTTGAATTTGCTGTAATCCATTGACTGGACTGTTGTGAGAGTTGCTATGTAACGGCTATATAGTAAACCCCAAAATCAATATAAACCAAAACTATACTATGCTTGTTATACAAAAGCAACTCTGTTCTGATATAACTTGTTTTCATACAATTGCAGTTGTCTGTTGCTGAGGCCGTCCGCAAGGCTATTCTAAATCGTCACTTCAAGTATAAGACGACCACTTGCGAAAACCTGGTATACATATGTAAGGATTCTAAATAAGACATCTAGATTACAAGATACTTTCAGTATGTATGACTGTGAGCTTTCGTAGTTAGGGTTAAAGTTTCTTTCAGGACAACTTTGTTTCCACGCATTTATTCCACCTCGTGATCTTATGACTTAACGATTCTATTATGGAACTTCTCTATAACGACGAGATTGGGAGGATTTCATTAAGAAACATATGCGAAGGGGTTATTACGGAGTATTAAATTCCGGAATATTAAATCTATAAGAGTCTTACACTGAATACCACTTTTATACGTTTGAGTGGTAGATTGTGTGTTTCTAACACGATGCTTAGTATTGATAACTAATAAGACTACGAGACCGAAATAATTCTCATTGTACGGCGCTAACAAACAAACTTACTTGGCCGATATTAAGCTTGTATTAAGTTACTAGTGAAATATAGGTAACTTCAATATCACGGGAGACACTCCTGATAGGTAGCCAAACATTATAGATCGCGGCGTTCTTAGTACTACAATAAAGATGGCTCGTTATGCTATCACTATATCGAAAGCTTCATTGCACTCTTTGGACAATGCTCTTTGATAGGTAATGGGATGTCTGGTAGAAGTATGATATAGCTTTGGAAAATATTGCAAACAGTAGGTGTTTTATTTTACGACGCGTTGGAAAATGTTAAAAATCATAGACTTTAATATATGACTCATAATCTAGTTGTCTCCTTGAATTGAGGCACATTATTGCCCGAAGGGCGCGAGATGAGTATCAACTTGGGCCAGCGCCAACATGTGAAGTTGTGACGAAGTGACCGTATTAGTAACTCTTGACTAGCTAGGGAACATATTATCCGCTGTTTTTCCTGTGAAGGTTCCGACAGTTCCAACTATGATCCGATGCGATATGGAGGTGCCCTATTTTCTTATCTAAATCCGAAAATTCCAATAGGCAACGTTGCTGCCCCCCTGGGCTATCTAAGTCCGGGAACCAATTTGTTGCATTGTGCGGGCCTTGAAAGCCCGCCTGTTAGCCATTTCGCGAAACTAGGAGTGACGATCACCCTGCTTTATAGATTATCACGAGAGGGATTACGCTGATCTTGCTCAGCTTGATCTGCGTCGGCATATGGCAAGCCCTAAGGTATGCCAGATCTGCGTTCCTGGGTCTGCTTTCAGCCGGCTTGGCACTCGCGTACAGCTGAAGCAGAAGATGAGAGCATTGGGGATTTTTGGGGAAGTTTCGGAGGACGTTGCTATGGTACAGACAGACGAGACAACCAGCCTGCTAGGAACCATATTGTAGACCGAGTAAAGTGCACGAGGAAGCCGCTTCAGCCGTTCGGCAGTGAGTGATCGACCATAGCCATGTAGATACTCGAGCATGCGTAGTATATGCAGTTTAGCCATCAAGATCACCCGTGTAACCAAGGTAATATAATCGAGAAACGCGCATCATCTATACGTTTCCCGGTTCTTGGCGCTCTGTAACCTTGCTGCAGCTGTCGAGAGCTGCGTACGGGGGTACGATTGGCAAAAGTATAAAAATGCTATTGACACCATTGATGACACCATTTTCAGCTCATACGACGCCATTAATACTTTGACAGTTCGAGCGTCTAGAACATCGAGATATCGACAGTGAGATCGCAGTCCTGTGGAGTCGTGTGAACCCCTAATTGGTGGTTGAAGTCGTCATAATGGGTCAAGGTCCTTCGCTACCGGGTCCGCCTGGGACGAAGTTTCGCGTCATTGGTGCTGGAATGTAAGTCCAAGCGAGTCGCATAATCTTTTACTCTAGGACCATATGTCCCTGGACATGAAATGGGCCGAATTATTATAGCGCAGTATACATGTACCGTCGTGATCCTTAAGAAACAGCGTTGACTCCATATAGGTCACGTACCGGCACGAAGACTTTCAACGAAGCTCTCACCATTCTTCTCGATGGCCCCGTCCACGACTCCGGGATCTAGTCCCTTGGGGGCCTAATTATTCAAATAAAAGCTTGGCTCGATATCATGGAGCTCGCTCCGAAGGCGCAGACGTTCTCTGAGCAGAAGAAGCTTGATTGGCTCATCTCGGAGGTGCTCGACGGCTACGTTGCAACCATGGACTGCCCCGCTGCGACTCTCACCCCTGAAATCATGCGCGTCTATCCCGACGCCATAGTAATAGCAACGACTAGAGAGGAAAGGTCCTGGTGGAAGAGTATGAACTATCTGAATAGTCTAATGGGGACGTGGTATCTCCCTATCGTGGTCTTATGGTTGCATAAGACTCAAGTTTACGGAGTTTGGCGTGAACGCTTCCATCAAATTATGAAATGGCGCTACCACCAGGATAAGATCGAGGAGGACACGCTTCGCAGGCACGAGGAGCATCTAAGGCAGGTCGTACCTCCAGAGAAGCTGTTCTTTTACAAAGTCAGCCAAGGGTGGGAGCCTCTATGCAAAATCCTGAACGTTCCTGTACCTGATCGTCCGTTCCCGCATAATAATAGCAAAGGCGACGCAGCGCAAACGTTCCGGGATCACGTAACAGCAGATTGTTTATCATGGTTTTTTATGCTTATGCTTATCAGCATGGCCGTTTGGCTCGTCAGAGGATGGCTTCTTCAACCATTTTCTTGATCCACACAGGTCGGAGACAGGTTAGAAGCGACACTGAATGTCGATTCGCTAATATCTAATGTCCGCATACTATTCAATTGGCTGTATATATCTAAAATCAGGCTGCCTTCGTAAAATAACCCAAGTAGCTGTTGATAATAAATCTTAGACCTAGGAGTCCAATAAACCAACTCTTATCTTTGCGAGAATGAGTTCTCTTAACATCACTACTTGTGCTATGCAAATCAAGTAGGATGGCATTAGCCTGGTATTGACGGCTGGTGCTAAAAGATACGGTATACGACCTGTATGTTGTATATTGACTTAGTCTATCAACTGTATGAGTGAGGAGGGAAGTCCTTCTTATATATACATTCTACGCCAAGACACCATGTGCTGTATAACCAGGTAAATAACTACCCAAGGCCATTCAGAGCTAAAGACTCTACTTGGAATTGTGAACTATAAATATATTTACTCGAATATTTGAAACATTTCAAAGAAACCCATGTCTAATCCCCCACGCCTTTGATGGAGCCGAAATGACATCCAGGTTAACCACCCCTGACGCGTCGGCTGCTAGATCTGTGACACAGATCTATTATAGTTAATTGGTTGAGTTACCTGTGCAGGAACCGAGAAAGCGGCTGCGGGGTCACGAATCCCGGTGGCATGAGTTTCAAGCTGGTATAGAATCTCTTGAGTGGGTGCTACTACAGAAACTGAGATAAAGGAAACGCCATCATACGAAGCTCATATGTTAGTCCCTACCAATAAGATGATGAGAATGTTGTAAATAAATCCTTATCGGTGAACGTATTTCTATAGTCCTCTAGTTATCCCTTAAAGCCGCACGTAGCTTGTCAGAAAAGCTAGAGACATGATCCTGCCCAAGCATAGTATAATATCCCCCCTGAACCTCATGGGATAGTCCATGTGAACTTAGGCCTAGCACCTCCATACGCGAGTTATCCGCAAGTCCTAACACCCGTGAGATGGCATCGCTACGGGAGGCATTGCGGTACGATAAGATGTCTGCTGGATCCACACTGTCTTCTGCTATGATACCTAGAAACTGAACGAGCTGTAGCAGGGCCATGTTCCAGCCGAGCTGGCGCATAAGCGTCTTAATATGCGGTGGAAGATCAAAGATGCCTAAAAATTGCACCACATTCTTTTCGGACTTGTTCATCTTCTTAGTCGTCCCAAACGCTAACATGGAACCGTAGCTATAACCTGCGAGGACATACGGACCCCAGGGTTGCAGCCGACGAATTGCTGCTACGTATGTGTCGACTGCCTCAGGAATACGGAATAGATATGAAAGCATTTTGGCCGGACTCAAACCCGCGAACGCGAAGCGCATATACTGGGCAATCATCTGCTACTAGGTGTTGGGCTAACCCAACAAAGACGAGAACTTCTCCAAGACCAAGGTGGACGAGCCAAAAGGGCGTTTTAGTACCTATGGGATTCAAGACGACAACTGGGTCGTAGTCATATGTCTCCATTACTGATGACTCTATGAGATTAACTTGTGCAGCATTGGAGTCTAGCGTAACAATTGTAGTACCAGTACCAGGTGAATGATGTGCTGGGTCTGGCTCGGCCAAGGCAGCCGCCAGCGTTCGCACGGTAGGGTTATTTATAAGCATAATATTGGCTATCGCAATACCCAACCGGAATTTGATATAGACTTTCAAGCGAATGATGTCCATCGAAGCGAATCCCAACTCGAAAATGGATGTATTAACTCCAATGGTATCCGGATCTTCGATCCCCTTGTCTTGGCAATGTCTCTCTGCAGGAGGGCTTCTGTTTCACTTACTCCTTCGCCTGCTGAAATCTCTTGTATGTGGTTCCTAAATCTCAAGACGGACTGAGAGTGGAATTCAACATCTTTTTCAAACATGCTGGCTTCGAATAATGCTCTCATTTTAACCCCCGAGGTCTTTCCCAGGGTGCTCATTAGTAGCAAGGGAAGCGATTTTGTGCCCACCACAAAAACCAAAGGTTTACAAGACATGCTAATCATCATACACGTCTGGACGGAAATTTTGTCAACTTTGACCATTTCTTCCACCTTGGGTGGCTATTGCTCTGGTATGTATGCTACTGTAACTCTCTCTGGAGCAGCTCCAGGAAGTCGAGATGGCATGAGAAGTCGGCGTATCCGTCTCAGTTTCGAGCAGAGATTCGATTGTATGAATATCTAGAGAGTGGATGCTTCCTTCGAACATATGTAAGGCATTAGCCCTCGTAATAGAGATAGACGATTAGAGAAGTTGTGAGAGGCCCTGAATATGCTTTTCGCCGTGGTCTTTGACGTTTATATACCCTTGACAATGTAAGGGGTTGATAGAAAGACGAGATCAAGTAAAATAATTTATTTTTTAAAATCATAGATCACTAGCTACCTAGAGCCATAATAGGTTAACTAGCATCAAAGGGTATCTCCATTCTCATATTCACCATCATTTCCTTTAAACGCTTTTGTTGTCCGACCGGTTGGAATGCTCCTCAACTTCAACCTTGGACATATCTCGCTTCGTACCCTCGGTAACGTCCAGTCTTTCTTCTTCGGGAACTCCAAAAAGTTGATCCATATGCTCGAGCGAAACACCCTTAGTTTCGGGGATGAAAAACCAGACGAAGAAAAACATGCACACGCAGAAACTACCGAATATTAGGTAGGTGCCGTATCCGTGCTCTCCGACGGTAGCCAGCATGTTAGGCACGGCGCGAGCCACTACGAAGTTAAACAGCCATTGTGTGGCAGCTCCTAGTGCGACATTCATGGGTCGTAGGCGAGCAGCCGGGATCTCTGAGACCAGAATCCAACAGGCGGGACCCCATCCGAACTGGAAAAAGGCGGCGAAAACGAAGATGCAGACTAGCGCGAAATAGCCGGCGCTTGGCACAGGCTCTCCGTCGACGGGCGGCGAGATGCGTACGTATAGACCAATATAGAACATACAGAAAGCCTGCCCGACGGAGGAGACCAGCAGCGAGCGGCGGCGGCCAAGAGAGTCGGCCATGAACAATAAAAACAGAGCGCACGCTACAACCTTAACAATGCCGTAAACACCGGTACTGAGCAGCGAGTTCGAGGTACCCGTGATGCCAAGATTCTTGAAAATCTGCGGCGCATATGTGTTGATGGCGTTAGTACCCGTCATCTGCTGGCAAATCATGAGGACGATGCTCAGGATAGCTCGCTTGCGGTTTGTGGGGATCGTCCACATCTCCCTCTGTAACGTCCAGAAACCAGCGTCACCAACCAGACGTCGCTCGTACTCAAGTTGATCGGCGATCTCCCGGAATTCATCTTGTAGGTAGGGATGGTCAGGCGCGAGATGCCGGATCCGTGTGAGGACCGCCTTCGCCTCCTCCCAACGATCCTTGCGCGCAAGATAACGCGGCGACTCATTGCAGATAGTCATAAGGGAGAAGAGTAGTAGAGGGGGTAATCCTTGGATCGACAGTGGAACAATGTACTGCGCAGGACCACTTAAGTGTATACTGACTGCATAGTTACCCCAGAACGCTATCATACTACCAGTGACGATGAACATTTGATATAATCCGGTAAGTAGACCACGGATGGCTCGAGGCGCATTTTCGGTAACATATATCGGGTTAACGACACTAGAGCAACCAACACCAAGACCTATTCAGTAGGTTAGAGGTTAGATATTAGCGCACGAAGGGGGTGCTAGTTATAAATTCAGAACGGACTTACCAGAGATGAATCGACCAATATACATAGGCTCAAGATGACCAGAAGCGGCAGCCTGCATAGCTACACCAGCAAGAGTGAAGAGAGCACCGCCCATCAAGCAAGGCCTGCGACCATATATATCCGTTAGGGGGTAAGCAACGAGAGCGCCTACGAAACATCCAGCTTGCAACACTGAAACAATGTTTCCTTGAAGATTGGCCGTCGCCACGTCGTCTTTACTCCCTAGATCATATGCGCTATTGCAGAAGGGGATGTTAGAAGTTATTCTAAGTCTAGGTTGAGACCACCCAAATGTAGTTTCTTATGGGGAGACACACGCGATGAACGAGTCAAGATTAATGACACCTCCGATCACACCACTATCCCAACCGAAAGACATAGCGCCAAAGCAAGCCTAATAAAAACATTTGTTAGTTATATAAGAGATGATTTTATTATAAAAGAGCAATTGCTTACAGAACAGGCCAGAAGATAGACCCTCCATCCATAGATTTCCTTGGGATCATTTTTCATGGCGTCATTTTTGACGATATACCTTAATAAGGACGACATGATTGTCGATAGATGGGATAAATCCCAGACCACTATTCCCTATGTCGACGTCTCTTATTTGCCCGCGATGCTCTCTTTTATCGTGAACAGGCACGCCGCTGTCGTCCGGGAATCTTTAGCGATACGCGAGAAGAAGGATAAACAAGCAGTGCCGGGCGAGATGGGCGGCGAGGCCCTACTTTTAAAAGATGCATGTTGTGGGTGAGCTGCCGATAGAGGTTTCTCTCGCCTTGCTGCAGTACCACGTTATTGGGGGGCCAGGGTCAGGATAGCGCACAGCTTAGCGGAATGGGAGATCTGGGGCCTGGAGCCCCTTTGGGAAACCCATGTGATGGGTGGAAAATGGAAAATGGGCAGGTTTTGTATTCTTCCACCAAACAGATTAACCAGATAGCCTGAATGAAAGGCGCTGGGGCTCGCTGTACCGAGGAAATCCTAGCAAGTACACCGATAGCCCACCCTTGTGTAGGCTTGTGGTCCTCTTTACCCCATGGGCCGCCAGGGACACCAAGACTAAAGGATCTGGGGACTGGAGAAGCCAAGGTTGGGGAACTATTCCGTAGATTTGGGGTTAGATCCTTACTAGAGAGATTCAATAGCGCTTAGATTTAAGATATTTGAAGCCATATTCTCTTCTATAGACATGAGAAACTTCATACGGCTGCAGATTCTATATCCTCGGCAAAGATGACACCCATTATCGTTCCATCACATAAATCGTAAGGGTTCAAATGCAGAACACCTTCTAGAGCTAGGAATATGCTGACAGGGTTAGAAGTCGATGTTGTAGGAGAAGTGGAGATGTACCTCTGGGGGTTGGAACTCAGGGCCGAATATTGAGGTGGTGTGGCAGGCTCTCCTAGTTCTTCAGCGTAGATCCGACCAACCAGCCTGGCCGGTTCAGGGTGACGGTCGACCTCCACTACGGAGATGGACTTCATTTTAGGCTCAATGCGGGGGAGACAAGCCGGGACCAACCAAATAAAGGTAAGCTTAGGGACGATTACTTCGTATGACGAATATGAAGAGCTTTGGTATTTGATGGTGAAGATACTATTACGCAAATAAGAATATACGACGATCTTGATACCGGTGTAAATATTGATGGGATATGTATATTCCTTCCAACTACATAGAAAGCAATTCGAGCCAGAGGTTATTCAGTATACAAGTAGGTCCCCGAGAGCTCGTTACGACGTTGAGATATAGAACTATATGCAAGGACAATATGTGTAAATATATTCAGGGGCGAATATTATAAAAGATACGTATCACAAGATAGTAGTTAAAGCTACAAAAAGTATCTTGAAGTAGTATACAGCAACCTTTAAGCAAGCAGTACGTCGTAATTATCGAATAAAATCCTCCATCTCATACTCATCACCTACATGCGCGGGGGGTACTTCGTATTGTTTAATGGGTCGTTTCAACTATTGCGGATCACATATCGACTCGAGGCTCTTTTGTCCACCCTATCGGCCTTCAACTCGGGCGATTGCTATACCGGCACTTGGTCGTTTAAACAATACATAGTTGAATGCTAGCTCCATCATACGAGTGTTGTTGTAAAATCGATTGACCACGGAGATAGGCTATAGTCACAATTGAATATGGTGTCTGCTAACTAGCGTCTGAGCTGCGCGCAATATATTGTGACACTATCGCGAACCACTCGATTTCGTTCTAGAAGTCGATATTGTTACATCGAACGGCAGATCTTCGTGATTTCATTTAGCCTCTTACCGTCTTCTACCGGTGCGTCACGGTTTACTACATTCCTTCCAGGCTTATCTCTCGAGCCTCATTACCATTCATATCTTTTTCTTTAACGGAATAGAAGAAAAACGGAATAGAAGAAAAGAAAATGCTGGCTGAGCCATCCGTATCGGTGCTTGGCTTGGACCCGACGCACCGGAACTGCGTCCTGAACGGCAACGCGTTTCAGCAGGATGTTATCCAATCATACAACGGGTGGCAGTATGCAAGTTTCTACAGCTCTCTATCGGTAGACTCCGCTCAAGAGCCGCTCTATATTCATCTATCACGTAGGAAACTTCCAGAGGGCAAGTGGGAAACTCTCATCTTTGAGGATTATCCTCAGACAACGGATGATGGCCATAACACTATACAGGTAATATAAACAAATACCTTAAGAGAGTCGAGAAAAGAAGCATACTGAGTAAGACGTAAGCTCGGCATCTGTCCCGGAGACGGCACCATCCATCTTTCGTATGACCACCACTGCGACAGGTACGATACCATGGAATACCTAAAACACGTAGTTACTAGACCCTGTACTTACAACACGGTAGAATAAGATATCGCTACTCCCAACCCGGTGTCGCCCACACCCCAGAATCCTTCCCGTGGTCCGCCTCTCTTTTCACACCACACCTATCGCAACTCCCCGGTCTCGAGGAAGAACACGACGAACTGCTCAGTTATGTTACATACCCGCGCTTCGTGCAACTCAACCGCAACCTGCTCTTCTCGTTCCGCACTGGCAAGGCCGGTCTAGGCGACGACCACGTGGCTGTATACGGACCGCGGAAAGATAGATCCTATGGGTACACGGTTCTAGGCACGAATCTTAAAGGTGTCGATAATAACCCGTATATCCACGGCCTAGACATACGCGCCGGCCGGCTGCACGCGACGTGGGTGTACCGAGGTTTCGTGTGGTACGAGGGCTGGGACGACCCGCTGGATATCAAGCACAAGCAACAACGCGGGCCGAACTCCGCTGAGAATAATCATAATATCTGCTATGCGTACTCCGACGACGGGGGCCAGTCGTGGCGGAACGGGGCGGGAGAGTTGATTGCGGATTTGGCGAAGGGCGAGAGTGTACGACCTGATGCACCGGGAATCGTGGCGTTTGAGATTCCTAAGGGCTCGGGGCTCTCGAATCAGGAGGCGCAGGCTATCGATCATGAGGGAGGGGTACATGTGTTGAATCGGGATGCGGAGGATGGCGAGCAGAAGTGGAAGCATTATTATCGATCACCGAAAGGTTTGTCTATCTTTTTTTCCTCTCGTTCACATTTCCCTTTCCCCCAATTATTGCTATGGGAATATGTGCTAAGAAGTGCCAACCAAAAAAACAGGCGTCTGGACGCAACGTGCCCTCCCTCACGTCCAGGGCATTAAAGGGGGCAAGAGAGGACGGCTGGCCGTAAGCAAAGATGACGACCTGTATCTTATCCTACCGGACCACACAGCGCCAGTCTTGACAGTCTTAAAGGCGTCTAAGGAATCTAACTACTCCGAGTACGAGCTCGCGTGGCGGGAGAACGGATTCCCGCCGACGGAGCCCTTAGTTGACACCACGCGGCTGGATTATGACAACGTACTATCGGTGTTCACACGAGCTACTAATGGGGCAGATATAGAGTCGAGCCCCCGAGTTGATGTTGTGGTTATTGATTTCAAGTTATAATGAGGTCTAAGATACACTCCTTTCATTCATATTAACTAGTTCGAGTTCTATACTTGAAACTCAAGTCACATATAGGAAAGAGAAATTCATACGTATAACAATGCTGATACTAAAATTGGTCTTCTATTAGTTGTCTAATCTATGTTTTATATTAGTACAAGGTACTCATGACTCGTTACACTTCCGTACCGTAGACCCGTTGCTTGTTATACAAGATAATCTATTCCTTAGCTTCGCCGTTACCAACCCGAACGGGCTTTTTTACACCGTTTCCGTTTGCGGTAACGCTGACGGTAATAGGAGGGGCATTAGTTTTCGCTGCTGGCCATTTATCGATGTCAAAACCAGCTGCTACTGCTGCCTGCAAGACGCCGTAGACTACAATAGCGACAACCACGATGAGGTCAAATACATGGACAAACCACCAAAAATACTGGCGACCTAGGGCGCAAGTAGCGAACTCGTATTTCCATTCCCAGGTATCCTCTTCGAACCAGACACTAAGCAAGCCAGCATTACCACCATACATAGCCATCATACTTCGAACGGTGATTTCCCTGAGACCTGGCACTCCGGGTTTCCCGGGAAGCTCGCCTGTTCTGGCGGTAGGCCACCGAGTAACCCGCCATTGACGTTCATCACCCTCCTCCGTTTGGTTGATATAATGGTACGTATCGCAGCCTTCGTGATCATGTCCATTCAACACGACACCTTTGCGACCCATGCCGTGCCCTGGTGCGCTTGGATCGCCATTCAACCCAAATATGCCTTCCAAGAATCCACGAGACGCATCCGCCGATAGATGGTTCTGCTCCTTAACACCGCCACCAGGATGAAAATCGAAAAAAGGAGCATCAACGCAGACACCGTCGGGCTTGTACAACGGTATATGGGTCAGGACAAGCGTAAACTGGCCCTGATACTCGACCGCAGTAGCCGTGTTAATGATATCGTTTACGAAGGCATACGTCTTGTCTTGGAGACTCTGGTCGGCAGCTGGAGTATCAAGGTTCATGTTGTTGACGTTAAGAATCCGGAGCTCGGGAGCTAAACGATCAGAGTCGGGGTTAGTCTCTTCGTCGTAGATAGTCGCATTGGCTGCTGGATTGGTAATGGGTAGCTCGAATCGCAGCTCGTAGGCAGCTTTGCCAAAGGCACGTTCGAATCGCTCCAGTCGCTCGACGGTCAGGTCACCAGCGTAGCCGACATCGTGATTGCCAGCCACATTAATAATTCTGCGGCGCCAGGCCGCAGCATTGTCATCCTCAACACCCAGTATTCCAGCTAAATCATATTCCTCGGCGGGATAGGTAGCAACTTCGTCAGGGACACGCTCTCCTCCTTTAAACGAACGGTTCCAGAACCTCCAACTCCTGCGGTTGAACTCTTTCTCTTTGATCCATTGGCTTCCCAACAAGTCCCCCAAAACGGTAACATGGGTGGGTTTTGTCCACCATCGTAGCGTCCGGTAGATGTGGGCAAGGTAGAAATCGTTTCCAAACAAGTCTATTCGCTTGCGAATCGACTCGAGCGTGTCGGGAATATCGTCGAAGAAGATATCAACAACATCGTGAACTACCTGTCGCAGGCGTTTACGCAGGGACGGGTGATCAGTCTTGTAGGTAAGGTGACGAATGGCCCATGTCAAGTGAGGGAAAGATTCGCGGTTATAATTTGGGATGGACGTATCGCCCTCTAACTGCGGGTCGCCAAGCGCAAGAAGCCGGAACGGTGCGGCATTACTCGAATTCGGAAGGACATGCTGTCGTACCGTGTCCTGAAACGCGGCGACGTTGTCCTCTGTCTGTGGGAGTGGGAACGCACAGCCAAGAAAGACAGGATAAAGATACAAGTAAAAAGTACAAGCTACCGCGAGAGGGATGAGGGCTCGCAAAGCATTGCGAAGAAGAGTCGCAGGGGACATGTAGAAGACGGCATATGGCCGAAGCCTGTTGATAACAAATCGTACCTAAGAATGGTACTCGAGAAGGAAAAGAATAAACATTTCAGGCATAGTTGTGAGTTGTCAAAGAAGTTTGTTTTTGGGAAAAAAAGATAAAAATAGGGGTCGATCCTCTTACATGCATGTGTCTAAGCCCCTGGCGGCCCTGGCGGCCCTGGTATGTAGGTACCGATGTCCCACTTAGCCCACTAACAGAAGGACCGGCTGTCGGACATTATAGCGCTTTGGGATCCTTAACCGCGCGCCGGTTTTGTCGCTTTGTCGCTAAATGTGCCGATACGAACCGAAGGCACAAACAGGTTCAGCTTCATATTTATTGTAATAGCAACGACTTCACTCATGTTTGGTTCACCTAATTTGAGTGCCTTGTTGCGTATTGTCCGTACTCGGATTAAGGCAAGATTTCCCAAGGGTTTCCTAGCTATGAGTTTGAGAACTGCCCATTCCGCGTCCCTAGAGATCCGAAAGCCGAACTTGCATTCCATCGCGGCTAGCCATCATATCCTAAGTCATGTCTCATGAAAATCATCCCTCTACTGCTATTCTTATTGCTCCTCTATTTCCTCTTCGAAGCTAGGGAACTCGACCGTGAACTCAGGCTCGTAGCCCTCATCTGCATCCTCGGGGCAGAATGCGAACGCCAAAATGCTGTTGTCCTTGATGCCTTTGCTAACCGGGGTATCCTCCTCTCCAACTTCAAGGGGATTCCAGCCTTGGCTGAGGTCAGTAGGTATCTTTGGTGAGGCGAACTTGATCTGTAAATGATCGTTCGGTAGCTCGGTCTTGTCCGGTGAGGAAAGGAAAGTAGTCAATCCCGAAGGGTAGCGTGCCCTCAGAGCTTCCAAAAGATCCTCTGCTATGCTACCGAAGGGTCTTGATGGATCGACAAACAAGAAGATAGTATGGATTCCATGTTTGAAGCGTAGAGATAGGTCGATATCATTGACATCCTATGCTAAAGTGAGCAAATGAGTAACGAATGAATGTTTCTGTATGACGTGAAATTCGAAGGACCACCAAGAGGCTTATATACAACGTTGAGATGTACTTTACGGTTATAAGGCCTTTATATGAGTAAACATGAACTTACCATCTTAATTCACAAGAAATATTCAAGCACCTTTTTTTTTTTGTTGCTAAGATGATAATTGGTAAAACCACTCTTTATTAGGTAAATTCTCAGGTTTACGACGCCACAATTCTTATTCACGGCGGAGATGAAGATAGAGGTGATGTACCCACCTTGTAGCTCAAATAAATCGCGACTGCACGTGGCCCGCGTAAAGTGCCTGCAGGGTCTGAGGGTGTACATGTACCTAGGCGAGTGGGTCTAATTGAACTTTTCAGCTTTGAATTTTCCAAGGCAGGTACAGGATAACTTTACGATAGCAGTCTTAGGTAATTTATAAAGGCTTTCCCACTTGCCTAAATCCGCAAAGATTAATTCTTTCTGCCGAATAATCAACGCCGTACAATCTTCTTGTACAACTACTTATATCAAGATTGTAGTGCAGTCCAATATGACAGAATCCGACAGCGAGGTTAGGCGTCAGTGGTCGCCCACTCGAGAAGAATATTCTCAGCTATGGAAAGATTCCCGCTTATCCATTCCGCCTTTAATTCGCATTCCAGCTGCGGCGTTGACAGCATTTGGTGTAGGCATGACTTTGGGTCTCGCCCAAGGTAGTAAGATGGCCGGCTTACGGTTTAGAGCCGAACATGCTCACAGACTACCTACAACTACAACCGGGTGGTACCTATATCACAAGAGCAAGAACTACCATCTGGCATATGGTGGGTTGAAGGAAGGATTTAAGGTCGGTGTGAGGCTCAGTGTTCTGAGTACCTCCATGTTCTGCGCCGAGAATCTGTTTGATGTATACCGAGGCACCAAGGATCTTTTCAGCACCGTGATGGCCAGTCTAGCTGTGGCTGGTGGCTTCAGTTTTTGGAGTATGGCGTTTTCTTTTCTTTTTTCACTTTTGATTCGGTCGCTTTGATTTATCCTGATCTAATTGTTTATCTTAATGTAGATCGCTTTTCAGCTGCGGAAACTGCGAGGACTGCTAGAAAAGGCCTCATATTCGGATTCGCATACGGTGCTGTCCAGGACATGGTGTCTCTTGCCAAAGGTCGGTCTGTTGGGTATATCGAGTTCATCCGGAGGCATATCGGAAAGGTCACTCAACTTGAGGAGAAGACGACGTGAAACTAGGGTTGTTAACATCACGGATTTGAGGTAGACACCCACTTACATCCGCGTTGTGCCGAGAGCGTCGCAAAGGGCTATAGGCTTTAGCTCGGTCTCGGCCCTGACAGTACATATATCTACACTGCGGCTCCATGCATAGGAGTAGTGCTATAATAACCGCACTAGACAGCTTACCCACTTGTTCGGATGGGACGCGGTGTCTACCTACCTAGGTACATTATAGGGGAACATAAAGGCCGTCATGGCTACTAAGACGTTGGTAGAATGCCGTCAAAAAAGATACTAGCCATCGCAGTATAAGTCATGGTTTTTGACGGCATTCTGCCTGGTGAGGATTGTGTCTAAGAGACATGATCACGGGCTAGTTAGCCAATAAGGCACGTGGCTTACTCGAGATCAAGTTACGTTATAGTTTACCCGACAGAACATCATTATGAATCAGCGGGTTCGGCCAACGTCGCATATATGTAATCTCTGTCTGCAAAACTATGTCAGGGTCTACCAGTCGGCTTGGCTTAGTATACCCCACGTTAAGCGCGGAGGCCTCGAACCATGCAGAATATCTGCGCAGGTTATTCTTGCTATATTCGGCCACCTTCAACAGCCGGACCGGACCATGCTATGCCAGGGGACTGTCAGGTCGACTACGCGCACTAGCCTCAGTCTATTGCTCACTCTTTCGGGTCCTCTCATGCTGCTGCCCCACGGCGTGGCCTCTGATTGGACAATGGCTGCATTTACTGCATCTTTGCATCACGGCTATAGACGGCATTCTTGGACTCGATGGGTCCACGTGATCATCAACGATAAGAACTCCCGGTGGATTGTCATCGAATTCGTGATTGGAATATCGGAGCTTCGAGGTAGACTATTCGCTATTCTCGAGGTGTTTCCTTGATGCCGGACGATGCGCTCCAGTCGGGTTTCATTCACCAACGCGACTGAGATCGTTGCGATGCCGGAGATAAAGAGTTCACCTAGAATACATAGCAGTAGAAACCTAAGATACATATGTAGGTAGTTAAAGTACAGCATCCCGCTCCATACTGATACTTTTCATTGTTCCTGTTTGTTCATTATACCTACATAAGCGCTCCCATTCGTGTCATTCCTACCTACATCCCTCACTCATACCTTACCATACCTTATCTCTCATAGCCTGCCCAGTTTACTTTCAACTTTCAAGGTTGTTTAAGTACCGCGAAACGCTAACAATGGTACGAGTTTCGGTGTTAAGCAGGTCGTCCCTTCTACCAATATATGTAAATGCGATAAGGAATCCGCAATGCGGCCTTTATATCGTAAGCCGTAATGGCTCGAACCAGAAGCTCAGGGTAGTCTCGACGACGAGAAGGAAGATACACTCTTCCTCAACGAGACCTTCACCACCCGCAGACCAATCTACTTTAGCTACTACGGCATCTGTAAGCCATCTTCCCTCAGAAGTACCGGGCGACTCACTTCCGATGGCAAAATCCGCACCACTATCAGTTCTTCCTCTATCCACAGTGCTACGTAACCTAGCCACTACTAGCATATCATCTTCTCCAATTCTATTACCTCCTTCATTGGCCATCATGAACATCCTCGCACACTCCAACCAGCCAGTCCTCAACCCGGATAAAAACCCCTTGCTCCGCTGGTTCTTAAAGAAGACATTCTACGCGCAATTCTGCGCGGGTGAGAATGCGGCCGAGGTCCATCATACTATCGACGGCCTCAAGAAGATCGGCTTCACAGGTGTTATCCTGGGGTACGCCCGGGAGATCGTCCTCACCGACGCACAGACTCAGAAGCTCTCGGCGTGCGAAGAGGGGCCCGTAGCTGAGGAATGCGTACGTAGCGAAATTGGTCCCTGGGCGGCAGGGACCTTAGAGACGGTGAGACTCGCGCAGCCTGGGGATTTCGTCGCGCTCAAGTTTACTGGCGCCGGACGGCAAGCATTGTATGCGCTTAAGAATCGCCTACCACCGCCGAAGCATCTGCGCAAGGCTATCGACGAAATCTGTGCCCTGGCAGCGGAGAGGGATGTGCCTCTGCTCTTCGATGCCGAACAGATGACAGTTCAGGCCGGCATCGACGACTGGACCTTAGAGTACCAGCGCAAGCATAACAAGATACCTGGGCACGCCCTTATCTATGGCACATATCAAGCTTATCTGAAATCTACAGCAGCGACACTTGGTGAACACCTCGCGGTGGCGGCTAAGGAGGGCTTTACGTTAGGTGTCAAGCTCGTGCGTGGCGCATACCTCGGCTCAGATCCACGGTACATCATCCATGATACCAAAGCCGACACAGACGCGATGTACAATGGAATCGCGGCGAGCCTTATCTGCCGGCAGTGGGGTTCCGTGTTAAAGTCACCGGAAGAAGGCCTCAAATTCCCGCGTGTCAGTATCATATTAGGGTCTCACAATCTAGAGTCGGTGCGCCGGGCACGGGCAATCCGAGATAGCGAGCAGTCCGACCGTACCACGGAGTTGGCGATCGCACAGCTACAGGGCATGGCGGATGAGGTCAGTTGCGAGCTAGTGTGCGCGTCGCGGCGATGCGAAGGCTATGTCCGGGACAAGGGCGACGTGCCAAAGGCTTATAAGTACATCGTTTGGGGCACTACAGGCGAGTGCATGAAGTACTTGCTCAGGAGAGCGAACGAAAACAAGGACGCAGTAGCAAGAACGAAGAGCGGGCGTGATGCCATGTGGAATGAGATTAAGAGGCGGTTTAAGACCTCTCTGGGATTGGCAGCGGCGTGAGGTGTATTAAGGTTAGGGAGTACGAGTTAGAACAGGTGCAGCATAAAGCAAGTTGAGTACCAATAGGGTACTCGATAGAGAAGCACACAAATACCCTACCAAGTCTAGGTGTGCAGGCGTAATGAATTACGAATTAATGGGATTCCGATATAGGTATTTACTATCAGGGGAGATCAGGATCACCTCAATTTGCAAGGGGAAAACTTACGGTTGTAACGCCGAAAGCTATCAATAGCCACTACCTATTAATGTTATACGTGGTTACCTAAACTACGTCCTTTTCGCGTCTCGTCTTAAGATCTATAACTAAAGACTTCTCAGTGCCATGCTCCCAAGCACCAGTAGCTCGGTCTCCCTACGTTGGAGGGACTCGTCCTTAATGCCGTCTAGCCAGCCAACACCGTTCAGCTTGTAGTACTTGCGCACCTTGGCCCGGTCCGTAAGGCCCGATTGCAGGACCTCGTCTGTGAATGGGGCGGGTGTGCCTTGAACGTTGTCGAGGAGGTGCTGCTGTACTGCTTCGGGAGTAAAGGCGGAGGATGATATTAGTACTTTGATGACGATTAGGTCTTTGCTACTTGGAGTGATACCGAAGCGGCGGTAAGCTTCTGAGATCTGGACAGGGTTAGATATGGAGGCAAGTTGATAAGCTAATAGATGAGTGTAAAATAAGAAGAGAGCGAGACGTATTGCTACGTACATTATTGTTTGGACTGAGGGAGCACACAATCTCAGAATGAACGTTGGGCGTTTTCATGCTACCGCTCATGTGTATCGTTATCGCTTTGTATACGGCGGCTAAGACTTGAACGCGCGATATTACCTATCGGTAGTGAGATAATCAGATTAGTATAGCTTCTTTCTAACATTATTTTTATTTCCTTCTAGTCTTATAAGCTCAAAGCACAAATATGACTATGTAGATGTTTTCGTATCCTGATTTATATATTTACACGCCTATCTTAGGAAATGAGAGTAGACGACGTGATATGTATAAAAGTTTAAGGGGTGAGGGACATACAGAACTAGCGTCGATGAAGGCATACTCATACTCAGCATTCCGGCTAAGCAGTTGCTGTTGTAAGAACTCGGCGTTTGTGACGTCCTTAAAGAGACCAAGGAGAACTGTATATGTTGAAGGCACGTGTTCGAGCTTGACGGTTTCTACGAAGCTTGATGATGCTGGTTGACTACCGCTTGGAGAGGCCATTTTTATTGGTTACCCCGTTGGCAAATTCCGAAATTCCGTTTTTTAGTATTGAGAGAGTTATAAATCCAAGTCGCCGGGGTGGATGGTGATGATACTGCAGCTACCTATGCAGTACATAGTGTAGGTGCTTGGGATGATAACTGATAGTGGGTTTCACTAGGTTTCACTAGCGGAGAGGGGTACATACATTAGGTACATATGTATGTATGGAGGGGCACGACGAACAGTTGACAGCAGCTGGTTTGCTTAGGTACTGTTGTATGTATTTTGGTAGTTACCTGTTATCGATATCTTCCTGGTAACTTAACCCCCTTTTTTCAGAACATCGTCACATCTCAATTTTGAGGATTGGTCCTCCCGCGTAGGTATGACGAGGCTAAGTCCCATGACATACTAATAAGTAGAATAGATAGAATGAAAAATTAAAGTCGGATATCTGATGATATGTGCTGACCCGACCATCTGGTTCACTTCGTTTCATCACTCACGTTTCAAGCCACCATCGCCCCCAACATTCTTTGCCGTGTATAGGTATATAGAAAAAAGTGAAGCGGACGAAGCAGGTAAAGCTTATGACACCTAAGATAAAGATTCTTACTGCTTCGGTACCGACACTCACTAGCATAGCCAAATTATGAAAACGTAAATGGAAATGAAAACGATACTCTCCTATTCAAGTTGAAGCATAGTCCCTTAATATCCGTCATGGTAAGTCTATTTTAGGTTCTTATTTTGTTGCGTAATTGTGGCGGCTCCGTCATCTACGTTACCCATCCTTCTAGAAACCCCATCGTGACCGGGGCTACAGAATACTTACCTACGTATTATTAGTAACCCAGTTTAATCTACGCCTAGGTTTCAAGCCAAGACCCCATCTCTAGGGCTTAAGCAAAGGTCGAGGGCTCCTGGAGGACGCTAGCACAGCTTTTGTATAACAGGAACTCTGTATAACAAGAGTTTCATTTTTTTCTTCTTCTTCAATTTTATAACTGTAGAGTTAATATAGTGTAGTATATGACAACTATAATTACGCCGTTAATCTTATGATCTGACTTTGTCTTCTAAACATCCGTATCGTATGAGGTTGATCTCCCTGGTAAGCCACAGGTCCGTCATAATCGGCTGTCGTTGGAATTCCAATCCGACTACCGATGGATACCTTTATTGACTTGCAGGATGGTTCGATCAAGATGCTTGAAGCTTCGTATGTCTGCTGATGATGCTCGGATTCGCACTCGCACGTATTCTCTAAATATCAATCGGATTCCTGATTTTAGACAAAACCCCGACTTGGTCGGCTCCTTGCGTCCTGGCTGGCACGAGCTATGCAGAAACAGACATGTCGTTCTTAGGTGGAGGTTTTCACGGCGGGCAGCGAATGACGAATGAGACAAGCAGACGCCCTGATGGCACCCTGACTGCACCCTGCGCTACTATCACTAACAATTAATAAAAATAATCCCCGTGGTCCCGTCATCTCCGTATCGTTGGTTGAGACCCGTTCGATCTGAATAATGCGCGACGGTTTTTAGAATCAAGGCCGAGCACGGCGGCATATTCCGTTTCCCTGTTGATATTTCCTGTGACGGACATTTCGTATTCCTTCCTATACTAAAATATTAAACTTGAAAAATAAACTTGAAGAGGGAGGCTGTGCACATAAAGCTAATTTGGATTAAGCTCATTTACTAGAGTTGAGCTCAGATTGACATAGACTTTCAAAGTCCGTGTACGTGTATGTACACATGCATGTACAATATGCACCCTTATCTGGGTAAGATGTACATAATGTACGCTAATATAGGTACATACATGCAATACATGCACGCCTGCATTGCCATTGCGTACCTTGAGTGCTTGCACTGAATTTGAACTGCCTCCTGCTGCTACTGCCTTCTCCTGCTACCTCTGCTAGCTAGCTCTTATTAGGTAAGGCCCTCCCCAAGTCGTCCGGTCTTAGAGTTTCGGGAAACTCCATTTTCGATTTGTCGCGAAACAAGCTCCAACCATTGTGCGCCAACGAACCGCAGGTCTTGTAGGTCTGTAGGTTGTTTTTTTCCCTCCCAAATCGCGGGCCTCCAAAGCTTCGTGTTGCCATGCCTCCAGGCCGTCCGCCGAAACGGCCTGGTGACGTTACCGACCTCGACCCTTCCGATGGCGCCGCCAAATGCAAGCTGCCTCGCCTAGACCGCGACCGTGCCGCTCCTAGCGATTTCTCGAGCGTCGTAAAGAGCAAGCTTCAATCCTACACAAGGACCGGACAAGCATGCGACCGGTGTAAGGTATGTTTTTTAATCTGAACATCCGGTTACGTTAGAGGAAGAAATAAAGGAGGAACGAGAGACAACCGTTGCACCGAATCCCCCAACGACACCGTTCGTCGAATTTAGCCACGCCGTGCTTCTTCACTCCTTTGTCCAATACCAAGCAGCCGAGATCTAACATAGATCATGTTAGGTTCGCAAGATCCGCTGCGACGCTCTGCCCGAGGGCTGCTCGCATTGCATCAACCAGAACCTCGAATGTTACGTGACAGATCGAGTCACAGGCCGGACGGAGCGAAGAGGATATATGCAACAGTTAGAGCGCGAGAAGACAGATATGTTAAATCATATTCGAGAATTGGAAAAGCTGCTTTATCAAAATGGCGTTGAAATTAAACACTCGCGTCCATTCCCTTCGGCCAAAAACTCTACTGATGGAGGTATTGATAATCTAAGCGGTCAGATACCAGATTCCGTAGGAAAGACACAATGGAACCAACCCGGATCGTCTGCCTGGACGAAGGATCGAAATCGACTCTCTAGTATACCTTACGCAAGCACATTGCGTTCCGCTGTCGAGCCAAGACCGACAGACGCTCATATAGGAGTTGGTGCGGACCAGGCTCCTCTAAGTTCCATCAAAGGCACGACTCTATCAATTCTCGGAAGCACCATAGATATCGGATCGTTCGATGCGCCGGACATGGACGAGCCCTCTCCTGATGCTCCAGCTCACACTCCGGTTTACAACAAATCTGCCCAGGCTATGATGCAGTCTGTTACGAATATCAACCCGGCACTGCATGTCGACTATCCTCCTAGAGATGACGCTTTCACGTACGCCGAATGGTATTTCCTTATGATTTACCCCTTCCACCCAGTCCTACATAAGCCCACCTTTATGACACTCGTAAGTACACATTGCTATACCCAAATTTAATTTAAACTCATATTAAATAATCGCCTCAGCTATCGCGTCTTTACGACGACCCTAATTTCAAACCCACCGTAGCCGAAACTACCATGATCCATCTAGTATTTGCCTCGATATACCTCCAATATGGAATCCGGAATCGGGAACAACCTGACCAGAGGGCTCGCTTAAACGACCTATCTAATAAACATTATCATTTTGCTTTAAGCAAGTTTTTCGACCTCTCCACATCCAAAACCCTCTACGACGTTCAAGCCTTAGCTATGCTCTGTGTACACACAATGCGGTTTCCTAAGTCTACAACTAGTAATATGTTAAGCAACTATACTCTAGCTATGGCTATCGAACTTAACTTGCACCGCGCCTGGAAGAGCCCCGGCGAGGAAACTAACCTTGAGAATGAGCTTCGAAAGCGGATATGGTGGGCCATTGTTTCGACAGCTGTTACATTAAACGGCCGAATGGGACGTCCTATGCCCATTCGGTTAGACGATATCGATACTGAATTTCCAGAGACGATACCGGATGAACTTCTGACTGAGGATGGAGTTGATACCACAAGAACAGCCACGTGCCGCTACGAGATTGGTGTCTCTGCCTTTAGAATATCTGCGTTATTTCTTGAGATGTTTGCGAACATATATTGCGCAAGAAAGGATCCGAGCAGATACCTTCCCGTGGTTGAGGCGCTCGAAGAACAACTCGAAGCGTGGAGAGAAAATCTCCCTCCCGGCTTAAAGTACCGCGGCGTGGGGCAATCCGAGCATGATCAATCTATGTTTGCTCTTTACGCCGAATATATGGCCCTCGAATTTAGTAAGCGCTCCCCAACGCTCAACGACAAACCCAACCTATAATTTATATTCCGGGATTTTCTATCGATAATCATATAAATGATCCCTCATAGCTCGCCCCCTTGCGGTATCTTCTATATACCAGTTACTAATAAAAGTGTTCTAGGAATCACATTACGGCACCCGGCCGCCTGTATAGCAAATGATTCAAAAATAATAGCTGAAAACACGAAGATATGTGAAGATACTGCAAAAGATTTGCTTGGAATTCTATATAAACTGTACAGATTAAAGTCTCTAGACACCACATGGTATTGTCTTGCTATATACGTCACAGCGATATTTTCGACCTTAGTTGCGCACTGGGAGAGGCGGCATGAGACCAACGCGGCCGAGGTCCAAGCCCTTCGTGAGGATATGAAACTATGGTTAACTCTCCTCGCCGAGACTGGCAATATGATGGGTAAGTTTATAATTCGGTTTCAATTTCATAAGTCACTAATAGCATGCCTACCATTATAGACTGCGGCATGGGTCTCCATGATGCGGTATCCTCTATCATAGACCGCACCATCACCTGGATAGAACACGCTCAAGTTCAAAAGACCAACGAACCTGTTCAGCAACCACCTCTATCACAAGACATAATTAAGCAGTCCCCGCACTCGCCAGCTTATGTCAGTCTACCTGCGGCGCCAAATTCTAACCCCAGCCATAACGATACAGAGTCGGTGAATGGCTCGGCAAGCCACGTCATCGCAGCACAGCGCAACAATTATTACACAGAAGCAGGTTCTGAGTCCGGAACATACACTTCGCTTTCGTACGCCGACTCTACTACACATCCAACCAATACTATCGCCTACGACCCGAACAACTCTTTTCTATACGCGCAAGCAGCTGGGCAGGTTGCCGTAGTTCAAGCGCAGGCTCATGCTCACGCGCACGCCCAAGCACAGGCGCAAGCACAAGCACAAGCGCAGGCACAAGCTCAAGCTCAAGCTCAAGTCCAAGCAGCGGACCAAAATCCACTTACAACGTTTGCTACACAAACAACGCAGATGACGCAACCAGCACATATAATGTGGCGACAGCAGCCTTCGGGAGGAAATACCTGGCAGGACTGGACGGCCGCCATCGTAGACAACCAAGAGAGATATAGCGCTACTGCTCTGATGTCCCTAGGTAGTTCCGATCCGAGACCAGGTACACATGTCGACGGCACCGGGGCCAACGGGCTGGGTATGGCAGTACCTATCAACGGGACCCCTGCGACCACTACGGCCACCATGCAGTGGCCATTACTTCTCTTTTCAGACGGGGTCAGCGGTACTTGAAAAATAGCATCTTATACCGACTTTGTCACCCCATTTTGTAAGCAATCTAAAGTATTTATATTTACGGGTGAGGCGGGCGTCTAGATGAAGTTTCGCTATCTCTCACGAGCGCGCATTTTTGGGAGGATATCTTTTTTTTTATCGTTATCACCAATAGCAGAGTCTTAGCTAGCATTTTGAATGTTTATCCGGGGGGGTTAAAGCGGCGTTAGTCATCCGAGTGGTTACTTCTGACGACGGTCATGTACCATACGACAGCTTGGGGTATGAAAGGGGGCTACTGTATATCTAGATCTTTGTACATAAAACTCAGGGGAGGGACTCCTCGGTCTGGAGACGGGCGCGCGGCGAAATAGGGGACCGGGATACCTAGTATTTAATCGTGAGTAAAGATACCACCTACTGCTTCGAGGCTAATTGCTCGTTCGGCCACGTAATATGGCGATCCATCTGTGAGAGGTGCCATTACGTTGATGCCTTAATAATGTGTGCTGATGTTTCTTACTCATATCCTTTTTTATTTTTTCTCTTCTATTCAAAATCCAATCTCGGTAAGTAGTCCAAATCGCACACCGCACACGGGGGGTGCATGCTGTTCCTTACAGGCGTCAAGCTGGCGGTGGCGGAAGGCTACATGATCCGATCGACGTGGAACGCCGCCCTGCTTGGCGACACGGGTACGTGCGTTCGGTAGATCTAATGTCGTACTTGCGTGCATGCATACGCAGGCCATGTATGGCAGCTACTTAGTCATCTGCCTTTGTTTGGTGTGACGGCGTCGTTCCCGGGTGAGGGATCTGAGATGTGGGGGTTGGGCGCTTAGAAGTGAATCGTGAAGATCGAGGGATGGGGTTGGCGTCTTGATCTGAGTCATCGTTGTGATACCGTGGGATGGTAGCACATGGCTTTCTAATTCGTCTCTGGCCTTTGGATTGTTCTAGGCCGGAGTTCGGTTGTACGGACGGGTGAGGTACTGGACTGAAGGGGGTTGAAGCTTTATGCTCTTTCCTGCTTCTGCTGCTCTGATATCTCTACAAGTGCTAAGCTGACGTGATTTCAGGAGATTACGTATAGCTCATCATCCGGAGATTATGAAAGGTATGCTGCAAAGGTTGCTAATCCATTAGTTCGACTCAAGCTGCGTTAGATGAATCTAATATGGAAGGGATATATATTTTCGTAAATCAGATGACCGGGGGAGTTCTATATCTTGGTATTCGGAGTAGCTATCCCTTAATTATATTCTTCTAGCTAAATAGTATATACTGAGAATTATTTCATCTAAAAGAGTAGAGTTCGTTTTTCATTAGCCTACGGCCACTCCTACAATATTCGTAATAGAGGTGCAAGATATTTATCTTTATCAACACCATTATGCCTTGTTTTTAAAAATAACTATGTTGTAGGTCAAAGACACTTAACCTATCAGTTCATATCTATACCTTGTGGCTCCTTATTCAATAGATTCTAAAATTGGCCTATTTCAGATAGCTAACACAGCGATAAACCAGATTAGTTGCACGAAATATTCAGTATACGGGCAGTCAGTTACAATAACGGCTTTATACCTAGCTCCCCGTCGGCTCACCATACTCTTGTTTCAAAGTAATTCTTGTTTCGGTTACTACTACAAAGATCCTCATCCACGGTTCGCTTCCCTTGTGCGGTGCGAGGATGCTTCACAACAACTATGAGCACGAGGGGAGCTTATCCACATGGGCGATATCGTGCTACGGCAGAATGACTCACGAGTTCTGCCTATACCTACCTTAGAGCAAGCTTCCCTAAGATTCTTCGAAACTTTTGCTTAGCGAGTGGCTTGAAATGGAGGAAGAATACCCGAAAGAGAGAGAAAAGGGGGGGGGGAAGAAAACACGATGCCTTGTGAGATTACTTACAATATCTGCCGTAATCCCATGATAGAACAAATAGCGGTGAAAATCTAGCGGTAGAAGACCACGGGATAAGTTGGTCCTCATATCGTCCCATAACCTCTGCTGTAACTATTCTACCATGCTTCCGTTTCACGTAGCCTGTCAGGGCTTGAGTCAGAGTCGGCGAGTACAAGAAGCGCCCGTCTACCAAACCGGTTTGTTTACTTGCCGTAAACGAAGATCGTTTATGACTTAGGGGGAATCTGTGATACCCTCGGCTAAGATTCATACGGAGTCGGCTTGGATCTTGATTATGGAACTATATCTGACATTACAGATAGTCTTATCTATAAATATATAGATCTTTATACATCAGCTCTCGAGAACTTGCTCGTCAAAGCAACCCACTCAACATCTTGTTCTGTGCCGTCTTATATAACCAACAAAAATGCATTCTTCAAGCTTCTTCGCCCTCGCCCTCGCCATCTGCGGCGGCGTGGTCGCCGTGGCCGTCCCATCTAACACAGCTCCGATTCCGCCGACTCCGGTTGCCGAGTTTGCGGCTGCCGCTACGCCGGACTGCACCTCGATCGAGGAGTACTGCAAGTGCAAGGACGAGTACGACCGCCTTTTACTCCCGTCATTTATTTTCTTACAATCGAGTCATATATACTATCTATAACCGACTAATCTACCATCATAGCGATTTCCAATGCGAGACCAACGTGAATTGCGAATGGTGTCGTGACCACAACGCTTGGGGTGACGAGAACCCAACGTCGTCGTCGAAGGCTTAAAGTACCTAAGCTACCCCCTATCATTATCTATCTTCATGCCAAGCAACAATAGGGAGATATTACTTGAACGGGAGGCTAAAAGGATGACGGCGACAATGATAGCGGCGATGGACATTTCACTTTGCTACGTACACCTTGTGGAATTCTGAGATCAAATTTACATCTTATCTGTTATTTCGGTATTAAGGGGTAACTGCAACACAAACAACACGATACAAAATATTTATCACAATATTACATCATGACGACATCTCTTTTCAGAAGATTCCTTCGAAGCTGCTGGATGGATTCTATACACCGCAATCTGAGGCCGGGCGGGCGAGCCTCGAGTTGCTCACTTATACTACAATAATACAGAGATTAGGTTTTATCTCGGCGTATATCCCTCGTCTTTCTCCCCTTCTCCGAGTTGTCCCTTTTCCTCCAGGGACACCCTCGGATATGATATGAGCACCTTTTTCTTTAGCCGTAGCCGTAGTAGATTCTCCCCCATCTTGATATGATCCGTCCTATGCAAATGTGATGCCGCCGCTTCAGAGTAGAGTTTCGTTCCGGGGTAATATGGTAGTAATAGTGGTAGTAGTGGCTGTTCTCATAGTCCTCTTATACAACCATGATGCGACCAATTCGACGCCCCCCAATGAGCGTTCTCCATATCATACAATTTTTCATAGATTACATGCATTCCTAACTCCTCTACGCCTCTTTCTTAGGCTCGGTAGAATTTCCCGACTCTTTCGTGGGTAGGAACCAGTTTATGAAAGACGACTTCATGCTGCTCATAGCTTCGGCTTGGAGCTTCTCATTCGCCATTTGCTCCTCCTTGAGCCACTTCTCGCCGTTCTCGCGGATCTGCTCCTCCATCATTTCGTAGTTGCGTCGACCTCTCTCCCGCGCGATATCCTGCAGCATCTTGCCTTGCGCAAAAGCTTCGCTCGGGCTAATATCGCCTTCTAGAGGAACCATTAGACTCATGTTACTCGGCTTCAGTCCAAGCATATTTCCTAGAGCGCCTATCCCGCTCTTCCGCTTCCTCTTCTCGGTTTCGTACCGCTTCTGGAACTCAGCACGCGCTATCGCCTCTCGGCGAGCAAACTCTGTTGGGATATGCTTGCCCTGGAAGGACTTGAGAACCTCGCGCACATCCTTATATTGCATAGTGTGAATATACTCTAGGAACGGGACTAATGCTACAAGTTCCCTGTCCTTCGGGTCTCCAGTCCATTTGTTAAGCAAGATCGCATTCTCGGGTTGGTTCCGAACGTGCTCAGGATCCGTATCGATTATAATGACTTTGGAAAGGTCACGGTTCAAGTAAGATAAATCCTTCGGGGCTACGTTTTAGTTATACTGAACAAACACGGTTGCGGGAAATGAGTAGAACCAACCTTGACAATCTCGCCGTCTTTATATTTGGTAGCTTCTCTAAATAAGGGCCACACAATGAATCGGAACGGATCCAGCTTTCGGACTATAGGCTCTCCAATAGCGTAAGGAACGCTCGTAAACAACACCAGTTCGTAGTACTGGCTGAGGTAGTGTAGGAAGTAATCTACGCCGGGGCGCTTTGCAACTCTCCAACCGTGCTCCCGCGTCCACTCGCTATGTACCAACAGATCCTCAAGACTAAGGCAGAGCGTATAAGGCCGTTCGAACATAGGGTCGGGATCGGGTAGTAGCTTCTCGAAGGCGGGTTCACTATAATAACTTGTAACGTCACCAAATCGAGCCATCATTCTCTTCCACCATAGCCCAAGCGACCAGCCGTTAGGAATATCGGTATGCATTCTGGCTTCCTCCTCGTCCCAGTCTCGGCCTAGATAACCCAAGAGAACAATGCCCAGTGCGAGCGACGCGGCGTACATGCGATTGGCTAACTTGGCCCTTCGCTTCTCCGTTGAGCTTACGTACGCAGACGCAGGTAACTCCCCACGACCACGGCCACCAGCTTGGGTTTCAGGCGTATCCTCGATGGCTGCAAGCGCCGACTTATCGGTAGCGCCGCTCGTCTCATACTCGAGAGTTGACGGAATACCTCGCGTGAGATCTGGAAGAGAGTTCAAGTCGGGTTTGGAGGCAGGGGACTCGGGTTCGGCGCCTTCAGAGGGTTGCGCAGGTTGTGACTGAGCAGCGCTAGGTGAAGGTTGGTCGGGAGTGGACTGAGGATTTGAACTCGTACTTGGTGGCACTTTTTGAGATCGGTCCTTGGCCATACCTCGCACCCATATCGGAGTTGTCCGGCTGATTGGAATTGCTCTGCTGGAAACTCTAGAAAATACCGGAGTTGCTATGGCTGATCTTGAGAGCGCTGGTAATCGCGCAGAGTGCGCGAGGGCTCTGGACAACATGACGTCGGGTTGCCGACCTTGTTGCGCAGGTCAAGCAACTTATGACTTAATTATTGTCGTCGATGCGTATGACAGATCCCAACTTTTGTATACCGGGACGGATTTATTTATAGACCAGAGACTCCTCCGTTGAAAAGATGGGACGGAGAAGATTGAATACCTAAACAGCTGGTAGGAAAATTTAAAGCACACCCTAGGCTTGACCCTCGCCCGCAGCACGATAAAACGATAAAACGATAAAAGATAAAACCTTCGAAGCCAAACTCCAAATTTTTTCTGTTACCGAAGTTCTGCCCGCACTACGTAAGTTTTGTACCACCCTAGCTAGCATGAGATAGAATCTGTACTAGGATCCATTGCCTCAATTCTCGAATACTCCGTACATCGGCGCCAATTTTCTCCGTTTTGTATATGCCCCACATCACGTCATCGGAAGTTTTAATGTTAGCTTTTATAACCTTTTTGTAATCCGTACAAGCAAATAGTTTGCAGAGCCTTCAATCAGATTGTTTATAGAGAGATACCTGTTGACATAGAAACGGGAATACATAAAGAAAACTATGTAAAAGCTGAATTGACTACTAATACGTATAAGACATACATCAGGACTTTCCGTCGTAACATCTTAAAGACTCCCATCAACTAAGCCTAATTTAAGTATAGGTATGCCGGTCCACCTGAGAAAATTGGGCTCCCGCCACCCTTGATCCGCCTTCCCCGAATCACTTGACTCAACCCCACTTAGCTACCCATTATCTAATGCCATCAATCAGTAAGTACATGGTGTTCAGTACTGAATCCGATCTGACTAGTAAGACTTCCTTGAACCTTCACTTTGCTCCGACCAATATTAGATCGAATCAAATCGACTCGACCTCCTTCTCCAACTATTACCATCACTGGTACCACCAATACCTACTTCTACTACCTACCTCTCACTATTCATTCTTCCCTCCGGTTCTCTTCTGCCGGTAGTTTCCCCCCTCTCTTCGCTCTGAGGCAATTGATATCTCCTATTTATCTGGCTGCAGATTCTTAGCCTATTTGTCACAATTACTCAACTCTCTTATGAATTACGCTACATACGACCGATTTCCTTCTTCATCCAACATGGCAGCCAAGAGTGCTGCGTTCTAGAGGGTGGTCGCAGTCGTTGAAGTATATCGCGATGGCACCACCCTCGGGATGCCACCTTGTACCTCGATTCAATCACCAATTGCCCTAATTTAAGTAGGGGCGAATCTTTGCAAACTCGATCCTGGCTCAGAGCCTTCCTCATCACCTCGCATCGCCTCTTATAAACCTACATCGACTTTCGCGTAACAGCAGTTTCGTCACGTTGCTCGAGTCGCCACATTGTATACTATCTGCAGCCCTAACGTAACTCGATATATACATAATTATATACAGAATGCGCCATAAACCTAGCAAGGCGAAGGGCTCGCGGGCTGTAGGACATGCCTCGGGTCCGACGCCTATCTCTTCCGCCCTTCCCACTCCTCTTAGTTCAGCCTACCCTTCGACCTACGCTTCCGAAGCCGAATACGATGTTAGCGACGAGGTATCTAAATTACCGATTGGCGCCCTTACGCTAGGTACAACAGCGTCAAACCTACGCAAACCGAAACGAGAGAAACCGCGACCCTTTCGATTTCTCGACCTACCGTCCGAACTGCGCTTGAAGGTATACGGTTACCATTTTGCTAATACCGGCGGAGTACTTGACCTTGATCCGGACAACTACAAGAGGATCCACCAAAAATTAGCTATCCTGCGATCCTGTAGTACCATATACCGAGAAGCATCCTATTTTTTCTACAGTACACACCCCGTTCGCATCTTTCCGACGCATCCCGGACGTTATTTTAAAACCAAGAAGCCGCTTTTGGCCCGTATGAAGCCATGCCAACGAGCCAGCTTGACCTCTCTCGAGTTGCGCTTGGGTCCAGGCTGGAGTAGCCCTCCTCGCGGTTGGGTAGTAAACCCTGCGTTAGGATTATCAGACTGCGTAAATATCACTAAGATCACGGTCTACGTTGAGTGCGACCCAGGAAACGATTTCTTTAGGGGATTCCGCCAGCCGGACAACTTCTATGAGCGATTCTCGAAGTCGCTACTAACTAATGTTCTCGACGAGATGCCGTGGGTCGAACGGATTGAGTTCGAAGCTTGGCTCAACGTGAAGAAGTCAGGCGTGCTCATGCGCGGGCTAATCGACGTGGTGAAATCTCGGGGGTTGAAGATCCTTTGGGGTAAGGAGAGAGGATGGACTGATGCGGATGAGGTAGAACCACCTCCCGCGCTGGACCTCAACGCCCCTCTTCTTAAGGATCACGGAAATACGGATATTATGGTCGTAGCGTAGGACGAGGACGCGGACGCGGATTCTGCATCGAAAGTATTATAACGCGCTCAAATTCGAATAGGCAAATGGTAAGGATAGCCAGATAGTAAGTAACAAGGGGCTGGTTGTTTATTCCTTACTATTCTTTACTGTGGCGATGGCTATGACAGCCTATCTTATGTATGGAATTCACCTCTCATTTGGGTAATGTAGCGGCATAGGGCGGAATCAATAGCATCTCAATGAAGACTATGTATTATCTATTGCACTTTTCTCTATAGTTCGTCGGGTAGCGAGTATATGATATGTCATTTTATGTCCAATTGCGTGGAAATTAAGAAGTTGATGAATTATAGATTATTGACAGGTCTTTGATTTCTAAATGATATATGAATTATATCGGTTATTGCTATTGGGTAAGTTAGAGGCAGCTGCAAAGTTGGACCTTGGCCTAGGGAAGGTAGCACAGAACCCCACCAAAATTTTCTAACGGGCAGACGGGCAGACATGCTTCTAGCTTTACAACCGACAACAAACAACAAACAATTTCAAACCCAAGACAAATAAAGTCGAATCAATCAACTTACACCTCCGACCAACGAACTAGGTGCCTGGTAATCTACTGAATAGTAAACTCACCGACAAATTCACTTGAAGGCCATTTGGAAATAGCAGAGGAAGAAGGAGGATAGAGAAGGTTTTTTTTGATAAAAAAAATATAAAAAAATGCCCCTCGACACATCAACCTACAACCTCGCGCTCCTGCGCATTGACGGCCGCCGATGGAACGAGCTGCGCCAATTACGCGGCCAGATCCGGACGCAGGCCGCCGCCGACGGATCCTCGTACCTCGAGATGGGCAACACCAAAATCATGTGCGTGGTTACCGGCCCCAGCGAAGACGGCAAGCGACGCAACCAAGGCGCCTCCTCTGCCTCCGCCGCTGGTTCCGGCTCTTCGACTTCCGCTTCGGCGACCAATGCTGCGGATATCTTGGTTAGTGTTGTTGTCGGCGGGTTTAGTACCGTAGATAGGAAAAAGAGGGCAAGGAGCGATAAGTATGTCACTTTTCCTTGAATGAGTGTCTAGCCTGGATAGCTAGACGTGGAGACAAGAAATGCTAATGAGTTGTCCGAACAGGCGCATCCAAGAACTCCAAGCCACCCTCGCTAAATCCCTCGCCGCGGTCCTACACACGCACTTATTCCCGCGCTCTACTATATCACTATCCCTACACATCTTGTCACAAGATGGCAGCCTCCTAGCCTGCCTCATCAACGCCGCGACTCTCGCGCTCGTCGATGCCGGTGTCCCTATGACAGATTACTTAGTCGCCTGCAGCGCGGGTAGCACATCCTCGCACTCGGCGGCCGACGAGAGCGCCGACCCGCTTATTGACTTGAATAACCAAGAAGAACAAGAATTGCCGTTTTTGACGGTCGGCACGCTAGGCGCTACTGATAAGGTCGCCGTGCTTGTCTGTGAGAGCAGAGTTCAGGTTAGCAGGTTGGAGGGAATGATGGTCGCGGCGGCCGACGGTTGTGCGAATATACGCGCGTATCTAGACTCGGTTGTGAGGGATAAGGGACATAGGATGGTGGCTGAAGGGGCGGTAGAAAAGGGTGCCAGTATGGCTATGGATATTGATGTTTAGGCTCCGCCGATGGAGGCTGGTTAATAAAACGAGAAGATAATTATGAAGGAGTTTGGGTTGGCGGTATAGTATATGACAGGTGTTCAGGTTGGAGGCTCATTTACTCGCGGGTAAGTCGACCCTTGCCAGGAAATTTAATATGGCATTTTTATTTTATTATACCTGATCGAAACTAAAACCTAGTACTATACTAACCTAAGGTCCTTGCTTACAGCTCTTCGTGCTTGGGTACCTCCTTCGATTCTGCCGCGGGTGTAGCCTCAGGAGTTGGCTCGGCACCCTTAGTGGGCGTGTCAGATTCGGTCTCGACCTCGACCTTAACATCCTCCTTAATCTTTACCTCAACAGACTCTGTCGGCTTCTCGACAACCTCGCCAATCACGCCCTCTGGCAGCTTCTTCTTGGCGCCTTCACTGAGACGGATAGCGTCAATCCAGCTCTCAACACTCTCAAAGCTGAAATCTCCCTCGTAGTGACGCCACCATCCTCTCTTGCCGTTGATAGCAACAATCTCAACTTCACCCGAGAGCTCTAACTTCTTGAGTACCGACTCGGCGGCTTCATTGTCGCGGTGAACCTCGAAGAAGGGGAATAGGTGGCGGTGGGCGAGGGCATGTTTGAATGCCAGTTCGGCTAGGCTAGCCAATGCCTTTTCTGCGGTCTCTCCGTGAGCAGAGGGAACGAAAGCAAGGACACAGGTGTGAGCTTTTCGATTCAAGCATTCCTGAGTTAACTTGTCCGCCTCGGTGATAGCTGGGATAGGGGGAGCGACCTCGAGGATCTTTTTTACAGGAGGAGCATCGGTAGACTCTTCCGATTCAGTCGAGGTGGTCTTGGAGCTGGGCTCGGAAGATTTGGGAGACGCCTTCTTGTTTTTCTTCTCGGACTTCTCTCCCTTTGACTTGGCGGGTGCCGCGTCCGGGTTTGGTTGGCCAGCTTGCGACAAGAACTTGACCATATCATCTTTCTTCAAATCTCCGTCGTATACTATACTCTCTTTGTTGCCACCAGGTAGTAATACGAAAGTGGGATAGGACTTGATGCCAAACAATTCATTCGCCTTGGTCTCCTTGTCTCGAATTTGCGCAATAGTGATAACGTCGAGGAAGTCAATAGCGATACTCTTTAGTAAAGCGCTCGTAGTGCCCTTATCGGTGAATAAAATAGCCTTGGCCGTGTCGTTGTTGGTCGAAAGGAAGGAATCAATGTCCTTGTCCGTTACGCGCTTTACATGGTCGTTGATCTTGTCGACAACCGCATCCACAATGCCCTTGGCGGTTCGAGGACCATTGTAATCTTCCACGATCGGCTTCCCCTTCTTGCCCGGGCGCACGGTCTTGAGCGTTGGGAATCCCTTGACGCCCATCATGCCGCACAGTTGCTTGTTTTCATCTTCGTCACAATTTACGGCGGCGACCCTGGCAAGACCCTCAAGATTTTTAGCTGCCTTTTCGTAGGCGGGCTTGAGGTTCTGGCAGTGGCCGCACCATGGCGCGTAGAATTCGACAACCTTGAATACAACCCATTAGTTGATGCTGGTCGTATTGGTCAATTTCCTAATATTATGGCATATATATACTTACAGAAGTGTAGTTTGATCTGTTGATTATCCTATCATAATTCTTGGCGTCTACCTGGACTACGGGCGAGCTCTTGAGATATAAGCCAGCCTGAGCAGTCGGCAGGACGGAGAGCAGAGCTACTGCAGCAATTGCTGTAGTGGGGTTGATATTGAAGGCGTACATGGCCTGTCCCAGCAAAAGAGCAAGGAATATGTAGGTTATGTATGTGTATAGGTATGTATAAGATGAACGGAAAGAAAGAGTTACATCAAACCGTGAGGTGTTTCCCCGTTCGTGTGTTTATAATCGAGGAGATGCTGGATATGACAGATCATCCGGTCTGGCGTCACACGATAGAGACAGAGGTGAAGCTTCTTACTGAATCGAGCAAAAAGGCCACCGTGGAAATTCGATTCGATTCGCTGTAGAACTACGACGCTAACATGCAAGCCCCTCTGCCCCGCTTGCCCGAGAAAAGGTGATTGGTCAGATGGGAGAATCTGGGGTACATTGTGGCTAGAGAAGGTATCGATGGAAATCTGTGGCGCGAGCTCTCATCTTATCAGCTTATCTTCGAGGAATAGCACCGAAGCTACCCGCAGAAGTGGGGAACTACACAGATAGGTAAGGTAGTGACTTCAGCGGGGTTTGGAGTTTGGAGTTTGGAAATGTCGTGCCTAATGCAAGTTGCGCATTACATCAATGGTGGCTCGACGTCGACGACTTTATCCTAACTTTAAACCTCACCCGACATTGTCACGAATTTTAGTTCTTATTATACGACCGAGGGCATCGAGGGACTTAGTATACTTAACATAAAGCCTACCTAACACTGCTCTTAATAAGCTTCCTCCCAATTCGGCCATAAATTAAGAACCGTTGATAGCTACGGTCTATATACTACATACTAGCTCACTCAATACGTCTTGAGGATCTTTTTAATCCGTCGAATCTCAATTGTGCTTCTTAAGGGAGATCATATACGTCCACGATGGCGGCCAACATACCCCAGAAACTAAAACAGGCGGGCATCACGCCCTTCATCGTGCGCGCTACGCAACTCGAAGCCGCGAAACCTGTTATAGCTTATTGGTGTAAGTCAAATTATCGTCGTCGCATCAACACGAGTTCTACTTGCTAACATCGCTATCTGGAAGGCTTCTACTGGGCTGTAAATCAGATCCTTGGTAAAAACTTACACTCCGCCGACGAAGAATGCCACCTTTTTACTACGAATCTTATGGAGAAACTCGAGAATGTACGATGACAAGATATTTATCACTTGTTCCAAGCCACAATGCGCTAACCAGGTTCTATCTTCGTGTAGATTAAGGAAGATCAGGCAGGAAACGATGCGATCCATGACGATGTAGCTGGTCAAGCGTACGTAGAGCAGTTTGCGCAAGAGACCTTCGAGAGAGCGCTGCGACCGTTGAAAGCCAACAAAGTCACACAGTACGAATTACTTATAGGACAATGTACTTCCTACAGACTGATACTAATAATTAATATAGGCAGACGGCGAGCACATTCGAGGCCGCAGCGACGTTCTTCCAATTAATTAACATCTGGGCAACGCCCGACCCCGAGACGCAAGAGAAGGTCAAGTACGCAAAGTGGAATGCCGCCCGCATACTGAAGGCTGTCAAAGAGGGAAGAGATCCCAACGAGTCAAATCCGAAACAGGAAGAGGTTCAGCATGAAGAGGTGCCGCCGGCACTAGACCCGAACGACCCAGAAGTGCAGATGCTTGGAGGTACACATCCCAAACCAGTGAGCATAGAGGACGAGCCCGACGAAGATGGTAGACCACATCCAACATCGACCGGATCTTATCAAACCTTCCCTGCGCCTGTATCTGCGCCGACTTCACCTCCAGCTCCATCAGCATTAGGGCCCGAGCAAGTGTCTCCTATAGCGCCTCCCGGTCCGCCTACGTCAGACCCAGGAAACTATTTCGCCAGTGCCCCAGATGACTTAAATCTACCATCCACAACGAATATGCCCCTTCCAGGCTCGAGTACCTTCAATCCTCCAGGAGCTCCCCCCGTAATACCCAGTCCTAGTTCTCACGATCCAGCCGGATTACCTCCTGCTCCCTTTTCGCCACCAGACGCGGCCTCAACGCCCCAAGACTTCTATCGCCATACACCTAGACCGCCACAGAGACAGGTCCCTCCCCAGGCACCCCCAGCTAGACGGAATTACTTTTCACAGCCTTCACAGCCGGTAGCCCCGGCGCAGCACTACGGCGGTAACAGTGGGTCCTCGAATGCGCTGAATACTGACGACATGGCGATCGTGCAAGCACAGAAGCACGCCAAGTGGGCAATTTCAGCGCTGAATTTCGAGGACGTGCCAACGGCAGTGAGAGAGCTGCAGGCGGCGCTGGCTACATTAGGAGCGCGATAGTTATAGCATGAAATTTTATGATGCGATTGATACCTCAGTACTTACATGGTTGAAGTGTTTCCAGTGGAGACTAATGGAGAATTGATAAAATTATGTTATCATGCTATGTGTTATGTCGGCTTATGCCAACGTTATTAGATATATACATGAGTCCTACTTAAGACTGGCGTCATTGTCTAAGAATAAGTAATTGACTAAGAGCATAATAGTAGCGGTGTTGGAGCGTATTTACGGGGAGGTATTTAGATCAAGATAAAGGCCTCTTACGTTCACTTTGTCTTGATCGATTAAATCCTATATCCGAAAAATAAATAAAAAAATAAAAAAAGGAGCAGGCTGAGGCGGTAAGTGAATTATCGTATGTAATATATGTAATATATGTAGCATCTAACAGTTCCGGTGAGACATCAACTCCGCCACTCCGTCACTCCGAGACCCAGATTTTGCTGCTCAGACATGGTATGTATATGCCAATAATGAGCTGGGCAATTTACCCGATCTACGTTGCGACTATGTGGGCTGCCGTACGACGTCGCTTGGGGAGGGGCGACCACTGGCATCACGGTATCACGGAACACGGATCACACAGCGTGCGCGATGGTGGTGACGCCCCCGGAGGTTCTCCGCCCGTTATTGGCTCGGTGATGGACGGGTTGCGGGTATAAGCTTACATGGTAGGTGGGTGAAAGTAACTCACCTTATCGTAGACATGTGGCCCTTACATAGCTATTACGACGATAACCGGATCGGAGTGTTCTTTGTGAGGTAGGAGATAAATTTACTGGTCAGTCGTCTACCTACCTAGGTATATTAGAGCTTCGTCTTGTCTTGTCTTGTCTTGTCTTGTCTTGTTCTGTCTTATTTTGTCTTATCGTGACCGTCTTATACCTCGACTTAAGCTTCCAGTCTTCGTAGCCGTTTACTTAGCAACTTAATTCGCTCTGGATAGGAGAAGCAGTTATCTCGCCGTTGGAACGAATATCGACCTAACCTACCTGCTTAATCTAGTAGGGCATTTTACCACCTCAAAATAATCCAACCAAGAAGAAAATGGCGGACTCGTTACCAAAGACCTTCAAAGCCGGTGTCCTAACGGGGGAAAACGTACCCATCGAATTCCAGGATAGAGAGCTAAAGCTCCCGGGTCCTGGCCAGGTCCTCGTCAAAATACTCGCCTGCGGAGTGTGCTTCTCGGACGTCTGCGCGCAACGCGGCGAGTACGGCGACGATGTGTATCCCCGCGTACCTGGGCACGAGCTCGTTGGCGATGTTGTTGCTATCGGTAGCAACGTGACGAGGTTTAAGGGTGGTGAGCGAGTGGGTGGGCCGTGGCATGGAGGTCAGCCTCTTTCCCTTTTCATATTATATACTAGAATTCAATAGGACTAACAGCTAGCAGGCCACGACTGGACATGTCGCCAGTGCGCCCGCGGCCAGTTCCAAATGTGCGATAATCAGGAAATCAACGGCGTTAGCCGGGACGGTGGATATGCCGAGTACACACTCCTCCGAGAAGAAGCCGTCGTGCGCGTGCCCTCAGACGTAGACCCAGCAGAAACCGCACCATTACTCTGCGCCGGCGTCACCGTCTTCAACTCGATGCGTAAGATGCACGTAGAACAGGGCAACATGGTAGCGGTCCAGGGGGTCGGCGGCTTGGGGCACTTGGCCGTGCAGTACGCGAACAAGATGGGGTACCACGTCGTGGCCATCAGCTCCGGCGACTCTAAGCGTAAGTTCGCCGAGCAGCTCGGCGCGCATAGCTACATCGACGCGAGCGAGGAGGACCCAGTCAAAGCCCTGCAAGCATTAGGGGGCGCAGCGATGATCGTGTCCACAGCGCCGAATGCAGCTGCTATCAGCCCATTAGTCGGCGGGCTGCAGGCTGGCGGGAAATTGCTGGTGCTGGGCCCGCCGCACGATCCCGTGCCGTTCAATACGCTGCTGATGAATCTCAAGAGCTTGTCCGTGCACGGCTGGTCAAACGGACACGCGCTGGATTCCGAGGAGGCGATTCGGTTCTCGGTTGATCATGGTGTGAAATGCTGGGTTGAGAAGTATCCGCTTGCGGACGCGGCGAAGGCGATGGAGTCGTGTGCGGCGAATAAGGCCCGATTTAGGGGCGTATTGCTTCCGTGAGAGGGGTTAAGTAAGGGATGCGCATTGTGAGCGTTGAATAGAGTGGTGGGAGAATATTATTTAAAAGGATATTAGTTGTGGAATTATTAGCAAGATGGAAAGGTTTAAGTCTACGATAACGATACGATAACGATACGATAACGATACGATACGATATTCTCAATTCATAACAAGTATAGAAGTAAAATAAAATAAAAATATAGTTGTCAGCAACCTTATATAATTCATACTTACCTAATTTGTTCAGCTTTTTATAGACGGAAAATTCCCCTGCCAAGGAAGTTATCCCAAATGTTTCCCCTCGGCAGTGGCGCCAACTCATGATAGGTTGAGAAGCGCCAGTTACGATTCCTCCAGCGGCTACGTCATCCGCGTCAAGCTTAGCTCTATTATAAGTCTTCATATTCCAAGAAACTCGCCAGCTCCACGCATCTGCGCTTCGAAGACCCAAAATGGCGCCTTGAGCTGGGTCCTTAGCCGCCCGCGCTTGGAAGTCGTACTGTCATTAACAGGTAAGGAATATTACAGGTGAGTCCGGGTCGTAGTCAGGGTCGACCTGGATTCTTTTGTTCACCTTTAAAGACGGGATGAAAAAGCCTTTGTAAGTCACCATGGTATTATTTCTCTTGTTGAGTCGAGTTGAGTCGAGTCGTATTGTCTTCTTCCTTGTTTTATACAATTACATCACCCATATACTTATAATTGCCAAGTTTTCTTATCTCATTGCTCTAGAAAGAAAAATCAATCAGCAAGCTGGATATTGCTATCAATAATCTATAACGTATAAGTCGAATATAGACTTGTTGCCTATAATTCTTAACCAACTGTCGACTTATATAATATCTTCAACCTCTCGATAGCCTCAATGGTGGCTATATATCCCCGTTCACCAATCAAAGCCCTACCCCCTTTCGGCTACCTCATACCCTCTCTCCTCTTATCTTCCCTCCTCCTTGCCCCCCTCGTCAGCAGCCAAACCGTAATCGTCATAACCGTCGCTCCTCCCATCCCTAGCGAAGCCCCCTCATTCACCAACCACGACACGTTCACTTCTGCCATCATCAATAGCACCAACTTCCACCGCACCGCACACAACGCCTCCACCGTCCGCTGGAACGACACCCTAGCAGCTTTCGCCTCGGGATACTTATCTTCACATTCTTCCTCATCGCCATATTCCCAAAAAGAGACCTGCCGCATGAAACACTCAGGAGGCCCTTACGGCGAAAACCTAGCACTAGGATGCTCTGATGCAGGAGACTGCGTAGATCTATGGGGCAACGAGGATGCACAGTATAACTATGATGACCCGGGATTCAGCGAGGCGACGGGGCATTTTACGCAGTTGGTATGGCGCGATACGACAGATGTCGGGTGTGGAGCGAAACTGTGTCCTGGGAATTACGGTTGGTATCTTGCGTGCGAGTACTGGCCGCGCGGGAACATCATCGGCGCGTTTGCCGGGGAGGTTGGGCCGGAGAGCGGTGCAGCGGCGCTGAGGACGAAGAAAGGGGTGGGCTCAAGGGCTGCTGAGGTGTTGGTTGTTGGTGCGGCGATGGTTGCGTGGTGGGGGTTGGTATGATGTGTCTATACTCGAGTATAGGCGAGCAAAAAGCGATGACGGGGTTAGGTTGATTTGTAGGTGTATATAAACTTGGGCGTTTAGGGTTGGGTATCTGTGGTAAAAGGAGTATGATATATGATTATGTGTATTATTCATACGACTCGGAACGAATTTGCATAAATGGAAGCAGAGCTTGGGACGGGAGGATGCATCATATATATCAGGGGTTTTATACAGACATTCGGATATGAAAGTGTATATAGCAGAGGCGCATTTCTCTAGAAGAATACTTGCTATTATTATTATGCAAATATATACTCTATCGTAACTCTTATCGTCTATTAATGCGTGAGAGCTTGCTGTCCAGCAGGAACAGGGAAGGGCCCATTCTCCGCGAGTGGAAATTTAGGCGTGCCGTCCTCGTTCCACGTGAATTTCTGTATCCGAGCCGTGCGAAACAGGTCCGAGGCCGGGTTCGGCGTCGTCTGCGCGTGGTATACGATATAGTCCTCGGAGCCGTCAGGGGAAGAGACGAAGCTTGCGTGACCCGTACCGTAAATGCCCGTCGCTGTATTTTGATGGAAGACGCATCCGTCTTTGTGTTTCTTCCACGATTGGTATTCCATTGGGTCGTTACCGACAAGCTCAAGCATACCCAGACAGTAGAAAGGCGTGTTGACGCGTGCTGCCGAGTAGATGACGAAGTTCTGGCCCGTCTTGGGGTTCGTGAGCTGCTGAGGTCCCTCGTTTGTTGCAAGTCGGATTGGACGGCCATACGGGACTTGCTCCCAGGGCTCGTTTGGTATGCTGATGATCCGGCGTTCGGATAGCGTCGAGTTGATCGTCCATGGATCCGACATGCGCGTGATGCACAAGTTGGCCGGCCATGAGGAGTACTTTTGCTCCCAGCAGGAGTAGATATGGTACAGCTTATCCTCGAAGTGGAAATATGTGCCATCGATAGCGAACATGTCGTAAGTATCTAGCATAGGTTTCATCTCGAATTTGGAAGTCCAAGGATCGGGCTTATCACCTGCAAGAACGAACATACGATGATTAATTGCCTATTACAGTTTCCTGTTAGCGTCTGAATTGCCTTATTATAAGGTTACGACGTACGGGACAATTAATCGGGCACATGGCGTCGAGGAGCGGCGGCGGGTTGTCACCGTCAGACGTAGCAGTGAAGACAATATACCAAGAACCGGATATGTTGTGAATCTCGGGAGCCCACAAGCTTGTCGACCATGGTTCTCCGCTAGTAGGATCCGGATTGAAGACGACCCTGCTCTCGGCATTATCCCAGTTGTCGGTGAGGTATCTCGAACGCTTCAACGTAATATTAGAGTTCGTTGTATACGTGAAAAGATACCAGTCCTCGCCGTCGGCAGTGTACTTGGTCATGAAAGGATCTCCAACATTGAGAGTCATGACGGGATTCGAGAAGGTGGCATTGGTGGTCTTATTCGTCCCGACTACGGCTGGGTCCCATCCCGATGAGCTGCCCTTGTTCGGGTCGAAGACCTGGGCAGTGACTGCACTTATACCCAAACAAGAAGCGAGGGTGATAAGCCGAGCGGATAAGAGGCCCTTCATCATGACGTAGCCGGGGAGGGAGTCCAACTTCTACTAGTGTATAGCTTAGACTAACGAGAGGCAAGAGGGAAGGTTCCTAGGTGGAACGTACTCGCATGGAATCTGTTCATGTTATATACTCCTTTCTGCCTTCCCATCCTCTCATGCGGATCTGATGCCGTGGAACGATATTCCCCAGCTCTTGCCCGGATCTCGCCCAAGCGGTCTGCAGTCAGCTCCATCTTAGCGAGGGCCTAAGAATAAGGCATGGAATCCTATTCGCGGTTCGAAATCACACATGCAAGGAGGGTGAACAAATTATACAAAAAGCTAGGGTGATCCAGGTCGAATCCTTCGCAGCATGAGGGAACAGTCGGAACAGTCCCAGGTCAACGTTGCACTTCTCCATCGTGTGCCAACATTTACGCCAACATTGCATAGCAAATCTGGGGTTAATGAGGAGACGACTGCGGGGTAGCTCCCCAGCTCCCCAGCTCCCCAGGTATCTGGCTACGAACAATCTCGCTAAATAGGTGGTTGGGTGATGTCGATCCTGCTGAGACTTTAAGGCTTTCCCTAATGTCACTTGTTAAATCTATATAGTTTTAGAATTTATAATATGTCAGAGATTTGTTCAAGGAAATTACTAAATGTTGAGTACCTAAAAATGTATATAAGTTAACGGAGGCAGGTTGAAATAGTTGAATAGAGATCAGTAGCTTCTATGTAAGGTAACAAACAGATTTCGCTAAATGCTGCACCGAATACCACGCTGTAGAGCTTAATAGCTTAATCCTTCAGCGCTAGTAATCCCGCAGAATACTTCTATAGGGCTCGTCAACAACACTATCGTCTCTCGACTCCACCAATCAGATCAATGCTCCATTTCCATAAACAGTAACCTCTCCAACTTTAGCTCCACACCCGGACCGATTAAGCTTATAGTTGATGCAATCCAGATACCCGTTGAACCTTTACGGTAACCCGTTCCAAATATCGAGTCACTTATATAAGTCTGAAGGCCCATGACAATATTGCCTTATAACGACGTTCACGTACGAGTACAAAAAATAAGATTAGTCTCATGACGAGTATAGAAGTGCGTTTGCAGACCTAAGGACCAATAGCAGGCCAACTACTATTCGCACATCAATAATATGAATCCGATTGCCACCCTTCGCTAGAATATTGCTACTTAGGTACATATATACAAATTGGTATCATTGTTTAGAACGGTAATAACATGAGCATTAGATAAATACGATACGTTCAAATCATGTCAAATGAATCCTGCGTTAGACGTCGTCCTTTCGTTAAGGATAAAGACAAACACAACTTGACTTAGTCAATCCCCCCTTTATGCCGATGATGCGGAGTCTGGGCTATCTTTCCCGGTTGCCTTTCCGTGCATCTTGCGCTCAACCTTATCGGTGAGATGCTTCTGAGCATCCTTAGAGAAGAGACAGCCGACAATGGCAATACCTCCGAATCCCAAACTAGCCAGGTACACGGTCTTGAATGCTTGCGAGTATGCTATTGGCAACACACTAGCAACGGCAGCTTTTCCGGCGTCGCTCAGTCCCGGGAAAGTAGCGAGTTTACTTCCCAGGACGGCTGTAACGAGAGCAGGAACTTTCTCCGCCGGGAGACCAGCAGCAATTGCAGCCGGACCAACATTTGCAGGGACTGTCGAAGCAAGACGGTTCGACAAGATGCTACTATAGACAGCCACGGCGATAGAACCACCGGCGGATCGAATCGAAGCCAACAGACCGGACGCAAGACCGATATCTACGGGCTTGCAGAAAAGGGGGGCGAGTGCGAGTGCGCAAACTTCGATGACGCCAACGAAGAAAGGACCGATCATCGTGAAAGCAATACCGGCGTGCAAGGTGTCGGGAGTAAGCGACGCGCAGGCACCAACGAATGCGACCATGGAAAAAGTCGAGAAGATGATCCAGTATCGAACGTTTCCTCCCCACTTTATGAAGAAACCGCCAAATGCTTGACCCAAGGCTGTAGCACTAGCCACGGTACACTATGTAGATTCACGGTTAGTTTCTTAGTGATACCTTCTTTACACATAAGCATGCTTACCGAGATCCAACCACCGTAGGTGATGTCAGAAGTATAGAGAGCCTTGACTTGTTGAGGCCATAGTAAAACTGCAGAATAGTAAGACATAGTCGCAACTGTAGCGCAAGCGACAAGACTAATAAACCCTCGGTTGGCGAAGAACTGAACTGGGATGGCTGGGTATTCGAGCTTGGCATACGCCTCGTAAACGAAGAGCGCAATGAGCAGAACAATTCCAATTACGATCGAAGAGATGGTCGCGGCCGATTTCCAGGGGTAAATAGTGCCACCCCAGCTCACACCCATGAGTAGGAGAGTGAGACCGGCAGTCCACATAAAGATTCCGACGTCTGATCCTCGTAAGCTTCGTGTCAATGGTTAAGGGGCAATAAAACTCACAGTCAAGTTGCTTCAGTAGTTGCGTCTTAGTCTTTCGTTCGTGAAGGAGATCGAAAGTTGGGGGGTGGTAGAAGAAGAATAGTAGGACTATCGCTACGGAAACCACAATGATGTTGAGATAGTAGCACCATCGCCATCCCATGTTAGGGTGTTGCAATACAGCTCGAGCTATCCCCAAAGTCAGTCATTATTCCTGCCTATTGGAATTAAACTATGGCTTACCGATCATGGGGCCAATGCCGGCAATTGGTGCGTTCGTTGCAAAGATCAACGATAGGACCATCGGCCGATGCTTGTTAGGAACCAATTCGCCCACGGCTACGTTGAAGCTCAACTGAACTGTCTCTCCCAGACCGTAGATCGCGCTGCCCACGATTAAACTGTCGACATTCTGGGCGACTGAGCACACGATGATACCGATGAGGGCAACAATATTGCCCCCGATGAAGAACCACCGTCGTCCAAAGAGATCTGACAATCGGCCGAGAATCGTATAGGTGAAGGACAGAGATAGAGTCCTAGCGATGTTCACCCACGAGATATAGGGGCTTGGACCTAATCTATTGTTAATATAATAGAGCTCTCGTCATCTCTTCTCATGCCTCTCTAGTCTTACCTATATCTGCGTTGATGTACGTTAATACATTGGTCGGCAGGAGTAAGAAAATGAAAGCTGATATAGCCGACAAGCAGAACCCCTGGTTATCGTTAGTATTAAGAAAATATTGAGTTATACAGTTTATTACTACTCACAGCTACGGCTCCAAGGAACCCAAAAGAGTAGAAGTAACCCTTTGGCAGGTCATCTCCCCGCGCCGCCGACCTAATCGACGAGGCATCGTCATCCACTTCCTTGCCAAACTTCTCAACCCGCTCAACGGGTACCGGAGATCTATCGTCCATGCTGTAGAGACGCTTTAAACGAGGGAATCTAGACAGAGTCGAGCCGCACGGGACAATAGAAAGGAGGCTGCCGCTCTGTCGAGGGGCATGCGGCCGTGAAATGAGTGATCGACGGTGGGAAAATAAAGTACACTATGTAAGTGGGAATCCCTCTTTTTAGTCTTCCTAGCGATCGTCGGGATTCTATAGAAAGGGCCTGTTAGTTTAGCTAGGATGGCTATGATGAACTTACCATACTAAGCAACTGTAGGTTGCTATACTGGGGGGTCCGAGCAGATCGTTGTCCAGATGCGGCCGAAGACGAGGAGATCAACCCGAGTGGACGACCGCGGGCTGCATTGGCGGCTCGGCGAAAAATGCTAGGGCCTGTGCCTCTCGTTCGCGGTGCCCCGGGTAAGGATTTGCAATTCAGATGCTACGGTGTCTACCAAGAACTGCAAGACGTTAGGAGCCCTTGTCTCTTGTCAATTAGTTTCAGGTATAGTGCGAAGCCGTTATGCCATCCAATATCCTTCTAGTTGCATATGCCAAGCGGCACTTGTCATGCCACCCCTGAACAAATACACTATAAATTGATCCCAACGTTGGTTACGATAGAGGAAAGTAGCATTTGGAATATATTGAACCTTCAACAAGTTTCTAGGAATTGTAACTGCTGTCATTTATATATACTTGAATGAAATTGTAGTATGATCATTGCTTGAGTGCTATAATTATGTAGATGATGCTATACTTGACGTGGGTGTCATGTACGAAATCAGACGTGCTTTACGAACACAGCATCTACAACCCATCGTTTCCCCTGATCTTCGCATACCATGCTTCCAGAATACTTCTGCATCCTCGTGCAGATCGGTTCCGGGAATTCTCTATCTGTCTGACTCGTAACTAAACTCGTTTGAAGCTACATCCTGGCTCAAGCAACGCGGCGGGATAACTTAAAGCTTGCTTCCCTTCCACTGAGGTTCTCTCTTCTCGGAAAACGCTTTTAGGCCCTCCAACATGTTCTCTCCCCTCTGTAGCTCAGCAAATTCCTTTTCCAGCGTCCACTCCACGGCTCGTTCCACGCTGGCCGTCTCCCATCCTTGCCTCAGGCCGGCACGTGTGCATATTATGGCGTCTGGGCTATTCTTCGCGATAAGCTCGGCATACTTGATAGCCTCCTCTACCACGCGCTCTTTCGGCACCACCTTGTTGACGATGCCCCATTGGAACATCTCCTGTGCCGTGGCGTTCCGGCCGGTAAGTGCGAATTCTGATGCCCTCTGTAACCCGACAGTCCTGATTAGTCGCGGCAGCGCACCGCCGATTGCAGCTATCCCTCTCTTCACCTCTGGAAGCGCAAAGTAGGCGTCTTCGGCGGCGACGACGAGGTCGCAGTTGATGACAAACTCGCATCCGCCACCCATTGCCAACCCGTTTACTGCCGCGATCACGGGTTTCTTTCCGAGTCGACGACTCAATGGTTTAAAAGCCGGTGCGTTGCCCATACGATTCTTTGGGTCTGCATTATCCGACATGGAATTGTTCCATTCCTTTAAGTCTGCTCCCGCCGAGAAAGCACGGCCGGTTCCCGTGATGATTGCCACGCTCAGGCGAGGCTCGAGATCGAACCATTTCCAGACGGAATCCATCTCCCATTGAGCCGCCGTAGACATTGCATTCAAGTCTTTTGGGCGATCCATTCGTATCAGGAGCACACGCGGTGCCGGATACGATAGTCTCAGGAAAACCGGCGTTGCCGGCGGTTCTGTCTCTGTCGGCGCCATGACTTTAGAGTTTAGTCGTAGTGAAGTGTCGTATTGGGATGTTTCGAAGAGTGGTATGGATCTAATATGCTATCACGACTGGTTTGGAGCCTCTTCTCTGAAACAGATATTCTCGACAGTGATGTTCTTCGGCTTCTCGTTACCTTGGTTAGCAGGATGTGACCCTCGGTTCGAATCATGCGAACGCGTGGGGGATGCAAGAAGGTCTACATAGTACTATATCGAACCACGGGGCGAAAATCTTGTATTCGCAACTAGATTTGTGATCGATACGACCAAAACAAATTACCTACATTAGAAGAAACCGGGGTTATATGATCGCTTAAACGTATCCGGAAGTTCGCCAACCTGGCTGGGGTCCGCCAAGTCCACTCCATGCATGCCAATACCACAGTTAATGCCAGGCACCCCAGGAAAGCGATCCACTAAGTATGGAACCGCTTAGACCTTGAGACGAACGTTGCTCTCTGCTGTCAGAACCATATAGCGAATCTCTGGGGTCTAAAAAGAAAGGGACTATTCATGAATCGAAGTGTCGATAGCCCCCATGGAGTTTAAAACAGATATCGCAATTAACACCGAGATTGGCCGTCGATACACTATGGCGAAGCAGACCTCACGGTAGAAACTAAGTTCTGTGCCGCAACTATGATTTGGTTTGGCATCATTACAAAATGAACTCTAGACCGAGAATACTCAATCAACATTGCATACAGGGGCAAGAAGTCCTTATTTTCGTCATCGCTACCGCCGCTGTTATGGAGCATTAAAGTGAAAGAGAGTACAACTTAGAGCGCAGTGGATATAGGAATCGTTCCTAGAATCGGGTTCTTCCGTGGCAAATATTCCCTACTTCTCATAAATTATTGCCGTTTAAAAATATCATTTACCTAAACATGTTATAGAAATAATAACGTTGCAGTATGGCCGGGTCACTATCGCTACGTAAATATAAGACTTTCTATATTAATATAAACTTGGAGTCCTCGATATACTGAGAACGACGTTTTCTTTGAGTTGCCCCACGGCGGCTTCGGCAGCTATTGTAGCGGAGGGTCTTCGGCATTAGGGGCAGTTCAGCATTGATCAAGAAAAAATTGCTAACTAAATGCTAAAACACTTAAAGTAGCCCCTATATCGCACTGGTACAGAGGGATATATGTGATATATATAGGTTTAATGAGATCGATTAATAGTTATTTCCACCACGAGCGTTCAAGGACATCTCCCACCATATCTACGTTGCTCATGATAAAGGTACTTGATTAAACATAGGACCTATAATTATTAAAAGCGAGAAAAGTTGTTTAACTGCATTATTGTCTCTCGAGTCGTCTTGGCATAGTTCCCAAAGCATCGTTCCGGCGCCAGCATGAAGCTACATCATCATCATCATCATACCTAGTGTCTATTAAGCGAAACTCAAGCTGTCGGATTCTCTTCCAGAACCCGGTTGCCGGCAATGCCTGAAGTGGGTGGCATACAGGCATTTCGATCCTATCGCTAAATAATTGAATATAGTTCTCGGCTGACCTACCTCACCCAGAGACTAATAATTTCATACTCTTGATGTTTCTCCTCTCAGTCAGTTCTAGATCAGTCGACGCTTTGGTTTCTAAAGGAATCCTTGGAAAAGTGAGGTCTAGCCACGGTATTTACCTCAAGCATTTCTAGGAATGAAACCATTAAGCTTATATTCTTAAGCCCGTTTAAATTTTGTTCGAATAAATAATTTACCAAATAAAATAAATATGTCCAAACTATGAATGTGCCCCTAGGATTCTGCTTCGCTATAAGGATGCGAATATATAATATAATACCCCGTCATAAGCATATTCTACCCCTGAGGCGGGGATTAATTACATGGAGCCCACTCTCATCCCACGTTTGATCGTTACAGTTACATAGTCGTATTTAGTGGTTACCTGTACAATGAAGAGAATACTCCATTGGTTACCTTGTTATCGGAACTTCCCTGGGGGATTCGCGGTGCATTCACCCATAGATAGCATCATATCGGTAGTAACTAACTATTATACACGCATATGTAGGAGCAAGCATTGACCTTGGCGAAAGAGGTTGGTAAATACTAACGAGAATGAGGTCACTTGTGTGAAGAGATAATTGCGATGGGACATGGGTCCTGTTAGACGCTGTTTGTGATATCAATTTTGGCAGCTCAATTGTCGATCTGCTCGCTGGTCTAGATATCTATCGGTAGCTCCTTGTTAAGTTTATATTCGCAGGCCTTGCAATTCTCGAGAGCAACCATGAGAGTCTATCGCTCCGGAACAATAGACATTCCTAAAGATCTGAATTTAACAGAACTCCTCCATAGATCAGCATATCCAGACCTTCCCGAGTCTCATCTAATCGCCAAAGATAGTTTAACGAATCGAAGCATTACGATCGGACAGCTACGCGACCGAGCTGGTAGGATTGCGAAAGGTCTCAAAACAAAGTTGAGCCCAGTCGACCAGGCAAGATGGGCCGTCATTCTACCTAATAGTGTTGACTTTCTCGAGATCTTCCATGCGATACTTTGGACGGGCGGCGTCGTATGCCCTATTAATCACGCGTTGAAAGCTGCGGAGATCGGCCATGGACTTGCCGTCGCGAGACCACACTTTGTGGTATCTTACGGGGCCACAGTTCCAATTGTCGCGGAAGCCTTACGAGTCGCCGAAAAAGAGCTTGTCGACCAAGGAGTAAGCTGGGAGAAGCCTAAAATTATAACGATTATCAACCGAATAAACGGACTTCCTCACATACCAGATGACTACATCTCATCAGAGCGTCTGCCAATTCCGCATTGGCGCGACACGACAGATCGCCTTGCATCAATTCACCTGTCATCTGGGACCACGGGCAAACCGAAGGGAGTTGAGCTGACGCACTACAATTTCGTTTCAAATTGCTATCAACTCGTCGCACATGACCGAGAGCAGTTTAATCCGTCTTCTCGGACGGTAGCTTTCACGCCATGGACTCACATCGCCATGACCACATTGCCGCTTTTCTTAGGCCCTTACACCGGGATGCTGCACCACGCTATGCCGAGTTACAATATCGAAGAGTTTGCGAAGCTAGTCGGATCGAACCAAGCTACGACTTTCCAGGGTGTGCCAAGCGTTGTCCTTCAGATGGCAAATTCCGATGTAACCAGTCGATTCGATTTCAGTCGTGCAAAATACATCAATGTTGGCGGTCCGCTAAAGAATGATCTTAAAGACCAGCTGCTAAGCAAGGCGCCGTGGAAGCTCATCCAAGTGTATGGAATGACGGAGGCCGCCGGATACGTCGCTTACCAGAAAGCGAGCGAGGAGCCACCAGATGGAGTGACAGGCAAGTTATTACCCAACGTTGAGGCCTGCCTCAAGAAAGAGGGAAGTACAGAAGACGTGCCTGAGGGTCAACCAGGCGAGCTCTGGTTGAGGGGACCGAACTTCACGCGAGGATACGCTTTCAACGAGGAAGCAAACAAGAAAGGGTTTCCGATGGAAGGATGGTACAACACGGGAGATGTATGCACCATCGATGCGGAAGGTCGAATAAGCGTAGTAGGAAGAACAAAAGACCTGATCAAGTATAAAGGCTTCCAGGTATCTCCAGCAGAGCTAGAGAGTTACATTAACGCCCATCCTAACGTGGTGGAAGGGGGTGTTGGCGCGCTCTGGGACGAAAGTCAATTGACAGAACTCCCAACAGCCTGGGTCATATTGAAAGATAGATTCAAGACTCCGCAAGAGAAGAAGATGGCTCTTAAGGAGGTACACCAGGCGGTTGACAGCCAAGTGAGCGGCTATAAGAAGCTCAGGGGAGGAGTCTGGGAGATCAAGGGGTTACCGAAAAATGCGACGGGGAAGATACTCAGGAAGCAGATGGCCACCATGAGGGATGGGGGTTGTTCACTCGAAGACTCACTTAAGGCTAAATTGTAAGATAATAGAGTAAAGATTAATAGAATGAGGGCCTCGTAATAAGCAGCATTAACATTCCTATGTTCATGCAACACCAATCATAGCCCGGAAACGTGTTCGCATCCCCCTCCCATATTACTGACAGAGATACCATTCTCGAATCCAATGACGGTAAATCACTGATTTCAAATATTTCTTTCTCGCGAAGAGAAATGTCGTCAACAATTACGCATGCATACCCAGGCAGGGTAGGTCCGTGATATACATCGTACAACTACAGAAACATTAATCTTCACCATGAAGTTAATATAAGACTTTTCGAGGCGATGTGAAGTCGTATAGATTGCTAGACTAACACACAGGTCGATCGTTCCGCAGACTAACTAGGAAGGCCAATAACTAAATGTCGTAGTAAGACCCAATCAGTCGATAAATCATGCCCCATCTTCCTTCTTTTCCCTTAGAGAAGCTTCGTAGTAGGTAATTCTCTTCAAACTTACGAGACTAAGAGTACACCGTAGCTGAGCGAGCAGCTTTTCTAGTATGGAGATTCGTTCCCGCACACATTTACCCTCTTCTTCAAGCCTGCGAAGTAACTCACGGGAGTTCTCGAGTTCTTCTACAAGTGACAGGCCGTTCTCTTCCTTCTGGGAAGGGTCCATGCGTGGAATTGTCTTGTGTCGGGCGATAATTTCTTGCAGGGTTGGTCTAGAGTCTGTCATGATGATGGATGGTATATATTAGGTAGTGTATGCAAACTCGTGGTAGATGAGCTATGCTTGGTTCCATACGCAGTTATTCGTGGCCTGAAAATTTATATGTGGTTCTATGGGTGGGATTTATGTCATGTAGTTGTAAATGAAAACTGCCCAACTCACTCCTGAGTCAATCTAAGTGGCATTTTAAACTAACAGACCTAGATTAGCTGTGACTATAGCAGTGATTATGATTGTGTCATTATATGACATGTGAAACTAAACCATGAGGATTACTCAATTTCAATCTGTTTGGCGCTTAATGAATCATGCTTCAAACAGAGTTCACTAGGTGCTCAAGTCTTTAGATAGAAAACTCCAGTTTGTTATCTCAGTAAACCTGTTAGACGCAAGAATAAATGATGATTCAACTAATACATAACCTAGCAAATTCATGACGAGTTTCGAACAATACCTAGTAAATATAAGATGAGAAGACTCCGGACGAACTCATGAATATGATCAACTACAAATGACCTAGACAGACTTGATTGCCCCGCTATCTAACGGGATAGTGGCATGTCATTTCCTATGCCTATTAAATAGGTATTTCGCGACTATTGAGAAGGTCTTGGAGGAGCGTAGCATTGGCGCAAATAAGTTAATGAGCTTAGGATATTGCGCCAATATAGGTACCTAGGTAAATAGTAATTAAGGGATTGAATTTGCTTAATCAGGATTCAAAGAACAAACCCGAGGTGATAGCAATTCAATCATAGCCATACTAGGATTCCATGTCAATAGACTACAAAGTACAAGCATCCTCACTATTAGGCGGCCAGGTGCCTATCTAGCAACTATGCAACCATTGGATAGATATCATAAATATCCTTAACAGGAGAATGGTAGGCCTTTGAAGTATACCCTTCAAGGAGCAAACTCAGGGGTAAGCCCATTAATCGAACAAATCCTAACCCAGGAGTTACTATAGCCTAAACGACAAGGCCCGAAAAGTGCCCATTGCCAGTAGCAGCGAGAGCACAATAGTGCTAGGAATTAGGACAACATACAGAGAGCCATAAGCTCACCAATGCACTAGGACTAAAGGTCGAACTAATAAAAAAGGAGACATAAATGTTGAAGCTAATGTGCACAACTTATGGGGAGAGACAAAAGTAACATTAAGTTCCCTAGGTCACTTTCCTCCTAGAATATGCTTCAATTCAGAGTCGGCATTATTCCAGTAAGTTTCTCATACTAATTATAGGTATCAATATACTAGAGTTATACGTTGTCTAAGTAGGTAGACCATCGGACCAAGGACGGAATTGTACCTTCATAAAAGTTTCTAACTAGATCTACCAATGTATTCTAGGCTCATGGTTTGGAATTCTACTGTACAATCTCGCTATTAATTCATGATAAAAGATAAGGACCTAGTAATATAACTACGGATTTGACGCGTATCCTAATATAAATCTTGAAGCAACCGAGTAGAAGGAATAATTTTGATCTACCTACCTTGGATGCTACAACCGCATTGACAAACCATAGATGCTACTCAGCCGAGACCCTCGATTAATCCCTCTGCTAGGTCTATCACGGTGCTATTTGGTACTTCACATGCCAATCCTACCCCACGGACACCTACGGTGTTCGGAGTGTCTCCGAAGACATTCGTCGAAGATAAGAGTCGGCGGTTAAGTGAGCAGATAGGTTTAAAATAGACGCCCGGCTTGAGACACTTTTCATTTACAATATATTAACTCTACACGGCTTGCCGGTCTTCACTGTTTAAAATGTAGAAAGGTGAATGACCCTAGCCTAGGTTTGGAGTAGGTTGTATATTCTTAGAACAATTAATCGTATAGTACGCAAAACTAACTCAACACGAGTAGTGTAAGAATCTTAGATGGATATGGTGGTAAAGAGGCCGTATTTAAAATATGTGGCTGCTCTTGTTCTAATCTTGAAGCACGATATCGACGATCCCAGCGCGGTTACAACGAGGGACGAGATGTGGAAAACTGCCCATTCTTTAGACTCCTACTCCATGTTTATGCCTCAACAAGGATGTATTGGATGGATGGGTCTAGGTGGGAAACTAATTTGAAGCTATCGCGGAGTTTCTTGTACATCAACTCCTGCACCGGGGAAGCCACCCGGGGCGGTGTATTATTCGGTAAGGTTTATAAATGTACACGTGTGAAGGTGATATTATACACATTAGGCTCTTGAATAAATCCTTACTGACATGCGTACGTACCTAACGTATGACTACTGAGAGAATCAATACCTAGAGCCTTACTTTAGGTAGATATCATAATCCTTCGACTTCGATATTGGGTCACTTGACGGCCACGCGTTCAGCATATTCCTTAGAACTACGTACCGAAGCTTACATGACGCTAGGTATTCGTATAAACAAAGATACATGCGGTTTGCAATAGATCTCTAAGTGACTACGAGACTACAATGGAAGGATTATGTTTATGACTAAGGTGTTAGGATATTTCTAGAATGGTACGTCCCTAGGCTAAGTGAAATTAAGTCTCCCCTCTAGACCACCATATTCGGCTACTGGTCGGTGAGTCTACTAGGAGAACGTTCTGAATCTTCTCATCGCCTGCGGCTAATTGTCACGATAAGGCAAGTTTCGGCGTTAACACCGAGGTCCTTTTAACCTAACGTGTAAGAAAGCCATGCTGGGCGTATTGAAGATCGCGATGGCTTCCTAAATAAGCGAGCCGGACTGATTTCACCGTATGATTGATACCTCGAGACAGAGCGCGTGGGTTGATAAGATGGGGGTTCCTTGGGGGTTTTCCGGTGCGAGCGCCTTATCATATATAGTTCTTGGAGGAACCGTGTTGAATAAACTGCGGTTCGCTTGATAATATCATATATAAAAAGCTTGGCGAGATATCGTTCGTATCTGAGTGAGGGCGAAACCTGGTTAATAGCATGATAAGAGACGAGGGGACTTTGAGAGGTCCAGGCGCTTCACCTGAAAGCCCGCATATAGGACATAGATGTCGGTGCGCCCGGTTATTTGGGATCCGGAGTAGAAGGGATACGGCCGTCTTCTTGAAGGGTCGCCGCTGCGCGTCACCGGATTGCCACCTCGTGGCCATCGAGACCCGAGTCTCGAGTCTTGAAGGGAGTCGTACCGTATTACGACCCCTACGATCACTTGCATCGTAGCTTATTGGGTAGCAACTCGCTACACTGATATCGAACAGGGGTGTGCGATCTTATGCCGTCATTTGGAGATTGACAGGGATTTTCTCTGTACGGCCTAGGGCGAATTTCTCCACTAGCTACCTAGACAAAGTCCGTGTGAAGACAGAGACGCGCGTCCTGGGGAATACAAACGCAGTCCCTGTCAGCCTGTCTCGCACATATCGATTCGTAGCGATCTGCTAGTGTACTCACTCATATTACGACGACAAGGTCGGCAATATGAAGCCACTAACTGACATGCTGGCTTACGAAATGCGATTTTCGCGACGGTAATTTTAAAACTACGAAAGATCGTCAACCCTGTTTAGAGGGGCCTTCAAATCCAAGAGGCGGCGCCAGTGTAGGCTTCGGAACCTTGGACCATCCGAATAAATCCACCCGGATGACGACCCCCATAGGGGAATGAGTATCTTGGGTCGGATCAAGCCGAATATGAAACATACTCTGCAACCGGGAAGATATCTGATCAGTCGTAATTCTCTATACGTAGCAGCGTAGCATCTATTATGATGCGGTTTTCATCTGATATCCTCGACGCGAAGGATATTCCCGCCCCCTCATATTTTAAGTATAGCGACGAAGTAAATTTACTCAATGGTGCGGGATGGATTTGATCGGGTCGATAATGTTACATGCTATAACCAGTAGACACGCTAGTCGTGGCAGTCCGTGGCAATCTGTAGCAGTCAGCCGCATATTTTAGAATTAGAAGGACCGCCAAGCCTCGAAATTTAGACGATATGTAAAGAGCCGAAGCAAGCAACGTAGCATGACCCAGAATGAGAGGCCGACTAGCTTAGCAAATCATCATACAGGAGCGATGGGATTCGACATTTGAAAGAGGTGGCAATGTTGCTATTGGCTAGAAACACGCAAGTCTCCTGAAGAGGAGGAGGACGCGCAAGCAGCCTCGACACTAAAAGGAGAGCCTAACTAAGACCACGCCATGGGGGCCGTAAATCTCCACGTGATCCATAACAGCTTCTGATGGGATAGGGATATGGGATAGGGATATGGGATATAAGATGTATGGCTACAACCTGAGAAGGGCATCTGGAAATAGTCATGAGACGAGGGTCGAGGCAATTGAAGGCGATCAGGTTTTTTTTCTTGTTTCTTTAATCTCTCGTCGGTTAGTGAG